TGACCCTGCAAATTTTCCAAATTTTATTATTAAAAATGATACATTATTCCGTTTATCTAAAAACAAACACGAGTTAACTTCTGAATTCTCATGGAAAGAAGTAGTTTGTTCTGAATTCCGTGAGAATATTATTAAAGAAAACCATAGTGAGCCTACCGCTGCTCATTTGGGCATATTCAAAACGTACAAACGTCTTGCCTTACGTTATTATTGGCCTGGCATGTATAATGATGTAGTTAAATATATAGATTCTTGTGACAAGTGTCTTTCATATAAATCACAAAATCATCAACTATTAGGAGAAATGGGTCGTCCTAAAAGTTGTTCACGTCCTTTTCAAACTATTTCCATAGACCTTATGGGGCCTCTCCCCACTACAAAACTTCGTAATAGTTATATTTTCGTCGTTACTTGCTGTTTTTCGAAATATTGCTTGATATTTCCTATTAAAAAAGCGACTTCAGATGTAATTACAAAAATCCTTCAGGAATCTGTGTTTCTCGTACATGGTGTTCCACAAACCATTTTAATGGATAACGGCACCCAATTTACAAGCAAGCTCATGGATAGTCTCTGTAATAAATATCATATACCTAACGTGCATTATACACCTAAGTATACCCCACAAGTTAACCTAGTGGAAAGATATAATAGAACAATAATTACTTGTATATCTATGTATGTAGACGACGATCATAGGTCTTGGGACTTGTTTATTCCTGAAGTCCAATTCGCTATAAATAACTCCGTAAACGAAGCGACAGGGTATACACCCTCATTTTTAGTTTTTGGTAGGGAGCTAGTCGTTTGTGGCTCACATTACGTTGACAATGACCTCGGTAATGATTTATCAATTTTACCACGTGATGCTTATGCCGAAAATCTAGGTCGTCTATCTAGTGTTTTCGATAAAGTGCAAAAACGGTTGTGGCAAGCCCATGTGAAGAATACTTCCATTATAATTTGAGAAGGAAATTTGCCGAGTTCAACGTTGGTGACATAGTCATGAAGCGTGCTTACTTTTTAAGCGACAAAGATAACTGTTTTTCAAAGAAATTGGCTCCGAAGTTTATTAAAGCTAAAATAGTAATTAAAAAGTCACCATTGGTATATGTATTGCAGGATATGACTGGAAAAGATCTAGGCACCTGGCACATTAAAGACTTGAAGTTGGTTGGTGTCAATTAGTAGTTTTTTTTTTCTTTTTAAATATTTTTGTTTGGTTTATTATGTACAACAGTAGCTTTATATCTCGCGTCGCGCACTTAACTAACTTATTGGATATTAACTAATATTTGCCAAGTTTCTAGTTCATTAAACTAGATGTCTTCAGGATTGCTTGTAGGAGTCGGTAACATCCTTTGTATGGTACCTACTTTGTTTTAATAGTTAGAAGAATGATGATAGAAGAATGATAGAAGTATGAAAGATGATTTATGTTTAGGTTAAGCAACTACATTCACATTTTCTAAAACGGATTTTATTTCTCTATAAACAATAAAATCCTTCACTGTGCGCGGGGGTATTGTAACGTTGTTACATATTTATTTTATTAAAACTTATAATATTCTACCTAAAAATTAAATTACGCTTAATATTATTAACTTAAATTGTACATTATTTACACGAATCAGTTTTTTTGAATACCTATTGTTTATAAACACAAAATTCATTTAACATCGGGCAATGAAATTTCGCTGCACGCGCGCTTCCAAGTTTGGCGACTCGTTTGTTGAGTTCCTCCCCCCCCGACCTGCACCGCGCGCTGGTTGCGGCGCGGCCGGCCATCTCACACTCCGAAATTGAACTCCAAGCAGGCACGCGCTCGTTCTGTGCTCCCAGCGACCTTGCGGACAACGCGCGATCTTTATATTTTTTTTATTTTTTCTTAATAATTGTTTAAGATAATTAATCATTACACTCAGTGCATTAACCCACGTATTGGTAAGTGTTGAACAAGTATTCCTTCAATTAGCGTCCGATTATAAAGTGGAAAATCTTAAATTTTTAAAATAGTAACCGTCGTTTTGAATTTTTATCTTTATTTATAATGCTTTTGCAAGTTATATTAGTTATATTCCTATTGTTTTTTAAGCTTACTAAGCTGTGCTTTAGCTTATTTAATTGTTTTATTTCTCCGATTGTAACTCCGATCTGTTTGTGGCAATTATAACAAAACACACATACGTTCCGGGTACTTTTCTACTCCAGTTCTTGCCATGGCCACAATCAGAGGAGACAACGGAGTTTGGTTATTAATGCGACCATATTACAGGGTCCATGGTGTGGCGTCCACCGTACACCATCGTGTGACAACGACCAGCAATCCATCCCGTCACGGTCACCCCATCGCCTGGCGACGACTTCCGACTTCTTTTCGGGACTTCACTGTCGACCAGTACGACCACCGCTTCGTGACCATCTCCATCTTCTCTGGGCCCGGACTTCTCTTCGGCGGAACTACCAGGAGAGTACCAACCCTGGCCGGGAAAGCAAAGAACTTTCAAATACTGTAACGTTTTTTTTTTTTACCCGGGCACTTCGAACCACGCCCAAATAAATTTGTTGTTCACACCAAGAGTTGGTTTCATTTAAACGCCCTGGCTCGTGACAAAATTATATGTCGTTTAATGTAAAACAAGGCTGTTTTTTTCTGACGAAAAAGGAATTGGTCTTTAGACAGAAAAAACTGAGGTAAATTTTTACAATATTTATTTATCACTTTCATCTAGAAATAAAAACTAGAAGCTTAATCTTACGTTACCTATGTATTTTATTATACATATATTTAATTTTAAGCATTTATTTTCTCCATTTATGAATCTGAAGAGTTTTTAATTTAAAAAATCATTACCTATATTGGAAAAGTACCAGGAGAGGATTCATAACTAAGAGGTTCTTAATTATAATAATTATCTTCTTTTATTATTTTTTTTATAAAAAAAAACAATATGATTCCTCTGAGATTGATCTGTTTACACTTGGCCATAAAACTAAATCCTAAATCAAGGATTTCCGCTTTTGTCAGAAAAAAAAAACAACCTTTAATTTATTCTGAGATAAAAGGAATCTGACGAATATCTCCTAAAATTATTATGTATACTAGCTAGTGATGCACCCTAGCCAATGTGCATACATGTATTGTACATAGAAAACCTTGCTGTAATAGAAAATCATTCTACATATTTAATTGCAAAAATTGCATTATAATCGTATTAAAATTCATTGCGTAGTTTATTTTTGTGAATTACGCGTAAGACGCGTACAGACAGTGAGGAGGATTGCTTTATTGCTACTTTATACAGATTATCAAATTTGATATTTCTGATTAAAAGTTTTAGTTTTCAACAACGATATTAAATACCCTAGATACACCACGAGCGCTCAAAATGTGTCCCAATCAAGAAGTGCACTTCTTGGTTCACAGTCACGCGAAGACCGTTAGAAAGTCAAGATGCCACATAGTTCCACGAAAAAGTGCGAAAATAATAGGTACTTAGAGTACGAAAAGTGTAAGTGAAACTTTTCGTGTTTTTCGTCAATGTTTGGTAATTTAACGCATTTGAAGTAAAATTTGATCTAATACTTACTATAAACTGATTTAATATATAATATTTGTGATATTCAAATGCATGGTCGGTTATATATAGCCGTCTCTTTTCCTCGCGGTCCGTGCCTGCTATATTGCTAACAGCGCTTTCAGAATTGCGCGTAGAGTCAAAGAACTAAGGTCTAAATTAGCAATTAGTCGTAAAATTTTACGAGCTTGTATTTCGAACTGACAGAAGTCCTTGACGCATGTGTTTTATTTAAGACCTTATGAAGTATGTATTAAAGATTACTTTCAATATTTAAATAATGCCTTATATTGATTTTGACTACGCGATCATCTTACGAGCTCCGTGGATCGTTCAATGTACCTTTTGGGCAGGTTTCGGGCACGATTTTGTTCGTGTTGGTGTATCTAGGGTATTTAATATCGTAGGTTTTCAATGATATTTTTTGTCATATTAAAAATAATCGTTACAAAACATGTAAAGCCGCAAATATATTTCTGTGCCGTGCGTAACGCGTCAGAGAGCTCTCGGTTTCATACATTTAGTACGGATAGAGTTAAAGTCAGTACGATGTCGACAGATCGCGATTCGCGATACACAAATATAATTCCAGCCGTATAATATATCATTGAATCGTATAAAATGTATGAAACCGATACAATGGCTCTCCGAAGTGACGCGCTACCACATAACATGACAGCGAAATATATTTGCAGTATGCTCGACTACTAATACTTAATACTAATCATTTGACTCCGTAAATCATTCGACTAAGTCGACTGCACTGTGATATAATCATTCGACTGGAGTCGAAGGTATCAAGGTATAAGGTAGCGGCGCGCGTCGCACGCAGCGACCCGCAGAATACTTTACTAGTGACAAAAGTCGGCCAACTAACTGACACTCGCTCGACTGACGTACGTGACGAATACGAACGAACCGAATCGACTCGGGCTTGGTCGGGTGAACTCGACGAGTGAAAGATGCTCATCTCTTCAGTCAATAGGGTGCGGGTGAGACAGAGAGGGAAATAACTGACCGAAGCGTCTCTATCTAAATTTACAAGAGCCCAACGGTTTCGCTCTTGTAAATTTGACATTAGTATTACTAATTTGCTTTTCGAATAGCTAAATAAATAGTTACGAATAGACGAAAGGTAAAATCATTGAAAGTCGCGCATCGCTAATTTGCAGCTTAATGCTAAAATCGATACTACATACCACGGTAACGAAACGGAGCCAAATTTTCTTATCTGTGATAAAACCATAGACATGCTAAAACTAAATGTCACTTATGTCAAACTGGCTTTCAATGGCGGATGGTGTTGCAACTATTGCAACAACATTGCATCGTTATCGAGCACGTTTAATTTACAACATTCCCGTTCGGAATCGCATCACATGCGATCTGTTTACGCTCAAGAGCTGAATAAAAATAGCAAATATGTCCACGTCCTTGTCGGATTGCTTCACAATCGGCAGTGTCGTGGCCACGAAGACTTGCTACAATGAGGAAATTGAGGGCGAAGTATTAGCTTTTGATCCGCAAACGAAAATGTTGATATTGAAATGTCCGTCTTCTAGCGGCAATCCGAAGCGGCATGATGTCAACATCGTGAACCTGTCGTTGGTCAGCGACGTGCAGATAAAGAAGGAAGTCACCACGGTCCCTGACCCTCCACAATCATTGAATCTGAATAGGTTGAATACTAGAGTGCGAAATTCTATAGAAAACAAAAAGAGATTAGTAAGTATTACATGCTTTTTTATTTAATTGAACAATGCTATAGCGAATTTTTCACGTCAATTTACATGCAAAGTCCAAAAATGTTGGTATTTTTAATGCACAAATGCAGCATGGTATTTTACTTTACTCGTTTATTGACTTGTTACTTAATCAAGTTCAGTCGTGATATTTCCGGTTTTGTTTGATATTAGTTAATTAGCAATGTAATTAAGAAGTTTTGAGTTATTTATTTGTAATTATTCAAAATGCTATCTATGACTTATGGTAATGGTATTCATTTTTCATAACAGAATTGGTTACTCTTATTTAAATATAATAGCATTAAAATGTCTTGAAATTGTATTTTTGTGTATATATGTTTACTATGGTATTTTTATGGAAAATTAATAATAATTAATGTTAAATGAATATTTTAATCTAACACACCACATTTAACATGAAATGAAGAAAAATAGGCTTTTTATAAATAAAAATCAAAAGAGCTATTCTTAAATCTAGCGGTTTTTAACAATGAGTAAAAATTTACATAAAGGCCTCCTCCAACCGTGAATAACCCCTAGGGTTGCCACCCAAACTTTATTATAAAGTATGTACGTTATTTCTGTTAATTATACTCTATACTTTATGGTAACAATAAAGTACAAAAAAATACTTTACTTAATGTGATTTCATTACTCGGGGATTAGTTTTACATAAAATATACAAAAGACTTGACAGGTGAATATGAATAATTTTTGCGTAAAACAGACAGACAGTATGAATATGACACCCTTAGCTGATTCAACATTGCAACATTTTCGTGGCTGTATGGCTTTGTACCATGACCTTTCCTATTGCTGAAAAAAAGAACTACAGATTTTTAGTAGGCACTTATTATTTAGTAGATGTTGCTAGTTATTTAAGTAGCAACATAAAATAAAATTTTAAGCTTACTAATAAAGTGGAATAAAATATACTTTATTTTGGACACAATGTACTTTTTTTCTACCTTGAATATCCAAATGTACTTTAATTCAACGAAATTTCTTTAAAGTTGTACTAATTTCCCAGGTCACAGCATTGGCAGCATGCTTAGATCCAGAGGGCCAGCGGCTATTCCTGGCCATAGCTCGATTAATTGATGATGTCACATGGGTCGGACAAAACATCAGAGTGTATAATGAAGTCACTATCACACCACCATACAAGGTAATTATAAAAATAGTAATACTTCATTTAACAAGAAAATCTACAAAACACTCAGGTAGTTCTGGTGGTGGAAGGCGGCAGCTAGACGTTCAGTTTGTAAATCTATCGATGGAATTTTTTGACAATGCTAGAGGTTCAGTATTTATCAGGTCAGTATTATCGTGTTTTGAAGCAGTTCAAAGGTGTAATGTATACAGAGAAAGCTTCTGTGGCTATTATCTTAGCAATTGGTTAAAAAAAAGAAAACGATGGACAAAACATTGGCTACAACAGAGATAAAAATATACTCATTTAAAATTGGCTGAAATTAAAGAGCATGAAATTCAAAATTCAATATCGTTTATTCAGTGTTACAAGGCTGGCAAAAGCACTTGTGAATGTCGAAAAGCTACGCCATCGGTTCGCAAACCTACGGCGGGAGACCTTGTACTGAGAAGAACCGGCAAGAAACTCAGCAAGGGCTGTTGTTTTCTCCCTGTATTGTATACAGAGTCGTCAAATTGAAAAATGACTTCAATATGCGGTAACTCATAAAGTCACTTTCCATTTCAAATGCAAATAATATAAAAATTATTACTATATAAAAAACTGGTTTAACAAAGTTTAGGAATGCCATGTCCTGCTGTTTAGGCAAAAAAAAAAATTAACGATTAGAGTTTAGTACAATGGTTAATAGTATCCAATAAAGCAAGAGCAGACTCATCTCCGCTGGCAGCACCCGTTCACGAGCATGACGCATGAACCAGCCATCGCTTTGCTCAACCATTTTTAGGGAACGCAACGACCCGCCTCACACGACACGATTAAAATAATCAGCAGTTCTATTCTGTAAAATTTTTGGGCGGATTCGATGTAGATGGCTGGTGCGCCAGATCCGGCGGAGGCGGCAGGAATCTCAGCAAACATCAAATCCTCCTCCATTGCCGTCGCGGTGCGTACTGACACACCGTGGTATTTAATGATCGTCTAGTGTAGCGTACTGACAGATGTCAAAATTTAACACAAGGTTTCATTCCGGAATTCAATAATTTAGAAATCCGTGATAAATACTGATATTCTTCAATACACTAGCTTACACCGTCAGTAAATACCACATTATTTGGTAAATACTGATGAACCAGATTATAAACTGAACGTCTAGCTGCTGCTTAAGAGTCTGTGACTAAATTGTAGAGAGAGTCAGTGAGGCCAGAAATTTTGGAATTATTTTTGACAGCCAGTTGTGTTTTGAGCGTTGATATTAAACCTAGTGTTATATCACCTGAAGTAGAAATATCGTTTGCACACCTCATTTTGATAAGAAAATCAAATATATGGCTAACTTGAAAGAATGTGTTTGTTTCAGGTGGAAAACGTACTAGGCGATCAAGATTCCAAACCGTATAACTACATTAGGAAATTCGTAGAGAAACATTGGCGCGAGCACAGAGACCATGCAGCTGCCAACTCTAGCCAACATCAATAATATGGATTCCTCGAGGCCTTGACTTTGTAGCAAAAATGCGAACCATTCTGTAAGCTCAAATGATTATGATCCTTAATCTTAATATGATTTATTCAAAATCCAACTATTCAAAATGTAACAATATGTTGTGAAAGTCCAATGCTATGCCATCGGTCCGTAAATCTACAGCGGGAGACCTTGTACTGTAAAGAACCGTTATGAAACTCGGGATGGGCATTTTTTTTACCTGTCAATATTCCGTTCCTAATACAGCTTTGATCGATTCATCCTTCAAAAAAAAAATTGGGCAACTTTACAATGTTTAGTTAGATGGCCTGTATCTCAATAAAATCTGACCAAACAACTGCTTTTATTAAAATATAATTTTTTTCTTAGTGGTCTATTGGTCCATAAGCCTAATAATGGTAGCAGATATATCAACTTTGAAATGGATCGTCTTAACTATGAGGTTCTTTGTATGAAACTCTCGAAACATGAGCTTGAGTTCCATTCGGGAGTTGCATACAAAGAATCCGAGTTGATAAGTTTGCTACGACTTCAATATCCCCCCTGCTGGGGCACAGGCCTTTCCTATGGAGTGAATCACATAGGCAAAACTGGCATTTACTCATAACTCTTTAGGTCAGTACAGTGTATGTGGTATATACATAAGAGGTATTTCCTGCCTCTTATATTTTATTATATGGGGTAGGGAATGGAACAAGAGATGTTTAACATAAAAAAACGAGCGAGCCTCACAGTAGTCGCGTACGATGTGTAACATTTGAAACCTCACCTTATATTAGTAAAAAAAGAAATTAAACCTACTACAAAAGGAATAAGCCATTTGAACATTATGTTCTAAAATCAAATCAAATAGCGCGCGCTTCCCAAACTTCCTGTCACACACTTCCGTCTCACTTCTCGTAATCACTCCCACAAATTGAAAGCGAGAGGAAAGATGTTACACATCAAAAAAATTGTAATAATCTTTGTAGTCTTCACGTTTCAGCATTGGATTAAGGATTGCTATCACTTGAACTTAAAAAATAGTTTGCGCTTGCCCTCATGTTGGTAAGCGGTCAGTATAAATGTAGAATGGTGGTGATGGTCGAATCGGCTGCACTCCCATTTCCTGTTCTAAACGGCGCAAATACATTTCATTTAAAAGAACTTTGTAGTAACGCATGTGTTTTGGCGGGGAATTTCGGGTGTCGTATCATAGGCGACATTTAACAGGATTATGGTGTCGATTAAATTTAACATCAGTCTGTCCTTTTTGCTCTGTATAGAGAATGATAAGGATGCACTGTTTGAATTAAGTTTTGGGTTTAGAGAATCATGCCAGAATCAACACTAATATTTATGTATGAATGTATTGCTTTCCTTCTACTGCAAAAAGAGAATGAATCCCTTACTGGACAAACCTAGACAACATATTCTGCACCAGAACACATTGTAATTATGAATGTGGGCCTTTTACATTGCTACAGTGCAACCTTAATATAACGTACCTCGATATAACAACCATGTTGATTTAACAAATTCTTCGTAATTCCCTTGACTATTTGTTTCTTAGGTTTTCACGCACATCACTCATTAAATAAAACTAGTTTGAACGGGTTAATGCACGAAACTTTATTTATTTATTGAAGTTTCGCAGCCTTTTCAGGTCTGCTTCTTCAGAATAATGATTTTCATTTAATTTTGTCGAGCTACCTTGGAAAGACTTTCGAAGGTAGCTCCACAAAAGGCTGCGGAACGTCAAAAAATAAATAAAGTTTCGTGCATTAACCCGTTAAAACTAGTTTTATTTAATTCCCTTGAATTTTCCATAACAGTCAATGTAAAAGATACCTTTACATTGTGAATCTTTTTTGCGAACATCCCCTTTATAACAAATTTTCAACTATCAAAAAAAGAGTAAATACCTCTAATTAACGAATTTTGTCAACCAAAAACTGCTATATAACATTTCCATCAATATATGGCCCTTAATCCCATAGCACGTGATTCATGTCACGCCAGGAAACTATTTTTTTACCTCTATAACAAATTTTCACCCCTAACCTCAATATAACAAACCTCAGTTACTCAATATAATTTTTCTTATATCGAGGTTGCACTGTACAGATAGTGGAATCCACGAAGATGAGCCTTACCAATTTTTGGTTGAAGGATAATAAGTGTTAAAAAAATAATTAGATAATGGGGATGATGAAAAATTTTTTTTTCTTTGTTTTGATAAACGAAACGAAACGAAAAAGTATTGGACACGTATTTTTTCTTTTTTCACATAATATAAACATTGCAGATATATATTGATTTGAAAAGTCGCATGACGTCACGGTTGAGTACACTTATAAGTGAAAATTCACTCAAAAGTGACGTCACTAGCCTCTACGCCCAAACTTTGACGCGCTATAACTTTGTGATTTTTTGGTTGATTGCCCAAAGAAAAAATACGTGTCCATTATTTTTTGATGATCTAACTGACGGACTAAATAGAATTTCGTTTACTGTACCCCGTCATCATCCCTATTATCATATTATTATTTATTATTATCATAGATAAATAATTAGTGTGTACCGATAACACTCAAATATTGGCGGAAGCTGGTACACATTTACTATAAACGGTTAGGAGGCGCGTCTTCGTGGATTGCAATACTTGTATTTGTTAACTTTCGTCTTATCATTATCGTTGTCCCTTTCATTCTTTATTAAGCATGATAAAGACAGACTGAAGTCAAGTTTACAAATAGCCAAGTGCTGGCATAAGTGATGAGCCTATTAGCCTACGATTAATGAGGGCTACCGTTTTCTGCCTCACCAGATGGCGCCACTGTTGAGTGAGGTCCTAAATTGTAACTTTTAAAGTTTATTAATACGCACATGAAATCAAAGGTTACATTTAGATTGTATTTTAACACAAAAGAACCATATCCTAAACATAATAGGCCATGCCACAGTGACGCGCAGTTCCGTTTTATTCGGAAAAAATGGGAACATAATCATATTTCTAAGCTCAAATTTTTAATAACTGACATTCATTGCCACATTACCCATATTTGCCATAATTAAGACGAATTGTTACCAATTATTCACAACATTATTTTAATTAGAAAGAAACCCGCGTAGTCAACCAACAAGCAATAAAATATGAATTGGATTTTCATTGTGGTTAGGCATTTAAAGACATTGGTCAAATAACTTTACACCAGTTGTCACCACTGATTCGGTTGTACCGTAATAGCAAAAAACAACTTTAATTGCTTTTACAGAGGATTATTAACCTGTGCTGATAGCTGGGTATGCTTTCCAATTACAGAGCATAATGCGACTCAGTGCCGCACAATGCCCAATTATGCTGATGCTTAATTGGACCGTGAATTAGTTTTCAAATGCACCAGCAGAGTGCGCTAAGTTCAGTGTTGAAAAAAAAGTCAATGTTTGTACCTTCATCCATACTTATATTTATTTTTTAACAGTTTGAATGAACTTTGATTATTTAAAATAAAACTATTTAATGTAACGAAGGCTTTAATAATTTTTCAACAATAAATAATATTACTAACGATAACATATAAATAAAACATTTCGATCAATGCCAACTTAAAGAAAAAACACTTGTTAATTTTCTTTCTCTAAGTTGGTACCATTGCACGCATCACACGAAGGCATCATTTTTGAGAGTGCTCAATTGTGCGAAGCGTTGCTGTAGTTGGAACACTCAACGTTAAGCATTATGCCGCATAATGCGCAATAATGCTGTAATTGGAAAGCAACCTGGGTAAAGTTGTGTCAGTTAACTTGGAAAATTATTGTTAAACTAGCAAACCAGGCGAACTCCGTTTTGCCATCAGATGGCTTCGTTTTATGTAAAATTTCGTTAGGTGATTAAAAGAAGATTTTTTTTTTTGAAATTTTTCCTGAATTTTCTTTGCTATAAACCTCACGGAGCCCGAGACATTTCCAACGAATGCAAAACCGTGGAAATCGGTTCGTGCATTCTGGAGTTATAGCGTCAGGAAGGAAAACCCGACTTATTTTTATTATTGTTAAATAAAAAACATAAACGTTTAATATTTACTTGCAGCTGTCTTAATAGACTATTTGGCAGTATGAGAAATGAATTACCAATTATTCGCATGTGTATCTAACATGAATATTTCGAGCGATTAAACTATTCTGACAAAAAAGTTAATATTATAGTCCAGTCAGTATTGTCGCGAAATCCGTTTTTCCTCAAACAGCTGGAACTATGCTAAAAAGTTTCTTAAGATAGTAAAGAACACTTTACATAGAGAAAAAAATGTTTCCAACCCCGGGCAAGGGTGAAAACCACCCTTAATAATCTATTTTTCCAATTATCTCAAAAAGTATACGAGATACGGAAAAAAACTTCAAATGAAAATTGTAGATCTTTTTGAAATCTACAAAACATTATTCCACCCTCTTGCCCCTATTTTCAATAGGGGAGCCAATAATCGAAGTCAAAGATAACTTTTTTAACTAACTTTAACTTTTTAAGTATTGAATCTTTGACTTCGATTATTGGCTCCCCTATTGAAAATAGGGGCAAGAGGGTGGAATAATGTTTTGTAGATTTCAAAAAGATCTACAATTTTCATTTGAAGTTTTTTTCCGTATCTCGTATACTTTTTGAGATAATTGGAAAAATAGATTATTAAGGGTGGTTTTCACCCTTGCCCGGGGTTGGAAACATTTTTTTCTCTATGTAAAGTGTTCTTTACTATCTTAAGAAACTTTTTAGCATAGTTCCAGCTGTTTGAGGAAAAACGGATTTCGCGACAATACTGACTGGACTATTACTAAGAAACATGAAATGGAAAATTATTTTTGGATCTGACAGAAAATGCCTAGGATTTCCGGAGCCTAAAATGACGTCACCTGCTTGTAAACATGTTGTCGAAGTGTTTAGTTTAGTTTACATTAGTTTGTTCTTTTTTGACGTTTTAATGAGAGCCTTGTGACGTCACCTGCATGTAAACACGCCATATTTGTTATGGAAACGTCTAGACGGCATATATGAAATCATTTGTTGTATTTCGTTCACTGATATGTGCGCAACATAATTACGAATAACCACTTTTTTAACGTTTTCAAAAACTTGTCAATTAGCCTATTGTCGCTAAGCAGTATTAAGTTATACCCATTGTATTTTTGTCGGTCTGTGTGTAAGTGTACCGAAATTATGATGCTCCGCTTATACAGAGCGGGTTCTGAGTATATTTTTCATACATAGATTTATCCTAAATAATTTTCCAAGCAAATTGACGATAAAGTACGAATGAACGAAGAAGGTTATGCTGTCACAAAATTATTTTATTCTCCGTACAAACGCCATAAATCATGTTTCTCTTTTTTGTTCCTAGTTATTTTTTATATGAGAATGGTTTTATTACCTGTGGTCCTACAGTTTTAGATATACCTCTGATTGGATGCAACAGAGAAAGCAAAATAATACTTAGGCCGTATACAGAAAGAAAGCTGGTCCTTACCGGTAACCGGCGCAAGCATTTCTATGGACCAGCGCCGATAAGCGCCGACAAGTGCCGACACGCGCCGACAAGTGCCGACACAAGCTGGTTAGCTCTGACACCGCCCTTTGAAATTAATGAACAACTACGCTTCAATCCGCTTCCTTTATTTATCTGTTACCAGCGTTGACCAGGTCGGCTTCCAGCTTTCTTTCTGTATACGGCCTTATGTTCCTATCAACTTGTTTTGAAGCTACATGCCAATTACTAAATAAATACATGTACAGTTTCAAACATGTCAGGCAACCTGAAACTTTAAGAATCATTCTAAATTAAGAGTGTAATATTTCAAAAGCGAAAAAAGTTTAATGTCGTTTTATTTTAAAAATATCGTTTTTATTTGTTTTGTTTTTTAAAACTCCAAATTTTCTGTATTTCATTGATAACGTCTGACAACATTTTTACTCGCTCGATAATACAGAAATGTCATTGGAGGTCTATTATATTATGAACTTTCTACAAAAAATATACGTAGGTAACACTGTAAAATTAATTTTAAAATTGGCAACCCGAAAATTTGGAGTGTTTTTTTTTGTATGTGTAGTGAATAGAATGATATTTATATGACGTTGGATTAAGAGACAGTGAAAAATTATAAAAAAAAACTGCAAAACTTTTTAAGCGCATTTTATTTTTTGTCCTTTTCCCTCGCCAATGTACGGAATTTGGTAGAAACGAAATAAACAAAAATTTGTGTGCACGAAGCACACATCATTTTGTAAAGATCGATAAAATAAAACTTTATTTTTATTTTAAAATTTCGCTCTAATCTGTGGCTCACTCACAATCATCACACAGTTCTTCCTTAATCTAACCGGAAATGCATAGATGATACCTGATTTCAAAAGTTACTCTTGTGCATTGACTTTAAAAGCAGGCAACTATCTGTTAATCTACATGCTCTCTATAGATGAATCTAATACATAATTTCGGCACTTGGCTTGATTTCCCTAGTTTACTATATAACTTTTGTTTTTTATTATTTTAATACCGATGTACGTATTTGCAAACATAACCTCAAAATCGTTCAGTGTATATAGTTTATAGAAGCTCTCAGGGGTGTCCGTCAATAATGTTCGTTTCTATAGTAATTTATATATAACTAGCTGACTCGGCCAACTTCGTACCGCCCAAAAGTAATAATTTGCAATAAATTAAAATTGCGACTATAATTTGAGATTTAAACTATCCTATCTCTCAAGTTGGATCGAACTGCACATGGTGTGCGAATTTTATTATAATCGGTTCAGTGGTTTAGGAGTCCATTGAGGACAAACATTGTGACACGAGATTTATATATATTAAGATTTCGAATCTCGGAAATAATTTTTCATGATTATTGGTCTTTAGGCCAAACATGTATGGAAGCTGAGAAATCTCCTTTCTTTTGTTAAATATTATATAAATACATTTTAGGATTTGCCGCTCGAATTGTAGCGCCCGTCTGAGGAAGTATCCTCTATCTTACGCCACCAGAAGCCCACAGTAAAATAACACTACATTTCCGGTGGTGTTGTGCACAGAACACAGAAAGAGGTTAGAAGGGTCTTCAAAGACCTTTTGTACGGGAACCGATGTCGCCGGCTCGCCCGCACTACACTTACACCTAATAGATATTAGCCAATCAAACGCCGTGACATCAAACAATCGAACCAATCGGCGCTCACACCCCATCGCAACAAAGCAATCGTTGCCAAGTTTTGGTCAAGTTATGAGCATTTGCTCATAACTAACTGTGGCGCGCCTGCCCCGCCCACAAGGCCCTTCTAACATCTTTCTGTGTTCTGTGGTGTTGTGTTTCTGTAGGTGACTAAGGCCCTTATTATAGAAAGATCCTCAGTGATTGATCTAGTCTTGAGCATAGTTAGAAAGGGATGTCGCTATACGACCTCCGTGGCCGAGTGGTTTGTGCGCCGGGTTTCATGGTGTCGCCGACTCGAGGGGTCCCGGGTTCGAATCCCGGTGGGGGCAGATGTTTGTGTGATGAATACGAGCATTTGTACTCCAGTCATGGATGTTTAATATGTATTTCTATATACATATACTTATGTACAGTATATGTAATCTATCCGTTACCCTAGCATCCCATAACACAAGCCTTACAGTGCTTACTTTGGGGCTAGGCTAATTGGTGTGAGTGTTGGAAATATTTATTTATTTATATATAGCACATAGCGACATCCCTTTCTAACTGTACTCAAGTAAAGATCACTTAGTTGTCGTTCTGTAATACGGGCCTTAGATTGCCAGGGCTAAACTGGGTAGTGGATTAGGTCAGGGTACCAACAGCGCGAGTGATATTTTTGGTACCGCAAGCAGGGCTTGTAACCGGTTTCGAAAATACCGGTAAGTAAAGGTTAATACCGGTTTTTAGTAAAGATTTCGTTCAGAGCGCGTCCGGAATGTAAGCGGTACCTAAAACCTTAATAAACCGGTTTAATCCAGAGCGACACGTGCACGCGTCGGCATCGCTTGAAGTTTGTTTTGTTTGAACTAATCAAGTCACAACTTGTTAATGCTCAGAGATTGATGCATTTATTGACACGTTTGCTAGCGTCTAGGGAGTCAAGTTATTCATTTTGTAGTTTTGTACTGACGAACTACTTCACTCACTCGCTCTGTAGTTGGAAAGAAACTGACATAAAATCATTATAAATTTGAATTGAAACGGCGAAGGCGATGCCGTCAGTAAGAGCGAAATGAAACCCTTTAAAAACCGCTAGATTGATTCAAAACCTATTTGATTTCGCTTTTTAGGAAAACCGGTTTTTTAAGGTTAAGATAGAGCCAAACCTAAATTGAACGCTCCTAATGTACTTGAGACTGATTTATGTTTGAAAATTAACCGGTAAACAAGCCCTGATCGCAAGCGTCTAAAGGTTATGAATGAGGAACTGGTCTCAATACTGTTGTTAAACTTCTATAATAATCGTCTTTTTAATATGACAACTTCTATTAATTAAATAAAACACAATTCTTAAGATGAATTAATATAATATATTTCTACATTTATTCTACATCGATTATAAGGTACACTCATGGTTATAATCCGTCGAACAATCCTACGATATAACATTAATGGCAATACTTAACAACAATAACAAATAAAAAAAAAACAAGTTAGGCTTTTCAAAAAAACTGGCAACATCACTTTGTACTATGAAGCTGAAAGAGGTTAAGATTTGTCTTGGAATGATTTAACCCTTCTGCTCTACTCAACACTTAATTTTAGTTTGCTAAAATATTATTTGCCAGAAATAATTAAAGCTGTTGTGTGGGTACTTCGCTTGGATATTCGTATTTGCTATTTGTAAACTTGAAAACAGTCTGTCTCATGCCTTATATATGCAGTGAAAAGAAAAGACTGATTCCAAGTTTCCAAATAACAGATACGAAAGTGCCGCCATTATCAATTCTTATATCAATTTTAGCATTTTAAATTTTAAAGTACTTGTTCAGTAATAGCAATTTGGATTCAACTGTAATTTGAACCCAAGAATCAGGTTATTAAATTGTTTAAGTAGAATATTCTTTCTAAATAATGCAGTGTAGTTATTATAAGCAGATCCTCTACAATTTGGCCTTAACTAACTCATGCAATAAGTTATTAAAGATTTCGGAGACTAAGTATTTATTGTGAGCTTTTACAAGAAATTATTCTTAGATATAAATAATAAAATTAATTAATATTCGATCTGTTATACGTGATAATAACATGCAAACTACATCATCCAACAAACGATACAATCCCCTCCCCCCCACTGAGTACATTCCAAATACATAGATGTTAAAAATAAATGGCTTGAGCAAATTTTACAACAGGGTAGTTTGTTTCTTATAATTCCTTTTTATTTAGTAATTAATACTTATTTGAAAGTCACAGGTTAAAACTTTAATTACAAACAATATCTTTTTCCACTTAAAATTAAATAACATAGTTATTTCAATCAATAACGAACGAGACGGGACGGGACTACAGCAAAGATGGCGCATCGCACATAAAAAGTTGCACTCGGAGCGTATGTTTGGAACAGAGCCTCCGCTATCGAGTTGTCAAAATTAAATTGATGCAAAAGAATATGGAGTTTTTGGCGGGATTTCATCGAGTGCGGTTGGCATCTTATTTCACTTATTCTTAAATTCGTTCATAGTGGATATTGTGAAATAAAATTGGTGTGATTTTGTGTTACAACCGTCTGCGCATCTTTAAAATATACGCTATTCCGGTCAAGTGGACGTGAGAACTTTATTGTAGTATTGACTACCTCACAGAAGCTTCGAAAAAGCCAACTCGATATATTTCGTGCTAAAAACTCCAAGAAGCATTAGAATGTGTCACACCCACATTGTAATGTAAAAAAAGGAAGATTAATACAAAAATAAGACGATGGCTGCATGGCTTTGCCTTTCTCAATAAAGAAGAATAGAACTAAAGAAAGCAAACAAATATGTGTAGTCAGACAAAGTTTTGTGCGACTTTTAGGCGGGATCGGGAAGCGTCACTTCAGCAGTTTTGTTTACTTGTTAAAAATTGTGTTGTGGCAGATGTTAGTGTCTAATAATGGTGGATTATTAACCACAAGTGTTCGGGAACATGCACAAGTGTTGGCAAGTGAAACAAAATAGCGGAAAGTGTCTTTCGACGTTCCCTCAAGAAGTCACGGGGAGGTTCCAGTAAATCCCCACACTTTTACTGAAACATGGGGAAAGGGGGATTGACTTGACTGCCACTTACTTTGATTTGACTTATTACTTTGACCACGAGTGCTATAGTATTTGTATACCTATACTTGACATTGGCTAAATGCACAAGCCGTGCGAAGTCATTTAGGAAAAAAAAAAATTTGTGCAGACGATTTTGTTGAATGTTGGTATGTTTTTGTTGATGGTGCAGGGTAAAATACGCGCTGGAGCCGCGGCTTTAGAAAACGAAAATGACATTCAATAAATTATAAAACTACCCTCTTATTTAAATGAACAAAATTATTAGACTTTGAAAATCGTTAATGAATTAGCCCAATATCAATATGTTGTAATAACAAATGAAATTGGAATGATTTCATACGCGTTCGAAGATAAAATTTAACTCAAATCTTTATTAGAATTTTGAATAACAGTGTTCAGTATAATATCTATAATTAATTAAGAAAAATCTTTGATCATTACAACATGCAGGTAAACTATAGCTCTTTGAAGTTTTATAATAATAATAACTTAGATAATATTTTCACCGCGTGTTACTTAATTAAGTAACTAATTAGTTAACGAGCTTTGTGACGTAGTTGCTGGGGAACAGTCCAGTCATGCCGCGTAGTTCGCCTGTAAGAAACACATTTTGTCTAAAAACAAAAATATTAAAAAATAAAAAGCAAGCGGTTAAGGCAGCAGAAAGTATTCATTTGCCATTGTGGATTACCGACAATGCGAAGCGATGGCGCTGCCTTGCAGCCTATGAAATACTAGAGAAAATTCGACACGCTGCCTTATTCACGTGGAATTTTTTCTAGTAAAGTTTTCTTTAGATTTAAACATCTAGCAGTTATATAACTGCTGATTGCAACAAAATACTGCTTTTTCTTTTATTGATACAAATTATTTTTGTCATAGCATATCATATAGCATCATCTGAAAATACTGAAATTTACTAATATGTATCATCGTCATCTGGCGACACTGGCCGCGAAAAAGCACAATTCGGTCATAGGATGGGTGACCAAAAATCTATCTCGAGATAAACGTGCTTTGGAAGGCACGTTAAGCCGTTGGTCCCAGCTGCATCTGCAGTCGTTTCCTCACTGGGCCTGCGTGGTGGGTCATTGGGCCCATCTCCCTATTCCATCCGTAGGGAAGGCCTATGCCCAAGCAGTGGGGATATTAATGGGCTGATTGTGATGATATACAGGGCGTCCCACGGCTACCTCACACGGAGGGAAAGTATATTAAATATTGAAGATAGGATATTTTACTGAAAGAAGACATCATTTTATTTTTGATAATAACAAGAACTGCATTCACAGATTTTTTAAAAATCGCCTGCTACAACTGGGAACCAAACTCGTGAAATTACGAAAAAAAACACGATATATTTTAAATCAGCCAACAAAAGGGTAAATCATAAGTATTATTAATTGCTAAATAACATAGCATCTTAAAAAAAGAATAATATACTTTCCCCTGAGGAGCTCGATGGCGCAACTGGTTAGCGCGTTCGGCTGCGATCGTTGAAGTTAAGCAACTTTCGCAGTGGTCGGTCATTGGATGGGTGACCAAAACTTTACTATCTCGAGCTCCTCCGTGCTTCGGAAGGCACGTTAAGCCGTTGGTCCCGGTTGCATCTGCAGTCGTTAGCACCCACCAATCTGCACTGGGCCCGCGTGGTGGGTCATGGCCCAATCTCCCTAATTCCATCCATAGGGAAGGCCTGTGCCCCAGCAGTGGGGACATTAATAGGCTGATGATGATACTTTCCCTTCGTGTGAGGTAGCCGTGGGACGCCCTGTATATACAATTACCTTGCCACCAAGCCGGGTCCTGACTCCTGTCCGTGACCGCGATAATGTCGTCCTTCTCAAAGCTCAGCTCGTCTGCGTTCTGAGCCGTGTAAGGGTACAACGCTATCACCTGACGGGAGAGAATAGAAGAAGAAACTCAATAAGGGCTGTTCTTTTTTCTTCCTGTATTATTATTTACAGAGTCGTCAAGTTGAAAAATGACTTCAGAGATGATTCATAAGTCACCTTATCATTACATAATGTGAAATCTCTTATCAATAGATATACTTTAACTAGCAAACCAGTGAACCAAATGTTCACCAAAACCTGATTTAAAAAAAAATGTATTTAATTAATTGAGAACTTCGGAGATTTTGTGTGGTTTCGTTTGAAATTCGTGATTTCTCGAAAACCGGAAATGCTACGTTACTCAAATCCAATTTGTAGTCTTATCAGACTATTCTTAACTTATAACTTAAATATTCTCTTTATCTATCTCTTACGGTTTGGCCGCTGAAACAGCACCACAGACGGACGGACGGACTTGTCTATTAGACAAGTAGAATGTTTAAGTTATAAGTTAAGAATACTCTACAAACTACAAACCGGATTTGAGTAACGTAGCACTTCCGGTTTTCGAGAAATCACGAATTTCAAACGAAACCACACAAAATCTCCGAAGTTCTCAATTCTATCTCTTACGGTTTGGCCGCTGAAACAGCACCACAGACGGACGGACGGACTTGTCTAATAGATAAGAGATAGGGGTGATGACGGGGTACAGTAAACGAAATTCTATTTAGTCCGTTAGTTAGATGATCAAAAAATAATGGACACGTATTTTTTCTTTGGGCAATCAACCAAAAAATGACAAAGTTATAGCGCGTCAAAGTTTAGGAGCAGGGGCTCGTGACGTCACTTTTAAGTGAAAATTGTACCAAAACGTGACGTCGTGCGACTTTTCAAATCAATATATCTCTGCAATGTTTATATTATGTGAAAAAAGAAAAAATATGTGTCCAATACTTTTTGACAATCTACCTGATAAACGAAGAAAAAAATAGCCATCATACCTATTGTTCACCTGCAGTTTGATTGCTGTATCACACAGTATAAATACAAATAGTGTTACTTATATTAGGTGTAACTACAGACATCTTAAATATCAAAATAGGGCAGACTCATCTCCGCTGGCAGCACCCAATAAACTATTTGACAATACGAAAAAAAATGTACCAATTGCTGGCATCCGTATTTAATATGAATATTAGAAGTGATTTTACTATACTGAGAGGACAAATAATTTAATAACTTTTCTAAAAAATCATTAAATAGAAATAGGGGTGATGACGGGGTACAGAAAATGAAATTCTATTTAGTCCGTCAGTTAGATGATCAAAAAATAATGGACACGTATTTTTTCTTTGGGCAATCAACCAAAAAATGACAAAGTTATAGCGCGTCAAAGTTTGGGAGTAGGGGCTCGTGACGTCACTTTTGAGTGAATTTTCACTTATAAGTGTACTCAAACGTGACATCATGCGACTTTTCAAATCAATATATCTCTGTAATGTTTACATTATGTGAAAAAAGAAAAAATACGTGTCCAATACTTTTTCATAATCTACCTGATAAACGAAAAAAAAAAATAGTCATCATCGCTATTATTATGTTTTGGCTCTATGGTCACGTGACCGAAAACGCCCGCGATTATCGAAGACTAATATGACGTCACAAGCTAGTAAACTTCCGGTCCAAGTGTCATTACATTGTATCGTTTGACGTTTTAATGACAGTCGTGTGACATCACGCACCAGTGAGACGTCATAGTGTCCACAGAAACTTTTACGCAGCAACTTGAAAATTGTATTTTTGATTTAGTTATATTTACTGAAATACACAACAGAATGATGAATATCCACTTTTTATGGACTCCATAAACATTAGTGAATAACATGATATAGTTTTCTAAAACTTGTTAAATACCCTATTAATTTATCTATACAGTAGCATGCCGATTATGCGAATTAATTGGGACCGGGGTCGATTCGGATAATCGGACATAGACTGGTAATAAATAAAAACGAACTGTCACACATAAAATCTCTTATCTATTAGACAAGTCCGTCCGTCCGTCCGTCTGTGGTGCTGTTTCAGCGGCCAAACCGTAAGAGATAGATAAAGAGAATATTTAAGTTATAAGTTAAGAATAGTCTGATAAGACTACAAACCGGATTTGAGTAACGTAGCACTTCCGGTTTTCGAGAAATCACGAATTTCAAACGAAACCACACAAAATCTCCGAAGTTCTCAATTAATTAAATACATTTTTTTTTAAATCAGGTTTTGGTGAACATTTGGTTCACTGGTTTGCTAGTAAACATTATTAGGTTTAACAAACACAGTTGTATAATGCGATTCAAATAAGAATAGGAAAGACAATGATCTCTATCTGTCAAATGTCGCTTGAAAAGTACGGTTTGAAAAAAAAATCTTGTTACCCTTTTTTAGCACCCCGCTAATTCAAGAATAAAAACCAAACATTTGTAAACAGACAATATTTAATATCGATTGATATTTTTTTTCACTTATTGAGCTTTGGCCATGAATGGTTGATAACCTAAATCGTCAACCAAATGTCACTTTAAGTTGCGTTCAGAAACTCGATTTCAAACATTCGTTTACATAAAGGATAATTGATTATTCATAACTACTCCGGCGGTAATGCACAGATGAGCGGAATAGAAGAGCTAGATTCTGATTGATGTTTTTTCTCACAGTCTTAATAAATAAATATTATTAAACATCGTTTCTTTTTTCTCAATCTTTGTAAATGAATGTTATTAAAAAAATTGATGCTTTTTCGCACTGAAACTTAGTAAATAAGTTTTATTAAATAAAAACTTTTTTTTGCTGACTCTACCTATTTGGTTTGAATTGACAGCTATGACGTCACAATATGGCGCCCAGTCGGTTCTATTCTTAGTTGAATCGCATTATACAATATTCAATACAATAATACAGGTACATAGTAGCAAAAAAAAAACTTGTACCACATTATTAATAAACGGAGGCTAAGCTTGGATTAGTAACTCTATGTTTTGTCTCTGTTCATTGAATGACAAATGCCGCTTGAGTGATAAGAACTAAAAACGGCGTAACTACTCTCAGCCTAGTCTTCGTTTATTAATAAAGGGGTTAGTGTCTTGCCTCTAGATTTCAACCATAATAGTTGAAATACTAACAAACCAGTGAACCAAATAATCACCAAAACCTGATTTCTCGAAAACCGGAAGTGCTACGTTACTCAAATCCGGTTTGAAGTCTTATCAGACTATTCTTAACTTATAACTTAAATATTCTCTTTATCTATCTCTTACGGTTTGGAGATAACAGCATAACAGACAGACGGACGGACTTGTCAAATAGATAAGAGATATCTGGATTCCAGCAAGTTCCAACGTATTGTTTTAAGAGCCCTTTTACAAAATTGCGTCGCTGCCGTACTGATCGGCGCGTAGGTAGATTTGCACTAGTATATATTGCATTTTACGGGTGATGTTTCGAGTCTTATAAAATAATTATTAATGAAGTAATTATAAAAACATATAAATATTTTAGTAGTACAATAATTGTAGATTAGTTTTATGAAAGTTTTTGATAGTAATTCTATTTAAATTAATATGAAAATACGAGGTAAACCTGCATTATTTTTTAACTCGCGAAGGTTAGATGTTTTTCTTTGATAATTAATGAGTTGGAAAATCAAAATTCTAATACATTATGTTACAACAAAAACATATTTCTTTGAAAAATTACCTTGTCTATGACTGTTTCCGCCGGAAGCGTGTCCATCTTGGACAGAACGGGCGTCGTTCTGCCGGATGTACGCCCCGTGGATTGCAACACCTAAGAAACAGAGGTTTGATTGTTAAATAAATAAACATATCTATTTGTACATGAATAAATAAATATTATACGAGGAGCTCCATGGCGCGGGTGGTTAGCGCGTTCGGCTGGGATCGTTCAAGTTAAGCAACTTTCGCAGTGGTCGGTCATTGGATGGGTGACCAAAAATCTTCTATCTCGAGCTCCTCCGTGCTTCGGAAGGCACGTTCAGCCGTTGGTCCCGGCTGCATCTGCAGTCGTTAGCACCCGCCAATCCGCACTGGGCCCGCGTGGTGGGGCACGGCCCAATCTTAGGGAGATTCATTTCATTCCATCCATTGACGACCTCCTTGGCCGAGTGGTTTGTACGCCGGGTTTCATGGTGACGCCGACTCGAGAGGTCCCGGGTTCGAATCCCGGTGGGGGCAGATGTTTGTGTGATGAATACGAGCATTTGTACTCCAGTCATCCATGACTGGATATGTATTTCTATATAAATATACTTATATATGTACAGTTTATGTATTCTATCCGTTACCCTAGCATTCCATAACACAAGCCTTACAGTGCTTACTTTGGGGCTAGGCTAATTGGTGTGAGTGTTGGAAATATTTATTTATTATATTTATTGAAGTTATACTTCTTTAGGCGCGTTATGAAAAAATGATGAGAGTGAAATTTTAAGATGCGCGCGCATCACTGTAACACAAAATATTAACAGCGACCTAAAGTGACCAACTTCATGCTGTTACTTTTGTGTTTACCGCACATTAAGAAAATCTACCAACAAAATAGAAATAGAATCTCTATTTAGTGGGTGCTAACGACTGCATTGTGAAGGCCTATCAAAAGTATTTATTAATCTGGAACAACGGAACCAAAGCGCGATTCAGGAGACTACAGCGCCATCTCTTGACCATTGGTGTAGTAGAACCAAAAACCACATCTTTATTTTTTGTAATAAAGTAACAGTTATAGGTATTCATATTTATAATATCAAAAGTATTTATTAATCTGGAACAACGGAACCAAAGCGCGATTCAGGAGACTACAGCGCCATCTCTTGACCATTGGTGTGGTAGAACCAAAAACCACATCTTTATTTTTTGTAATAAAGTAACAGTTATAGGTATTCATATTTATAATATCAAAAGTATTTATTAATCTGGAACAACGGAACCAAAGCGAGCCTTAGGTATACCTTGACATAGCTGGCGGGGAACCATCCGATCTGTCTATTTCTTCCTTTGGCCTGCAGTTCTCCTTCCCACCATCCGGTGTCTGCTTTCTTGCGAATCACCAACAACTGGCCTTTCTGGAGAGCTAGCTGTTCAGAGCTGTGGACAAAAAGTGTGTTATGATTTTATTTATTTTTTAAGCATTTAACAGCTAGATGTTTAAATCTAAAGAAAAGTTTACTAGAAAAAAATCCACGCGGACCAGGCAGCGGACGGGACTCGAACCCGCATCCTTCGCTATCCGGGCGAATGCACTGACCATTATGTTACCACGGCCCTATTAGCCGCGTCGAAATATTCCTAGCCTTAAGCTGCAAGGCAGCGCCATCTCTTCGCATTGTAAAATTGTAAAGCGCCATCGATTTAAACATCTAGCAGTTAAATGCTTAAAAAATAAATAAAATCATAACTATAATTGCTATTTCTTCTTTCAAATGTTTAATACTTGAAAAAATATTCATTTGACATTGTGGGTTACCTACAATGCGAAGAGATGGCGCTGCCTTGCAGCTTAAGGCTAGGAAAATTTCGACGCGGCTAATAGGGCCGTGGTAGCATAATGGTCAGTGCATTCGCCCGGATAGCGAAGGATGCGGGTTCGAGTCCCGTCCGCTGCCTGGTCCGCGTGGATTTTTTTCTAGTAAACTTTTCTTTAGATAAAAAGTGTGTTATTTGTCAGGATAACTTGCGATGGCAATGAAAAAAAGGAAAAAATCCTGCCAATCCTGAAAAGTACGGTTGCCAAAAAACACTTAGAACACTTTTTTTAGCACTGAGCTAATCTAAGAATAAATACCAAACATTTGAAAAAAAAAGGAAATAAATCATATGAAACGTATAGAAAACGAGTACTGGAAAAGGGAAATATATGAACTTTAGCTTCATTATAAATAAAGGTAGTAAAAAGACCGTTTTTATTTTAAATAACGTTGTCGTTTTAAAACCTACAATTATTGATATTTTATTTTATAGCCGAAAGCATCAGTGATGATCATGACGATGACGATGATGATGACTACTCCGACGGTAGTGCGGAGATGAGCGGAATCAAGGAGCTAGATTCTGATTAATGTTTTTCTCACTGAGTCTTAAGAGCCCTTTTACAAAATTGCGCCGCTGCCGTACTGATCGGCGCGTAGGTAGATTTGCACTAGTATATATTGCATTTTACGGGTGATGTTTCGAGTCTCATATAATAATTTATTAATGAACTAATTATAAAAATACATACATATGTCAGTAGTTCAATGGTAATAGATTAGTTTTGTGAAAGTTTTTGATAGTAATTCTATTTAATTCAATATCAAATTACGAGGTAAACTTGCTTTGTTTTTTGGGAAAACTCACGGAGGTTAGATGTTTTTTTTATAATTAGCGAGATGGAAAATCAAAATTCTAATACATTATGTTACAACAAAAACATATTTCTGATATCGTAGTAATTAATTTGATCTAATTTATTTAGAGATTCAGGCGTTTCAAGTAAACTAGGTGCGGTAGAACGATCAGTACAAAAAAAGGAAAAAAGTACATGCAAATATTCTACATTAACTTACAAAAGGAAAAATAAATCTACTGTTTACTTCTATTGGAAATAGTCAAAATCTTTTTTAAGGGGGTAAGCGAGGCGCTCAAAAATTACGATTTTTTGCAAAAAAATGTGAAAGGGCTCTTAATAAATAAATTTTATTAAAAATCTGATATTTATCCTCACTTAATCTTGGTAAATAAGTATTATTAAAAAAAAACTTTTTTGCTCACTCTACCCAACCGGTTTGGATTGACAGCTATGACGTCACAATATGGCGTCCAGTCGGTCCTATTCTTAATTGAATCGCATTGTATATATTTATTTATTTTTTAACTTTATTGACCTAAATACAAGAGAATGGTACAAAAGGCGGACTTAATGCTAATAGCATTCCCTCTCAGTCAACCTTCGGGAAAAATGAAAAACGCGAACGGCAGTATAAAGCTAAATATACACATAAATATAGATATAATAAATAATATTAAAAATGTATACGAATAAAATTTATACATATATAAATACGTACTACGAAAGTAATACATATACATACATACCACAATTATATTAAAATATATTTACACATAAATATACACAATGATGATTAATAAGGGGGCGTCCATAAATTACGTGAGATGTTTAAGGGGGGGAGGGGGTCGAGTCAAATCTCATCTAATCTTACGTTGGAGAGAGGGGGGGTCTCGGAAAATATCACGCAATTTTTTTTAATGGAACAAAATAGAATTATACTATTTTGGTCCATTTAATCTAGATTGTACACGCTTAATATTTAATCGTAAGCGTTAACGTAATACGATTAAATCATTCACTTATTGGTTCGAAAGGAAAGTCGTAAATAAAAGCACGAAGCAATTTTTTTTTTCTTTTTACAAAAACCCACATATTGAAAAATCTCACGTGAGATTGGGGGATGGGGGAGGGGGTTGAATAAATCTCACGACATCTCATCAGGGGGGGAGGGAGGGACAGAAAATTCAAAAAAACACCTCACGTAATTTATGGACGCCCCCTAAAGTGACTCTTCATTAAATAAAACTAGTTTTTACGGGTTAATGCACGAAACTTTATTTATTTATTGACGTTTCGCAGCCTTTTCAGGTCTGCATCGTCAGAATAATGATTTATTTAAAAAAAAAATCATTATTCTGATGATGCAGACCTGAAAAGGCTAAAAACTAGTTTTATTTAATGAGTGATGTGCGTGAAAACCTAAGAAACAAATGTGACTCTTCATCTTAAATTTTGATGCAGATGAGTGCGAACATTCGTTTTAAATACAAGTTTATTAGGAGATCTTCTGATGGAGTCGGGTAGGTCATTCCACAGCCGTATGGCTTGAAGAGTGAAGGAGTTGGACATATAGCCTGAATGAGAAAGAGGAATGAAGAGAGCTATTGGATCGCAAGAGCTATATAATTATGTTTTTATTTATATTTAAGCATTGAACTGCTAGATGTTTAAATCTAAAGAAAAGTTTACTAGAAAAAAATCCACGCGGACGGGACTCGAACCCGCATCTTTCGCAATCCGGGCGAATGCACTGACCATTATGCTACCACAGCCCTATTGGCCGAGTCCAAATTTTCCTAGCCTTAAGTTGCAAGGCAGCGCCATCTCTTCGCATTGTAAGTACTTCGCAAGTATTAAACATTTGAAAGAAGAAATAGCAATTATATTATGTTTTTATTTATTTAGCTATATAGTTACCTAGTAGGTGTATACGCGGCTATGGCTTGAGCTATTTCCGGTTTCTTCCTGCTCGTAGCGGAGTCTCTTCCAGAATCTCTTCTGGCGCTGGAGGCGGGTCGGGAGGCTGCATTCTCAGTGATGGATGCCACTTCTACCGATATTGGGGTGGAGGATTTCTGTTCCTACGATAGAAAAAACTATTTCTTTTAAAAGCTTTTATTTAAATCTAAAAACAAAAAATACTAGAAAAAAATCGACGCGGACCAGGCAGCAGACGGGACTCGAATCCGCACCATTCGCTATCTGAGCGAATGCTCAGAGCGATTATTCTAGTAAAATTTTCTTTAGTTTAAAACATCTAGCAGTTAAATGCTTAAAAAAACAAAGCTTATACTTAATTTGCAATGTATGTATGTATGGTTTTATGTATGATGTGTGTACGTTTTTTCGGGTGGAATTATGCATCTCAATTTTGAAGCAGATGTCTTCGTTCGATTGAGCAGAAATTTTGTACACACGTTATGTTTGGATGACAGTACATGGAGAGCTGTGTGACGTCATTCTAAATACAAAATGGCGGAACATACAAGATCACGGATTAGTTATTTTTTTATGAACTCCTATAATATGGGTATCAAATGAAAGAGCTTGCTAAAAATAACTCGAAAAATAACCCTTCAAATTTACGAAGGTCATTAATTACATAACTTCTATTTAAAATGTAGTTCTGAACCCACCACTTTTAACTTTTTTCGTAGTACTCTCTCATGAATTTATACTTATATATTGTTTAGCTATATTGGTATTTATACTGTATCACACAGGTTAAAAATTAATCTATATCTGAAGTCATTTTCTCTGTTATTTTTTAAGCATTTAACTGCTAGATGTTTAAATCTAAAGAAAAGTTTACTAGAAAAAAATCCACGCGGACCAGGCAGCGGACGGGACTCGAACCCGCATCCTTCGCAATCCGGGCGAATGCACTGACCTTTATGCTACCACGGCCCTATTCACCGCGACCAAATTTTCCTAGCCTTAAGCTGCAAGGCAGCGCCATCTCTTCGCATTGTAGGTAACCGTTTCTAAACATTATGGCGTAGAACTTGTATGACACTGACGTCACATGCCATTAAAACGTCCAACGATACAATGTAAAAGCGCCTACTGACATGTCTGCCGCAGGGACAATCTAGGTCGACGACGACCTCCGTGGCCGAGTGGTTTGTACGCCGGGTTTCATGGTGACGCCGACTCGAGAGGTGCCGGGTTCGAATCCCGGTGGGGGCAGATGTTTGTGTGATGAATACGAGCACTTGTACTCCAGTCATGGATGTTTAATATGTATTTCTATATAAATATACTTATATATGTACTGTATATATATTCTATCCGTTACCCTAGCATCCCATAACACAAGCCTTACAGTGCTTACTTTGGGGCTAGGCTAATTGTTGTGTTGTAAAAAAAAATTGTTTTGAAGAAAGAAAAAAATTTTTTTTTGATTATGATTAATTACTACATAAGTAGCAACATAGTGCAACACTAGCTCCTCGGGCAACATCTTAGCAACAACTGACTAGTGTGGACGGCAATGTTTCAGAAACAGTGTTTACAATAAACTTGTTTATAAACAAGGCGATGAACTTAATAAACAGTTAATCAACAAATGTTGCCTAATGAATACGTGACAGAACAGTAACTTTAGCACGAACCAATATCGAATTCGTAACGTTTGCTGTGAATGTGTACTGATTTTTAGTTCCCGTTACGTAATTTGTGCCGCTGCTGTTCAAGTTTCTATACAAAATTTGACATTGACATTGCGGTTCGCAAACTATTCGAATTCGATAATGGTTCGTGTTAGTGGTACAGAACACATACAAAATCGCCGGCTGAATAGTATTTCTTGAAATAAAAGCGTTCATACTATTTTTTCTGAAACTTTTAATTTTTCGCACACTACTCACCTGAACAACATCCGGTTCCGGCGCCGGCTGTACGGGCTCGGGTTCCGGTTCCGGTTCCGGCTCGGCCGCTTCCGGAATGCTGGTGATTGCGGGCGAACAGGTGGCGTCCTTCGTCACGTAGTTTGAAGGGAATATGCCTGTCCTATGGGGGTGATATATAAAGTCTTAAAATTATATATAGTACTAGCTGACCCAGCGAACTTCGTACCGCCCTAAAAAAATAGGGGTTGTCCAGCGGACAAGATTGTGAATCTAAACCATTCTCAGATCCCCTTGAACACACACAAAAAATTTCATCAAAATCGGTCCAGTCGTTTAAGAGAAGTTCAGTGACATACACACTCACAGAAGAATTATATATATAAAGACTAGCAAACCAGTGAACCAAATGTTCACCAAAACCTGATTTAAAAAAAAATAAAAATAAAAATGTATTTAATTAATTGAGAACTTCGGAGATTTTGTGTGGTTTCGTTTGAAATTGGTGATTTCTCGAAAACCGGAAGTGCTACGTTACTCAAATCCGGTTTGTAGTCTTATCAGACTATTCTTAACTTATAACTTAAATATTCTCTTTATCTATCTCTTACGGTTTGGCCGCTGAAACAGCACCACAGACGGACGGACTTGTCTAATAGATAAGAGATACTAGCTGACCCAGCGAACTTCGTACCGCCATAAAAATAGGAGCAGTTGGTAGAAGAGAAAATTTAGGGTTGTATGTAGTTTTTAATACTTGATTATAAGAAAATAAGTATTGTCCATAAAAAAATGTAGGGGTGTGTAATATAGTGTTCTATCAATTTCCTGGGATAACATTCCTCCTAACCCATATGAGAACACTACGTTACAATACCCAATAGTTTGAATTTTGGTGCGAAGGCGCATTGTAGGTTTCAGAACACCGTTACAGGTGGACAACCATTATCACTTAAGGATATGAAAAATAGATAGTACCCGATTCTCAGACCTACTGAATATGCATATAGAATTTCATAAAAATCAGTCAGGCCGTGTCGGAGGAGTATGGTAACTAACATTGTGACACGAGAATTTTATATATAAGATTATCTCAAACAAAAAAAGATAAATGGTTAACAGGAAATATACCCGTCCTTTAAAAGAAACTGTTTCTAAAGTTTTCACGCACACCACTCAATAAATATATTTTTTTTGGTATAAAATGGCTATTTATTTTCTCTTTGGCTATACTGTATTTTCAGGGCCCAAGTGGTGATACTTCACACTAGGTTAGGTTAGGTTAGTGTTACGTGGAGAGTCACCAGGATCCCACGAAACCCGTTCCGGCAGGCGAGGAAGCACTTTTGGTTTTTTAGTGGGTAGCCCCCCCCCCCCCTAGCTCCTCGATTTGGGGGGAGGAGGAGTCCCACATAACCCCGCCGCTCACCCAGGAGCGGGGTATGCGTTTTCCCAACAAAAAAAAAATAAAAAATTAGGTTAGTGTTGAGACCAAAACGCGCGAGCCGAGCGAGCAAAGCGAGCGTGCCATATCAGCGGCCGGCGAAGCGCTAGAAAAAAAAAATTAAGAGACCTTTTCTACAAAAAATCAAGTATCATCTCTTGGGCTCTGGAAGTACAGTTTTGCCTTTTTTCTTACATAAAACTCGATATTTACTCAGATAGATTATTGTTACACGAAAGATTGCATGTACCTAATTAATGAAAATGTATAATTTGTGTACTACGATGACATTATTGTTATTATTACCTAATGTCAATAAGTTTGGTATGAAAGATTTTTAATAGGCTATTTAACAGTAGGAAAAATAAAGTCCTAATTGTTGGTATACATTTTTAATACGAATATAAGTCTATGTAACAGATTTTACTATTCTGAGGGGACAAATAATTAATAACCTTTCCAAAATAATCATTCAAAAGAAACGATTCTTTTGTTCTGTGCTCACGTGACCGAAAAGGCCTGGGATTGGCGAAGATAAAATGACGTCACACGCTAGTAAACTCCCGGTCTCGGTAGTGACATTAAATTGTAAAGTTTGTCGTTTCAATGACAGCCGTGTGACGTCACACACCAGTGAGACGCCATGATGTCCAAAGCTTTCGCGGCAACTTTAAAATCTATTAGATTTTTTAAAGTGAAACTTCTTTAGGCACGCTTGACTCGGGGGGTAAACTGGCGAATGTGTTACGAGTTACGCGTTACGATTAGTGTCACCGATCACACACATATATGTATATACATACAGATGGAGCTAAAGAAGTCTCAGTTCAGTCGTCATAAGCACACTCGCTTTTTTTTTACTGAAATACACAACAGAATGATTGATTAATTATCATTTTATGGACTCCATTAACATGAGTAAATAACTTGAGATCGTTTTCTAAAACCTATCAAGTTCCTTACGTCCGTTGTGGCACTGTTCAACTTTCCATAGAAAACTTGTTGACATTTGACGCTTCATCATCATCTACATCAGCCTGGGGCACAGGCCTTCCCTATGGATGGAATAGTGAGATTGGGCCATGACCCACCACGCGGACCCAGTGCGTATTGGTGGGTGCTAACGACTGCAGAGCAGCCGGGACGAAACGGCTTAGCGTGCCTTCCGAACCACTGAGGAGGAATAGTAAATTTTTGGTCACCCATCCAATGACCGACCACTGCGAAAGTTGCTTAACTTGAGTAAGTTACCTTATGCCAATTCTCCCAGTCCACCAATCGCCGTCCCTTCTGATGACCTCGATTCTCTCCCCTGCTTCAAAGGTGAGGTCACCAGGCTCAGTGGAAGTGTATGGGTACGCGGCTATGTAGAAATCTCCACCTTCTGTGTAGGGAATAGGGGCCAAATTCGTATATCATAATAAGCTAGAAGTATACTTAACTAAAGAAAAGTTTACTAGAAAAAAATCCACGCGGACCAGGCAGCAGTCGGGACTCGAACCCGCACCCTTCGCTATCCGGGCGAATGCACTGACCATTATACTATCGCGGCCCTGACGGCCGTGTCTTTAGATTTAAACGTCTAGCAGTCACATGCTTAAAAAAACATAACTATAATTGCTATTTCTTCCTTCAAATGTATAATACTTGTAAAAGTATTAATTTGACATTGTGGGTTACCTACAATGCGAAGAGATGGCGCTGCCTTGCAGCTTAAGGCTAGAGGAAGTCCGACACGGCCGTCAGGGCCGCGGTAGCATAATGGTCAGCGCATTCGCCCGGATAGCGAAGGGTGCGGATTCAAGTCCCGTCTGGTGCCTGGTCCGCGTGGATTTTTTTCTAGTATACTTTTCTTTAGATTTAAACATCCTTACTCATGAATACTTTTTCAAGTATTAAACATTTGAAAGAAGAAATAGCAATTATAGTTATGATATTATTTATTTTTTAAGCATTTAACTACTAGATGTTTAAATCTAAAGAAAAGTTTACTAGTAACATTTTTTTACGTCCCATATTCTTAATTTTCGGAAACTTATCCATATTTTAAAAACCAAAATTCATATTGTCATTTTCTTATCCATCAATACAAGGTATCCTTACATTGCTGCACAGTTGAACATAAAAAAAATCTATATTTAATTTATATTTAAAGGTTGTCTGGAAGAAATCGCTTTTAGCGAAAAGACCGCCCAATGAATTACTATGTTTAAACATAATGTATTTACCCCATTTATGTACTGTACTGTGGTGTTTCCGAAAAAAGAATAGGCATGATGACTAATTTTTTTTTTCTTCGTTTATCAGGTAGATTATCAAAAAGTATTGGACACGTATTTTTACTTTTTTCACATAATATAAACATTGCAGTGATATATTAATTTGAAAAGTTGCATGACGTCACCTTTGAGTACACATATAAGTGAAAATTCACTAAAAAGTGACGTCACGAGCCCCTACTCCCAAACTTTGACGCGCTATAACTTTGTCATTTTTTGGTTGATTGCCCAAAGAAAAAATACGTGTCCATTATTTTTTGATCATCTAACTGACGGACTAAATAGAATTTCGTTTACTGTACCCCGTCATCACCCCTATCGTGTATTGTTTATTTAATGCACGTAAAAAAATTTTTTTTTTTCAAAACCACGCGTTATTTTCACAAACGTAAAATTTAATTCGAGTGTTGCAGTATGTAAATATAGCTTACCGACAACAGGCACTGCCCCATTTCCAATGTCGTTTGCGTTTTCAGCCTCTGGTACTTCGGCTATGCCTAAGTAGAAAAAAAATATATTATAACAAAATCCCCTGAAAACTGCCGAAATATAAAAATAATCATAATTTTATAATACAGTTTGATTGCGACATAAATAAGGAGCCTTACAAATAGTCTCCAGACACAAAAAGTTTTCGTAAGAACACTTGCTTTGGACCAAAGATCTCTTATCTAATAGACAAGTCCGTCCGTCTGTGGTGCTGTTTCAGCGGCCAAACCGTAAGAGATAGATAAAGAGAATGTTTAAGTTATAAGTTAAGAATACTCTACAAACTACAAACCGGATTTGAGTAACGTAGCACTTCCGGTTTTCGAGAAATCACGTGATTTCTATTTCAAACGAAACCACACAAAATCTCCGAAGTTCTCAATTAATTAAATACATTTTTTCTTGGTGAACATCTTGGTTTGCTAGTTATTGTTTATTCAAGAAAAAATATATTTATTATTGTTTCTTTATATTCTTCATTAGCAAACTCAAATCAATAGCTAGACCATCAAAAAGTATTGGACGTGTATTTTTCTCTATTTTCACACAATCAAAGCATTACTGAGATATATTGATTTGAAATGGCGCTTGACGTCACCTTTGTACAATTTTTATGACGTCACGAACTCCCAAACTTCAACGCGCTCATATAATTTTTCGGTTGATTGAAAACAATAAAATTGTGTCTATATTTTTTGACAATCTGACTGAATATATAGATTTTCGTTCACTTCACCCCCCTTTCAAACCTGATTCATCCGGCGCGTAGGACCATTTTCTTCTTGAATTAGAAGTTAAATATATTCTAAAGTTTTAAATCCCTCTGCAGTTGAAGGGTAGATAAACATCATCTCGGAATAGGGAAATCCCGAGCTAGCGCGAGGAGCTTCGGTTCGGCGCGTTCAGCTGCGATCGTTGAAATGAAGCAACTTTCGCAGTTGTAGGTCATTGGATGGGTGACCAAAAATCTTCTTTCTCCGTGCTTCGGAAGGCACATTAAGCCGTTGGCCCGGCTGCATCTGCATTCGTTAGCACCCGCCAATCCGCACACAGAGATACTCTATATATGTAACCCAACAATCGCACGAAGTTTCATTCATCATTATCATCAGCCTATTAATGTCCCCACTGCTGGGGCACAGGCCTTCCCTATGGATGGAATAGGGAGATTGGGCCATGACCCACCACGCGGGTCCAGTGCGGATTGGTGGGTGCTAACGACTGCAAATGCAGCCGGGACCAACGGCTTAACGTGCCTTCCGAAGCACGGAGGAGCTCGAGATAGTAAATTTTTGGTCACCCATCCAATGACCGACCACTGCGAAAGTTGCTTAACTTCAACGATCGCAGCCGAACGCGCTAGCCACCTGCGCCATCGAGCTCCTCCGTTTCATCCGGTTCGTGTCCGAAGTTTCATTAAAACATTCAATTTCACCTGATATAGTCAATCATATTATAAAAGAAATAATAATCCTCGCCGCTAGTTTAATCTGATTATTCCTCCCGAACCTAAACTGGAGATGTATAAAAATGGACCATTATACCGATCCATAATGATATATAATAAAATTCTCGTTATTATTAAAACAGAATCTAATATAAACATATTTAAGAATAAATTGAAACAGCATCTTATAAAAAAAACGTATTATTCTGTTGATGAATTTATGAATGAAAAATAAATTTAATTTAATTTAACTTAATTATGCTTGACCTGTTTATTTGATTTGATTTAGTTTAACTTAATTATGTTTGACCTATTAATTTGATATGATGTGATTTAACTTGATAAGATATGATTTTGATTTGACTATGATGATATGATATGATTATGATGACATGACAGTGGTTCTCAAACTTTTTAAATGACGGAACCCTTTTGGGAAGCAAAATACTTGATGGAACCCTACAATAAAACAATTATTTTTATAAGTGTATTCTATATTAATCAGCATAATAAAAGTACAATGTATCCGTTACTAATTATTATTTACTTCACCACTTGGTAAGGACAATAATAGAAAACATTAAAAAAGAAAAAATCTAACTAGTGGGAGGTATGAAACTGTTTTTTATTTTTCATCAATTGCTTGATATCAGGTTTGATGGAAGAAAGTTGGAGTCTCATATCAGCTTCGGCGTCCAGTCTATTGCGATATTTTGTTTTCGTGGCTGCGTAGGTAGAGAATCCTGTTTCGCACAAATATGTAGTTGGGAACGGGAGAAGAATATCCAGAGCCATTTGGCCAAGCATTGCATATTCATCTTGGATTCTGCACCAAAAATCATTAAGAGGCGTCGTTTTGAACAATGACTCCATACTTGTGTCTGATGACATTTCTAAAAGAGATTCATATATCTCATTTGACATGTTTTCAGGCTTTTCCAAGTTGGGTAAAAAAGGATTATGAATCCAGGAGTTCACTTTAATTTTTGTATTGTGTTCTTCGGGAAAATACTTTTCAAAAGATGCGCGCATCGAACTGAGATATTGGACCAATTCTTCAAACACATTATCTTCAAACATTTCTGAGTCGTTTTCGCTAACAAACTCAGTGAGTAACGTAAAACTTTCTATTTCTTTCTTACCAATGCAAATGATCCAAAAATCTAATTTTCTTTTAAAAGTAGTTATTTTATTATAGGCCTGAAACACTGTTGTCTGTTTACCTTGCAATGATAAATTTAATTCGTTAAGTTTTTGAAAGATATCCGCCATAAAAGACAATCGGAACAACCAAGTTTTATCATACAAACGGTCCTTCAAATTAAAAGAAGTATCTGCTGAAAGAAACATTTGTAACTCGGCTCTAAGTTCAAATAGCCTTGTTAAAGTTTTTCCCCGAGACAGCCATCGCACTTCTGTATGGAGCAGCAGTGTTTTATGTTTGCTGCCATAATCTTCACACAATAATGAGAACAATCGGGATTGTAGTGGTCGTGATTTGATAAAATTAATTATTTTTACCGCTTCATCCATAACTAATTTTAGATTAGACGGCATTTGCTTCATCGCAAGTGCTTGTCTATGCAGAATACAATGACTGGAACTACAATTAGGCGCTTTATTTTTCATTCGTGACACTGCTCCTGCTGTTTTACCTGTCATCGCCTTGGCCCCATCTGTACAAATGTCAATGCAATTGTTCCAACTGAGATTATGTTCTTCAAAAAATATATTTATTTTATTAAAAATTTCTTCCCCGGTAGTGTTTGTAAGCAGCGATGAACACATAAGCATGTCTTCTTCAAAAGAACTTTTATATGGATATCTCACAATAACCAGCAGGATAGCCAAACCAGCGACATCAGTCGACTCGTCCATTTGCAAAGCGAATCGTGTATTTTGTAGACGTGTAACTAGTTCTTGTTTGACGTAGCTTGCCAGATCATGGATTCGTCGTGAAACAGTATCGTTTGATAGCGGAACAGTAGAAAGATGCTTTGCAGATTTTTCATCAAGCATACATTTTGTTATGTCTAATACACATGGTTTTATTAATTTCTCAGCGATAGTGTGCGCTTCACCTGCTTGTGCAATGCGATAGCTAACTAAGTATGATGCCTCCGTGGCCTTTTCGTTGGTAGTTTGTGTTACATGCATCATATTTTTTTGACTTTCTAATAACTGATCTTTTTTGCGAACAAAAAATTCTTTATTCTTGTCTTTAGTCTCGGGGTGTACGGTTTCTAAATGTCGACGCAATTTGGCAGGTGCCATGGAACTATTAGGAAGCAGTTTACTACAGAGCATGCAGAGAGGTGAGCCGTTGGAATCAACAAATCCGAAACTGATATAAGATTCATCATACTTCCTTTTTTTCGTCTTTGAAACCGTCGAGCTTGACGTCGTGGCACTCGTGGCATCATCTTCTGGATCGGTGATTGCTAAATTCTCCGCGCGCATTGCTTTTGAACATTCAGCGTCATTAGAAGATGTTGTTGGAACACGTTTAACACCTTTAAGCCAACGTTCCATTCTTCTTTATTTATAATGTTACAAGTCAGGATAGTGGGGTTTAAATAATGCACAATCGTTACTGCGTATAAGAGACTAAATTTAGAACCTACAGGGAAGAAATGTATAAAACTGAGACAACAGAATACAGCAGGCAGTAAAACAATGAACACCAGTTTCTCGCTAGCGAGCTTGTAAGTAGGTAGTAACTTATCGCTCCGAACGCTAATCATCAACTGACGACGCCAACGCGCGATCGCCGCTTTTATACTTAGTCCTAGACTCGATCTCAAATATTCTCGAAAATACTCGAGTCGGCACCTTTGATAAACAAAAAGCAAAAATAAAAACAGAAATTTAAAAATAGCGTTGTAAACAATATCGACTTTATCCTTTGAAGTTAGAGACGAAAGTCGCTAGTTGACAACTATAGCGTCTAATTCAGAGGCGGCTTTTATCAAAGAGACTGAGCGCTTACAAGTATACTACCCGCTCGTTTTAAGTTTGCCGCTGGCGATAGGTATGAGTGTATGACGTTCGAAATTTTTTATTTAATTGTAACAATAAAAATTGTGTACGTTAGATATTTGGGTAAAACTATGACACATTATAAGTTTTGTTGTCACGTGGGGGAGGGTACGCGCATTCCACAGACCGGCAAACTTAGAGCGAACGCGTTGTACAAGTATAAAATTGTTGAGACCAAACTTATGAGATATTGTACCAGCTAATGTAACACAAGCTTATACAAATACAAATAAATAAATAAATAACATTCATAGCGTTTTGTCTCCGCGCGGCCGCGGAGTCCGCACAGCCGCGGAGCGACCAGAGAGAGGTGTTTTGATTTTTTTATTTCTAAATTCTTGCGGAACCCCGACAGAGGTATCACGGAACCCTAGGGTTCCGCGGAACACACTTAGAGTATAGCTGCTTTATAGCACAAGCCTGAGAACAAAAAGTATAGTTTACACTACAGCTCTACACCGAAGCGAAGCGAGGGCGGGCCACTAGTATGATATAAATTGACTTGATTAATTTTTAAAATGGATTGATTTTGTTTAAATTTGGTTGGACCTGATGTGATTTAATATGATCAACAATTAAGTGAAAATAATGTATTTAATGTTAAGCTCTATTAACTATTAAGTATATATAAGACCTTATAATAAATAATGTACATGAGCAATGTGATATAAATAAAAATAAATAAATAAAAAAAACTAGCAATCCAGTGAACCAAATGTTCACCAAAACCTGATTTAAAAAAAAATGTATTTAATTAATTGAGAACTTCGGACATTTCGTGTGGTTTCGTTTGAAATTCGTGATTTCTCGAAAACCGGAAGTGCTACGTTACTCAAATCCGGTTTGTAGTCTTATCAGACTATTCTTAACTTATAACTTAAATATTCTCTTTATCTATCTCTTACGGTTTGGCCGCTGAAACAGCACCACAGACAGACGGACGGACTTGTCTAATAGATAAGAGATGTTTTTTGAAGACATCGGTACATTTTCTGAATTTATGTTTGATCTTTCCTTCTGCTAACCTGGAATTTTGCTATTCTGGGGTATGGTCAGTCGTTTAGCTGCAGAGTAGAGGGTTTAAATTTATTTTCAATTTAAATAAACTTACCTTCTAACTGTGTTTTGGTCTCCATCGGTTCGATGACTTCGTTGTATGTGGTTGGAGCATTCATGTCCTCCACATATGACTCGGGGAACCAGCCAGATTGACCTAAATAAATAAATAAATATAAATATTTCCAACACTCACACCAATTAGCCTAGCCCCAAAGTAAGCACTATAAGGCTTGTGTTATGGGATACTAGGGTAACGGATAGAATACATATACTATACATATATAGGTATATTTATATAGAAATACATATTTAAACATCCATGACTGGAGTACAAATGCTCGTGTTCATCACACAAACATCTGCCCCCACCGGGATTCGAACCCAGGACCTCTCGAGTCGGCGACGCCATGAAACCCGGCGTATAAACCACTCGGCCAAGGAGGTCGTCAATTATATTATTATATATAAAGATGATGATTTTTTTAAGCATTTAACTGTTAAATGTTTATGTCTAATGGTGGCGAGGGGTCCGGGTTCGGATCCCGTCTGCTGCCTGGTCTGTGTGGAGTTTTCTCTAGTAAAAAAATTTTTTAGACTTAAAAATGTAGCAGTTTAATGCTTAAATTATTTTTTAAGAAAAAAAATGTTTTTATGTATCTTTTTTTTTTTAATATTTTGGTTTTGCAATTGCACACCACTTTGATTAAATCTCCTCTCTGCATCTTATGATTGTCTGAAAGAAATGGCTACATAGCCATAAGACCGCCTATTGTCCACTATTTTAAATTCCTGTCCTAACTTTGCTATATATAATGTGGTGTGTTCAATAGGGTATTTGACAAGGTTTAGAAAAAGGTCTCACGTTATTGACTGATGTTTATAGAGTCCATAAAAATTTAAATATTATAAAGGATATTCTTCATTCTGTTGTGTATTTCGGTAAAAAAACTAAATCAAAAACTCTATTTTTATAAGTTGCCGCGAAAAATGTATCTTTGGACAATATGGCGTCTCACTGGTGTGTGACGTCACACGACTGTCATTAAAACGTCAAACCATACAATCTACTTTAACCGGAAGTTTACTTGCGTGTGACGTCATTTTAGGCTCCACCAATCCAAAGCGTTTTGGGTCACGTGACAATAGACAAGAAAACTATTATCTTTGTCGAGGGTTTTTAGTAAAATTATGAATATTTCTTTTGTAAAAATAGTAAAAACCCCTGCCAATATTCATTCTAAACACAGATGCTGACAATTGGCACTTTATTTTTAATACTGTCAAATACCCTATTGAAGTGAAACCTTCCTTTCGGACGTAGTGTAAATGGAAAGTATGAAACGGAAATGCATCACGAGCGTCAAACAACTATATATATATATATATATATATATATATATGTGTGTGTGTGTGTGTGTGTGTGTGGGATGCGCGCGCAGCTCTTCCCGACGAGCATGAAAGTTGCAGGGTGACTAAATCGGCGAAGGTTGAAACGCTTCGAGCGTCACACGCGCCAATATATATATGAGTGATGCGTGCGCTGCTCCTCCCTTACGCCTTATGCACCGCGCCTAATGTTAGGTTATTTAAGAAAACAAGTTTTTCTTCAGATGTGTGCTGCGTGCACACAATTATTGATGTGTAACATCTTCCCTCTCGCTTTCGTGCAATTTGCGAGAGTTACGTGAAGTGGGACGGAAGTGTGTAACAGGAAGTTTGGGAAGCGCGCGCTATTTGATTTGATTTTAGAACATAATGTTCAAATGGCTTATTCCTTTTACTTTCTTATACTTCTACTATTCCTTATACTTCTTTAGGCGCGTTGTGAAAAATTGATGAGAGTGAAATTTTAAGATGCGCGCGCATCATGTAACTCTAAATTTGAACACCATGAAGTTGGTCGCTAAAGCGACCAACTGCCGCGCTGCCATTACCGCGTCGCCCGCCGCACCGTACGCATGCGCGGCCACTCGCGGTCCTAGCGCGGGAAACACGTACAACGAACATCGGGAAAAGTTACGAGTTTTGAATTTAGAACAGAGACTGTTTTCATATCTATATATATAAAAATTAAACCCGTTTTCCGTTGTCACGACATAACATGAAAACGGCTTGACCGATTTGGCTGGTTTTTTTTTGTAGTTTTCTAATACTCTGTACAAGGTTCTTACGGAAAAAAATATAAAGAAAATCCCAAGGGGATAAAATAAGGAATGAAAGTTTGTATGAAACTTTATCAATTTTAAACCGATCGGGTTGAGACTTTGCATGCAGGTATAAGAAGAATCATAGATGAATGTCATTGTGTATAATACAAGCCTGAGAACAAAAACTGTAGTCTACACCTCAGCTCTACACCGAAGCGAAGCGAGGGCGGGCCGCTAGTTTATAATATTTATCCACATGTTTCTAGTTTGTATATTCGGAATACGTGTTTGAGTTTCATACAAGTGCAAATCACATATGTTCTAATAAATTATATTCAGTAGTGATTTTAATTGAATATTTTGATTATTTATTTATTTTTTCAAATTAAAACTGAACTTTATTGACTGTGTCCTTTTCCAGACTTTTTATTAATTTATTGTAATTAATTATTTGCAGGCAATTAAAAACTAATTTTAAACGATGCCAAAGAAGGATAACTTCTCACGCGCCTACATAAGTACACGCACCCATTTTTTTTACTATAATGCGATTCAAATAAGAATAGGAAAGCCAATGACCTCTATCAGTCAAATGTCGCTTGAAAAGGACGGTTTGCAAAAAAAAACTTGGAACCCTTTTTTAGCACTCCGCTAATTCAAGAATAACCAAACATTTGTAAACAAACAATAACAAATATTGATAATTAATATCGGTTGTTTTTTTTTCACTTATTGAGCTTTGGCCATGGCCATGGTTGATAACCTAAATCGTCAACCAAATGTCACTATAAGTTGCGTTCAGAAACTCGATTTCAAACTTTCGTTTACATAAAGGATGCATGTTCGTATGTGACCTAGTAATAGTGCATGATTATTCATAACTACTCCAGCGGTAATGCAGAGATGAGCGGAATAGAATAAGCTAGATTCTGATTAATGTTTTTTCTCACAGTCTTCATAAATAAATATTATTAAAAATCAGTGTTTTTTTCTCAATCTTAGTAAATAAATGTTATTAAAAATATCTGATGGTTTTTCTTTAAGTTTTATTAAATAAAAACTTTTTTTTGCTCACTCTACCTATTTGGTTTGAATTGACAGCTATGACATCACAATATGGCGACCGGTCGGTCCTATTCTTAGTTGAATCGCATTATAATATAAGGTGAGGTTTCAAATGTTACACATCATACGCAACTAAATAAAAAAACGAGCAAGAAAACTGACCTCTAGCGGTCCCCCATCTCCAACCGGGTTCCGCATCGCCTCTCGGCGCCGTCGCATCGCTTACCTAATAAAAATGAAACAAATGTTCAATTCCCTTACAAAATTATATAAGACAAACTAGCTGACCCAGCGAACTTCGTACCGCCCTAAAAAAATAGGGGTAGTCCAGCGGTCAAAATTGTGAATCTAAACCATTCTCAGATCCCCTTGAACACACACAAAAAATTTCATCAAAATCGGTCCAGTCGTTTAAGAGAAGTTCAGTGACATACACACTCACAGAAGAATTATATATATAAAGATAATAAATTTTCAACGCATTTGGTCAACAAATGCATTTACGGAGGTTGTATACAACAACAACAGGTTAATAAAGGTTGTAAAATGTGAAGGGTGGTCCACCCTTAATTTTATTTTTATATGATGCATCATACGAAAATACATACAGCCGTAAATTTTCACCCTTCTACCACCCATATTTTTATGGCGGTACGAAGTTCGCTGGGACAGCTAGTATGTATATAAATTTTCATAAAAATCGGTCAAGCCGTTTCGGTGCAATATGGTAACTAACATTGTGACACTATATAAGAATAACTTTTATCTTATAATTTTTTTCTCAACCATCAACGCCATTAAAATATTAAAATATTTAAGGCCAGAACTCGTGAACGTCATATTGGAAAACTTTGTGTAGTCCCCTGTAATACGGCACTATTTAGGAAAAGTGTGTTCTGCAATGCTGCTTATATTTCTAGTAAATTACCTGAAAGTTTACTAGAAAAAATCCACGCGGACCAGGGCAGCGGACGGGACTCGAACCCGCATCCTTCGCTATCCGGGCGAATGCACTGACCATTATGCTACCACGGCCCTATTAGCCGCGTCGAAATTTTCCTAGCCTTAAGCTGCAAGGCAGCGCCATCTCTTCGCATTGTAGGTAACCCACAATGCCAAATGAATACTTTTTCAAGTATTAAACATTTGAAAGAAGAAACAGCAATTATAGTTATGATTTTATTTATTTTTTAAGCATTTAACTGCTAGATGTTTAAATCTAAAGAAAAGTTTACTAGAAAAAATCCCCGCGAAGCATAATGGTCAGTGCATTCGCCCGGATAGCGAAGGATGCGGGTTCGAGTCCCGTCCGCTGCCTGGTCCGCGTGGATTTTTTCTAGTAAACTTTTCTTTAGATTTAAACATCTTGCAGTTAAATGCTTAAAAAATAAATAAAATCATTACCTGAAAGTGTCAGAGAAATTACCGTGACCAATATATTTAAAAACAAATTACAATATTTTTGACGTGACAACGTCTTAAATTAGGTTGCGGCTGGGAGTCACTTATGAAAAAGTGTAACGCTCGGTAACGTTACGATGAGTCTCTCGTGTTAAGTTTAAGTTTACATGTACAATGTTTTAGTAAACAAAATATATTTCTATAGTTAAAAGGAGAATGGGCAAATCCGCCTAGATTGCGCTTGACGCATTTATGTATCAAAAATCTTCTTCTGAATTATCATTTCATATGTGTGTTTATTATGTAAATATTATGCGGATATTTAAAATAATAAATAAATGGCTATTAAACTGAGTAAATAACCAATAACCATAGATAAAAGTTGTATCACCTGGTCGATACTATCGATCGTAGAAAAAAAAATCGATTATATTTCTTTATTTAAATATTCTTAACATAAAAAACGAGTGTGCTTATGACTACACAACTGAAGTGAAACTTCTTTCATTTACTAGCTGTAAGAGAAAAAGAGAAAGAAAATGCGTGCGCGCGCTCTTGCTCCTACACTGTGATACAGACAAAAGGCTTGCACTGTGCTTAGATATACGGAACGTATTTGGCTATGAGAGGAAGAGAGAAAGAAAATGTGCACGCGCACTGCTTTCTCATGCTTACATCCCCCACTCAACTCCCGTTCGCCTCGCCCGATCACACTACGTTCGCTAGCTTACTCCCCAAGTCAAGAGTGCGTAAAGAAGTTTCACTTCAAAAAGAAAAAATAAAACGTTTATTATAATTGAAAGCATAGAACAATTGTAAATAGCCTGAAACATTTTTACCAAACACCGTAAATGACTACGAAATAATGATCATTCGTTAATTCGTAGTCATTTTTTATTTTGAGGTCTTCGATGCGAGTTGTTTGATTTTTGTATGGATCGATGGATAGATTATTTTCCCCAAATCGCCTATTCAGAGGGCCTGGTTTCGAATTCCGGTGAGGCAAATGTTTGTATGATGGATACGAGCATTTTTACCAATATTATATCATGATAAATAACATTAAATTCATAAAGTTATCATTTGTAAGACCTGTGTTGTGACAATGTCACTGTACCTACCAGGGATTGCTCTCTTTCATTGCATCTAAAAACTAAAAGGAACTTAATGGGCTGCGCAAAAGAGGATTTTTTGTCTGCGGATTATTTTGTTCATCAAACAGTAGATCGCATACAAAAACTTTTATATGTGTACTCTACATATTCACATCTTAGATTAAAAAGGGAATATATTTTTGTTTAAATTATCAGTTATGTTATATATAATTACTTAATCATATATAAATTAACTCATGGTTTGAACATTTTAAGCATTTGCATTGAAAAATAAAACATTTATTAATCGATTGTGTAGGAATCGATTCCTATAGAATCAAATCGAAATATATACCATAGGCAAGTGAAGTAGGTAGCTGTCAACTTGTTGTCAACGTGTTTGTTGTTTGTTCCGGTGCAGTTTTCAATTTTGAATTGAATTTGTGTTTTCAGTGGTCTATTGTGGCAGAATAGTTTTAATGTTGAGTTGATAATCCTCCGTTAATAACTGTTTTTGGGAAAGAGAGCATTGGACTCGTTGATTTAGTGTTAAGTTACCTTTAGTGATTCTAACAGAGATATTTGGACTCTTAGTTCATTGTAATTGTTTTTGTTTACAATGGCATCTGGTGTTACACAAGAAAACGCAGGCAGTATGCAACGACGTTGTATTAACTGTTAACAGTGCCACGACGACAGCCAGTACATTCTTTGGACATGCTATCCAATTCAATGCTTAATGTTTTAAGCTCATGGATCGCACCTGATTCTGTTGTGGAAAATCCATATTAAGAAGTCGATCGTACAGGGTTTCACTACACTGTCCAGAAAGAAATATTATTCTTAGATGGACTCCAGCACATCAGGTATGGTATAAGATATTATTATCAATAATAAATTATTAAAATTGATTTCAATGCTAATTAAAACATGACTGTGACATTATTATTATTATTGCATTGCATGATTGAAATGTTATATTAATAATAATTTATTTAAATTGATTTCAATACTAACTGAAACATGACTGACATTTTTTTTTACATTGCACAATTGTCATGTAGTATATTAATGAAATTGATTATATAATAACTAACTCAATCATGACTATGGTATATAAATATATATTAATATATAGTTTTTAAAGATTGAGTTCTGGATAATACTGCAACTACCTATAAGTATTTGCATGTTGATAAAAGCGACAGGTCATGTTGGTTATATTTTTGAGATCTGTATAATTTACCATATCTTGTCAGTTAAATGATTTATTATTATTATTATAAGAAATATATTTCTATTGCATAAAATAGTTGTAGATGGTTTTTCATTAAATTCAAGTTCACTTATCTTTTTTATAGGTGTCAAGAATTTCAAGAGTTTGTGCTGCCTGTTGGCAAGCAGCTAATAGGGAAGTGCAAAGGCAACAGTTACATGATGCGAATCGGTCATCAATTGAACAAATTGATGTAGAACCAACAGAGTCTGTACCAGTGATCCCAGTACCACCACCATTTCCCGCTGGTCTATTACCTGTTCAGAGCTCAAGACCTGTTATACCTAAGATACAGTCATCAGTATATAAGCGTGCTGAAGCCACTTCATCGAGTTGTCTGTTTTCAGGATGCCGGGAACAACAATGTTTATTAGTACCCAGAGTAATAAGAGAAATGTTATTAATACATAATAAATTCTATGTTCCCACATGTTGTAGAATATGTCAACATCACTTGAATAATGGGCGTTGGAGTGATTTAACATCAAATCTGTAAGATTTTACTGGTGTACAGTTTGATGCCATTTTGAATATAATGCAGAGAGCAGTTTCCCATTGTTTCGACTTTGAAAATATTTCTGCAATGGCTCCTTTCTTATGCCATTATTGGCTGGGAATGAATGCTGAACAGTTTGATGAACTCTTGGCATGTGTACCAAGCTTATTACAGAGTGTCAAAAATCCCCGTTTAGCACTCTGTATTTACATAGTCAAGTTAAGAACTGGGGACAGCAATGAACGATTAAGTTCCCTCTTTCAAATGTCTCGTAGGACCTTGGAGAGCAAAATGAATATAGCTAGAAATTGTTTAGTTGAAGATTTTGTGTCAAGACATTTGGGCTTTGGTCATGTAACTTTGTAAATGTGGAGCAAGTGGCCAGCAGAAATAAAATAATCCCGGAGGGATTGTTTGGTAATCCAATCTTACCAAATGATATTAAACTGGGGGCGATTTAACGATACACATGCTCCAGCTACATTTTTAGATGAGGTATTTGAAGAAGGTATATAAGTCAATTCTTTTTTAAAAAAAGGCAATATATAAACCAGGATTAGAGCACGCTTAATGTATAAACTGCTGTGTTAATTGAACTTAGCAGAGCTTTAACTGGATATTTCAAACTCAACAGGACATGGTGGCGAGATACAAAAGATATTTTAGGCGAAGTCACTACAGTTCCACTGGATACGGCATAACCCCAAAAATATAAAATAAAAATATCACATTAATAATGTCGATTTGGATAAATGTGTTATCAATAAATGATTATCATTATTAAAATATTTTGTCTTATTTATTTTTCATTCCTAAACCTTAAATAATATTATATCCATTGTTGGGTTAACAGAGCATCAAAGGTGCAGCTTGAGCGTAAAGAGAATAAGTATAAATAGCACTAATATAACCGCACCTCAACAACGCTACATTTATTGAATCTGAGATGTTTGGAATAAATAGAGATAGATAGCAGCTCACCAACGCAACAGTTTACAAATATACGCTGCCCGTTGATAAGATTTTACGAAGTGCATTCAATTTTTGTTTCACTCCCAGTCCAAAATAGAAGACAAAAGGTCACAACCTAATTAAATACAGTTTAAAGTAGTATACCTAGTAATAATTAAGTATGGTATAAATATCGAATCTAAATATGACATAACCTTAAAATGCTTACGTAATTTAATATTTTCTTTAAACCACTACTTAAGTTTCTAATGATATTTTTCCTACGCAATATACACCTGATTCCCTATTGTTGTACACTTATTCCAATAAGACGCAATGAAAAAAACTTAGCCCAACTCCCAAAGTAAAATGACCATTCTCCTTTGTGCAATTCTTATTTTCATTCAATTCCTTGTTCCTATTGTGCAATTTAATTATATTCATATCAATAAATATTCTACCGAGAAAAAGACGTTGTCACGTAAAATCTTCGCCCGTAAAACCGACTTTGCAGGCAACCATTTTTTAATTGAAAAATATCAGTATACGGTCCGTGAATTTTTGGCAGACAAAAGTTTTTAGACTAAGTATAGAAAATGACATGCATAAAATAATTCCAATCTTATATTTAACGCTTATTGACATTTTGAATAAACTATGTTAAATTTATTAATGTGACATTGAAATAATTAATGTTTTATAGAAATATTATATAGCATGCCGATAAGGCAGAATATGGCTGAACTGTACTAAAATGTATCCTTGTAACAACTTTGTAACCTGTATTCGCAATAAACATGATTTGATTTGATCTGATCTCTATTTGTGACTCACCAAATCTCCGGGTTGTAAACTCAATTCGTCGACAGTTCGCGCCGTGAATTCGTATACGCATCGCCAACGTGGCACCGATGTAGATACTGGTACCGCCTCTGTTGCTATACGAATAGAGACCATATTCCAATAACATCTCATTATTTTGTTTCTTTGTGCGTGTGGCACACTCATAAAAATATATAATAAAATAATAAATATTTCCAACACACACCAATTAGCCTAGCCCCAAAGTAAGCACTGTAAGGCTTGTGTTATGGGATGCTAGGGTAGCGGATAGAATACATAATACTGTACATATGTAAGTATATTCATAAAGAAATACATATTAAACATCCATGACTGGAGTACAAATGCTCGCATTCATCACACAATCTGCCCCCACTGGATTCGAACCCGGGACCTCTCGAGTTGGCGACACCATGAAACCCATCGTATAAATCACTCGGCCACGGAGGTCGTCAAAATACCTACTTAATGTGTTAAGTTGTAACTTTAATAACTAAAGCTTAGAAAATTTATGTTGAAATTAGCTTAATAAGGTTCCAACGTAGCGCCGATGTAGATACTGGCACCGCCTCTGTTGTTATATGAATAAATACCTTATTTATTTATGACGACCTCCGTGGCCGAGTGGTTTGTACGCCGGGTTTCATGGTGTCGCCTATTCGAGGTCCCGGGTTCGAATCCCGGTGGGGGCAGATGTTTGTGTGATGAATACGAGCATTTGAACTCCAGTCATGGATATTAAAATGTATTTCTATATAAATATACTTATATATGTATTCTATCCGTTACCCTAGTATCCCATAACACAAGCCTACAGTGCTTACTTTGGGGCTAGGCTAATTGGTGTGAGTGTTGGAAATATTTATTTATTTATTTCACGACATAAATAGAAAAAAAAACATGGTTGTATAATAAAAAATTTAGTGTGGCCTCAATTACAAACTGCCACGCCAAGCCCTACTCAATGAAAAGCATTTTTATAAATTACTTATTAAAAATGGCAAAATTCGCAAATTCGACCATATTCGAATAACATCTCATTATTTTGTTTGTTACATTATTTTGTGTGAGGAGCTCGATGGCGCAAGTGGTTAGCGCGTTCGGCTGCGATCGTTGAAGTTAAGCAACTTTCGCAGTGGTCGGTCATTGGATGGGTGACCAAAAATTTACTATCTCGAGCTCCTCCGTGCTTCGGAAAGCACGATAAGCCGTTGGTCCCGGCTGCATCTGCAGTCGTTAGCACCCGCCAATCCGCACTGGGCCCGCGTGGTGGGTCACGGCCCAATCTCCCTATTCCATCCATAGGGAAGGCCTGTGCCCCAGCAGTGGGGACATTAATAGGCTGATGATGATGATGATGATGATGATGATTTTGTTTGTTTGTGCGAGTGAGTGTGGTAACTACGTACATAATGAGTAAGTTGTAACTTTAATAACTTAGACCTAATTTCACCAATACTTAGATTAAAACAAAAAGGGAAGATACGGTACGCTTATACTAGCATCAAATAAAGTATGATTCGACTCAACTACATAAGCAACTCTCACACACGCACACGTCTGTAAATAAACATTCAATCGAGCGAGCGAGACAGAACATGCAGCGCGAGCGAAACGGCGCGAGTCCACGACTGCGTTTTTTGAAGTGAAACTTCTTTATCGGCGTTGGAAAAAAATTTACCGTCACATTTTTATTCGGTTACGCGTCACGTTTTTTGGTTACGCGCCATCTTTTTTTTAAAAGAGCACTATTTACCTCATCCGAACAATTGCTTCTTCTGTCAACTTTAAAAAAAAAAGTATCGACAGCAAATATTCGTGTTTCACACAAGGTAAGGTAAGGTAAGGTAAGGTAAGGTAAGGTAAGGTAAGGTAAGGTAAGGTAAGGTAAGGTAAGGTAAGGTAAGGTAAGGTAAGGCGTAGTTATACCCCTTTAGTGGGTGGGTTTTTGAAAAATCTTAGCGCACGCCTATATATATATTTCTGGAAAGTTGCATGTAGATCATTTTTCGAAAAAAATAAGGCCATAAAGAAGATTCACTTCTTACGTGTGTACACTAGTACACGCACACATTTTTTTTTCTCTCTTTACAAACGGCTGAGCTGTATTGTTGTCCTTTTCTTGATAACAAATGGCGAATAAGTAATTAACATTCATTAACATTAATGACGCACCGTGATTATTGAGAAAAAAAGGATTTTATAGTTTACGAATTACAAGTGTTGCCGTGTAATTTGTTATTGGATTTTGAACTATTTGTGTTCTTTATTAAAACATCGAAGACATTGTTTTATCTTTATAACACAGAATATACGCAATATTGTTATACTGAGTGCACATGCAGCGGGTTTGAATGTCAAATTGTGACTAAAGCGAATTGTGGTCATGTATCACAATTTCAGAGGATCACTTTTAAGCCGCGAGTGCCGTATCTTTCCTGTTTGTTTTAATCTAAGTTTAAATAATATAAATGATTTGAAGGCATTAAAAGGGGGAAATATTAAATGTCTCACTCACCAGTGGTAGGTGGGGCATCGCCCCAAGCCTCCTGATTTCCGGAATCACCCCATGCGTCGTCGGAAGTGCCCCAATCTGCATCTGCATATAAATAGATATTTCAGTTATAAAAAGTGACTTCATTAGTTATCTCATATTGAAGTCATTTTTCAATTTGACGACTCTGTATATAATACAGGGAGAAAAAACAGCCCTTGCTGAGTTTCTTGCCGGTTCTTCTCAGTACAAGGTCTCCCGTCGTAGTTTTGCGAACCGATGGCGTAGCTTTTCGACACTCACACGTGCTTGTGAACAGCCTAGACTGAATAAACGATTTTTTTTAAAGGTCTGGAAGGTTTTCGCGATAATCACTGTCATAATTAGTTTTATATCTGTCAATGTTAAAAATAAAGTATCATATGCAAACAATACACTGGTGTCGATTCTAGCATGGTTCTATAAACCTAAACTTAAATTTGACAACAGTGCATCCTTGTCATTCTCTATACAGAATGAAAAGGAGAGACTGATGTAAAATTTAGTTTTAAGTTTAGAGAATCATGACAGAATCGACACCAATTTCACATTTTTCCTACAAAGAAAGGTAAATCATTAATATATATTAAAAAAAGGAATGAACCTAAAATGGAACCTTGAGGAACGCCTATTGTCACAAAAAAGGTAAATGGAAATGGAGTCGCAATGCTGCCCGCCCCTGCCTGACCTCCAGTGCACGCTTGGGGATTATTTTAAGCATTAAACTGCAGCGTTTATAAATCTAATGAAAATTTTACTTAAAAAAATGCACTCTGTCCAGGCATCAAGAAGGATTCTCAAACCGACACCTTCCACTAGCTGGATTTTTTTTTTCATTACATTTATATAATTAACGCGATTGATCCCTAGAGCCGGATGCCATTCAATGAGGGCTATCGACCAGATGGCGCCACTGTTGAGTGAGGTCCTGAAGTAGCTTTTAAAGTTTGTTAATACGTACGTGTAATCAATCACAGTTTACATTTAAATCATACTAGCAAACCAGTGAACCAAATGTTCACCAAAACCTGATTAAAAAAAAATGTATTTAATTAATTGAGAACTTCGGAGATAAAACTAGTTTTTACGGGTTAATGCACGAAAAAACTTTATTTATTTATTGACGTTTCGCAGCCTTTTCAGGTCTGCATCGTCAGAATAATGATTTTTGAACTTCGGAGATTTTGTGTGGTTTCGTTTGAAATTCGTGATTTCTAGAAAACCGGAAGTGCTACGTTACTCAAATCCGGTTTGTAGTCTTATCAGACTATTCTTAACTTATAACTTAAATATTCTCTTTATCTATCTCTTACGGTTTGGCCGCTGAAACAGCACCACAGACGGACGGACGGACTTGTCTAATAGATAAGAGATTTTAATACAAAAGAACCGTCCGTAAACATAATCAGTGAGTTGCTGTTGCGCAGTTCCGTTTTGTTCGGAAAACGACAATCGAGTCATAGTTATCGTATTTTTATTGCAAAATTAAAGGAGACCCGGCACTTTTCATAGAAAAAATGCTAAACTTGTATACCGTTGAATTTGGTCTCAAAATAAAGCCAAATTATTTGCTACATAAAACTACTTTTGCCTTATTTTTAGTGAATCGTGTAAAGAAGTTATATAATGATTAATATTTTTTGATATGGAAACCCTAAATCTTCAAGGGACAGAATTTTACTTCAAAATATTACTCAAGTGTAAAGACTGTAAAAACCATGATTCCTTTGCTTTTTCGAAATAAAAAAACAAATGTCAATTTGACAATCCTAAAATACAAACAAAAAAATCATTCGCATTTCGCATCCGCTCCCTCGTACTGTGATTGTGAATGTTCTCTGCTGTGATTGCCTTTTTATCCGTTATTTCTCTTGACGACCCGGCTACATATAGAGGTTATATTGACAAACCTACTTATTTGACATTGACAGCTAGCTGCTGATGACAAATATTGCCAGACTACGTTACTCAATTATGAAACACAGATATGAAAATTAAAAAAGTATACAACTTTGGCACAAAATGCTTGGGTGTCCTTTATACATTACTAGCAAACCAGTGAACCAAATGTTCACCAAAAAAAAAAAAATGTATTTAATTAATTGAGAACTTCGGAGATTTTGTGTGGTTTCGTTTGAAATAGAAATCACGTGATTTCTCGAAAACCGGAAGTGCTACGTTACTCACATCCGGTTTGTAGTCTTATCAGAATATTCTCAACTTATAACTTAAACATTCTCTTTATCTATCTCTTACAGTTTGGCCGCTGAAACAGCACCACGGACGGACGGACGGACTTGTCTAATAGATAAGAGATAATATGGAAAGCTGGAGGAGTATAAATTAACGACAAAGGTCTCTTTATCATTTCAGTAATTCTTTATTTTTATTATATGATGTAACTAAAAATTTACGGTTTTCGCAATTTTTCCTTTATCTGTACTACAAGACGTTACTTCGTATTAAATTTCCAGATTTTAAGTTCACAGGAAGTAGGATTTGATTCCCGTGCGAGTTACGAAAATGTGCGGCATAAACGGCTGCATCTTTTGATTGCTTTCGCTTAGAAGTTTGATTTTTTCATAGCTCGAAGGGACAGTAGACCTTAATATTAGATATGAACTAGCAAACCAGTGAACCAAATGTTCACCAAAACCTGATTTAAAAAAAAATGTATTTAATTAATTGAGAACTTCGGAGATTTTGTGTGGTTTCGTTTGAAATTCGTGATTTCTCGAAAACCGGAAGTGCTACGTTACTCAAATCCGGTTTGTAGTCTTATCAGACTATTCTTAACTTATAACTTAAACATTCTCTTTATCTATCTCTTACGGTTTGGCCGCTGAAACAGCACCACAGACAGACGGACGGACGGACTTGTCTAATAGATAAGAGATTCCAGTTTGATACCTCCACACGTTCCTGAGAAAAACGGTCTTGACAGACGGACAGACGGACGGACGGACAACAAAGTGATCCTATAAGGGTTCCGTTTTTTCCTTTTTGAGGTACGGAACCCTAAAAAGGAGGGCATAATATTTTTTCTTAGCTCCGCTTTAAAATAATTGACATTCATTAAACTCAAATTTGCCATAATTAATCTGAGTTATTACCAAATATTCACTACATTATTTTAATTAGAAATAAACCCGCATAGTCAATCCACAAGCAATAACATTTGACATTTCGGAGACCACACGCTACACTAGCGCCTCTAGCGGCGGATTCATACGCGATAGCGCCCATGTATACATATAATAAAATGGTAGGAAAGTCAAAACTGTACATTGAATATTTTTTTAAAGGAATACTTGGGGTGTGATGTACAATCGATACCGAAGCCAAAAATATAGTTTTTAGAATATATGTCCGTTTGTCCGTATGTATGTCCGGGATAAACTCAAAAAGTACTGCATGGATTTACTTCAAATTTGGCACGAATATTATTAAGAAGTCGGGTCAACATATAGGCTACATATTATCACGCTATCACCTACGGGGAACGAGCAGTGAACCTTTATTTCTAACTAACTCCACGCGTACGAAGTCGCGGGCGGCCGCTAGTTGTTAAATATGACATTAAAATTCCGTCAGGATTAAAAAAAAAAGAAAAATATTACGTATTTTCCTTACCCTGTGCAGCATATGGGTCGGCAGGGGCAGTGCTTCTACCCTTCAAGTATTCCTCCCTCTTAGCTTCGTACAGTTTCCAAACTTGCTCGCATTTACCGCTTAACTCGTCGACACGAGCGGTAAGTTCGGAAAGCTGGGCGTTGTTGGACTCTAAGTCGGATTTCTTGCTTTCCACTATAGCTTTGGCTGCTTCCACCTTGGAATTTTAAAGTTGGGAGTTACAATTCTGTCATATCATATACTTTATTATAAAGAGGGGAGATTTGTATGTTTGTAACGATATATTAAATACCCTAGATACAACAACACGAACAAAATCGTAGCCGAAACCTGTCCAAAAGGTACATTGGACGATCCACGGAGCTGCGTAAGTTGATCTCGTAATCAAAAACGATATAAGGCATTATTTTAACATTGAAAGTTACCTTTAATACATACTGTACAGTCTTAGTCAAATACAAGTTATGACAATTCGATATGAAAACTCGTAAAATTTAACTACTTATTCTATATGCGTAAGAATAAAAACCTTATTTTTGACTTTGACGAACAATCATGAATGCGCTGTTAGCAATAAAGCCACGTGCGTTCAAAATGTGTCCCAATCAAGAAGCGCTTGAACTACACTTAAGCACTTCTTGGTTCACAGTCACGCGCAGACTGTTGAAAAGTCAACATGCCGCAGTGCACCGTGAAAAAATGCGAAAATACTATAAACTGATTTAATAGAAAATTTGCGTGCTTTTCAAATGCATGGTCGGTAATATAGCCGTTTCTTTTCCTCGCGGTTAGTACCTGCTATATTGCTAACAGCGCGTTCAGAATTGCACGTAGAGTCAAAGAACTAAGGTCTAAATGCTTCCGCATATAGCAATAAGTCGTAAAATTTTACGAGTTTCGATTTCGAACTAAAAGAAGTCCTTGACGTATGCGTTTTATTTAAGACCTTATACAGTATGTATTAAAGGTCACTTTCAATATTTAAATAATGCCTTATATTGATTTTGACTACGCGATCATCTTACGGATCTCCGTGGATCGTTCAATGTACATTTTGAGGCAGGTTTCGGGCACGATTTTGTTCGTGTTGGTGTATCTAGGGTATTTAATATCGTTGATAAACTTTCACATTTACAATATTAAGTAAGATAATAGGCAAAGTATTATACGATATATTTTTTACCTTTTCTCGTAGTTGCTTCAGAGTAACTTCCATCATATTCAGTTTGCCATCTTCCCCTGCGCCTTCTGTAGCTTTAGCCTGACAGACAGACAGACAGTGACAAAATTATACAAAAAAAATGATCAATATGTTTTTGAAATATATTTATTTCTTGGTTTGGGAAATTTCTAAATATGTTGTGAATTGGATTATTGTGTTATCTAAATTAAGAATACACTAATAAAATAAGAATATAAAATGGCATTTAAAATGTTTTTTTTTAATCCAGACATTTCCTTCTATTTTTCCTCAATTAAAGCCAGTATTTTCATTATATCTAATAGGAACCTATTAAACTTTTTTTTATAGAAACATTGGTGTCAATTCTGGCTTGATTGTCTAAATTTAAAACTAAATTTAAGATCAGTCTCCCCTTTCATTCTGAATATAAAATGACAAAGATACACTGTTATCAAATTTAATTTTCGGTTGACGTGAGTATTACCTACAACTAGCGCCATCTAGTGAGTTATCTGCAGACGTACGCGAAGAATCGAGTGAAGGAACCTATACGTCACACACATCTTTTATTAATTTATTTATGGACAATCAACACAGCTATATTAATACAAACAGTCTAAGACATATGCATTATGTTAGAATATAATATAACTGTTATTAAAGATGGCCTCATCAAGCGCTCACTTAACAGATTTTATTTCCAATATATACGCACGAAATTTACTAGACAAATGAAATATTTGCCCAATCACAGAATTATCCTCTGAATTCAAAACTACAACAGTCTATCATGCTCTATAATTATTTAAAAAAGGAGAACCAAATTCTGTCATAAGTCCAGAGAACCATTCACGTACCAGACCCATTATTGGTCTTGGACAAACTAATTTTATTAACAACTAACGGCCCGCCCTCGTTGTAGAGCTGAAGTGTAGACTACAGTTTTTGTGTTATACACAATGACATTCATCGATGATTCTTCTTATACCTGCATGCAAAGTCTCAGCTCGATCGGTTTAAAATTGACAAAGTTTCATACAAAACTTTCATTCCCTATTTTATCCCCATGGGGGTAGAATTGATCAAAATCCTTTCTTAGCGGATGCCTACGTCATAACATCTACCTGCATGCCAAATTTCAGCCCGATCCGTCCAGTGGTTTGGGCTGTGCGTTGATAGATCACTATGTCAGTCAGTCGCCTTTGAGTTATATATATATATAGATAATATTAAAGCAGTTAAGTATGTACTTGCTTAGTATCCTTAATGTTTTACCACTAACACATATCTCGATTACCATACTAAACGGCACGCATTTTGAACATTTAATTTGATATTGTAATTTTTATACCAATAAACCAGTCTAAGCGATAAAATAAACGATTTATTTAACAAAGGAGGACCGAAGACGCCCATTCCTCATCAAATAGTGAGAATTATGCTAGAATCAACGAGTTTTTTACGCCATATCGGATGCTAGATGATCGGTGACCATAGAAATATAAGAATAGAGTGGGCGGCTCTAAAAGTGTCCGTCTTTTAGAAAGAGAAAGAAGATGAGAGACCTCTAGCTATCTATCTTATAACGCATGCGCAGTCGTCTGTCCAATAGTTGGTCCAAGCATTACATCGAAATAATAAGATGCTTACGGTTGCCAATGCGCATGCGCGATTAGAGAGAGAAAGCTAGCGGTCTCTCATCTATTTTCTCTTTCTATTAGAGGGACACTTCCACTACTAGTAGAGTCTATATCTCCCCTACTCTATTCTTATACCTCTATGTCGGTGACAATGAACCGAAAACCCAATATATCGACACGCCAATTATTCGAATGACAAATAATCGATAGATTAACAGCTCGTTATACCAATATATCAAAAGCTAATTAGATCGATGTTTTAAAAGATTGAATGCATCTGCTCTCTGAACAAAATCTTATTGCGGTGTACAGTTCGTGCTTTTGAAGTGACAACTTCTTTTGGGAGGGTAAACTGATTCGTTACGTAACGCGTTACGGCGCTAGTCTGTTTGTATCGAGCAATGTAATGAAAACCGAATCATTAAAATTTCGATTTGATGTCACAGCGATTTATTGAAATACGATTTATTCAAATTTCGATCGAATGGCCAATCGATATATCGGGTTTTTGGTTAATTGTCACCAATTGACTGGCGTTCGGTGTGCCTTAAAAAACCCAGAATCGACACCATTATTGCTTCGTTGTTGCAAAGAGTGCGCAAGAGCCCAAATAGCATTCTGAGAGTAGTTGCTGACGGGTGGGATAGTCCCCTAAGGAGGCGCTAAATACTATATCTATAAAACTCAAAGGTGACTGACTGACATAGTGATCTATCAACGCACAGCCCAAACCACTGGACGGATCGGGCTGAAATTTGGCATGCAGGTAGATGTTATGACGTAGGCATCCGCTAAGAAAGGATTTTGATCAATTCTACCCCCAAGGGGATAAAATAGGGAATGAAAGTTAGTATGAAACTTTGTCAATTTTAAACCGATCGGGCTGAGACTTTGCATGCAGGTATAAGAAGAATCATAGATGAATGTCATTGTGTATAATACAAGCCTGAGAACAAAAACTGTAGTCTACACTTCAGCTCTACACCGAAGCACATCAAATAATATTATTACTGTCCTTTAATTAGTTTTAAGTTTTTTACTAACAAAATATAGAGTTGTATGAGAGTAAGTACTCTGAAATAAAGTTATTATTATTATATTACGACTTACTTTGTAGGAGCTCGATGGCGCAAGTGATTAGCGCGTTCCGCTGCGATCGTTGAAGTTAAGCAACTTTCGCAGTGGTCGGCCAAGGGATGGGTGACCAAAAATTTAGTATCTCGAGCTCCTCTGTGCTTCGGAAGGCACGTTAAGCCGTTGGTCCCGGCTGCATCTGCAGTCGTTAGCACCCACCAATCCGCACTGGGCCCGCGTGGTGGGTCATGGCCCGATCTCCCTATTCCATCCATAGGGAAGGATTTGCCCCAGCAGTTGGGACATTAATAGGCTGATGATGACTTACTTTAGCGTCCAACTCTGCTTTCTCCTTGTTAAGGGCGATCTGTTTGGCGTTCAGTTCTTTCACACGCGCCTTGCATTGTTGCATTTCCGCCATGCTTGTGTCGCGGTCGGACCTGTTATAAATAAATAATAAATAAATAAATATTTCCAACACTCACACCAATTAGCCTAGCCCCAAAGTAAGCACTATAAGGCTTGTGTTATGGGATGCTAGGGTAACGGATAGAACACATATACTGTACATATATAAGTATATTTATATAAAATTACATATTAAACATCCATGACTGGAGTACAAATGCTCGTATTCATCACACAAACATCTGCCCCCACCGGGATTCGAACCCGGGACCGCTCGAGTCGGCGACACCATGAAACTCGGCGTACGAACCACAAGGCCACGGAGGTCGTCAAATAAATAAAATATAAGTGAAATTTTCAATCTTAAGAAAATTTTACTAGAAAATATCCACGCGGGTCAGGCAGCAGACGGGACTCGAACCCGCACCCTTCGTAATCCGGGCGGATGTACTGACCATTATGCTACCGCGGCCTTGATGGCCGTGTCGAATTTTCTCTAGCATTTTTTAGGCTGCAAGGCAGCGCCATCTCTTCGCATTGTAGGTAACCCAAAATCACGAGTAAGTATAAGGCAACATAATAAAATAAGTGCTCATCTTCATTATATCACGTTTTTATCGCGCCTAACTACCCAACTCCATAATAATTTGGCAATTGATCGTGATAAAAACGTGTTATATATCATATCGTGGTACTCATGCTAGGGGGGCAGGCAGCAGACGGGACTCGAACCCGCACCCTTCGCTATCCGGGCGAATGCACTCAACATTATGTTGCCTTATACTTACTCGTGATTTTGGGTTACCTACAATGCGAAGAGATGGCGCTGCCTTGCAGCCTAAAAAATGCTAGAGAAAATTCGACACGGCCATCAGGGTCGCGGTAGCATAATGGTCTGTGGATTCGCCCGGATAGCGAAGGGTGCGGGTTCGAGTCCCGTCTGCTGCCTGGCCCGCGTGGTATTTTTTCTAGTAAAATTTTCTTTACAATTATAAATGCTGAAAAATTCAAAACATAATTGTAATTTCCAACTTCAAACTAAAGATGTTCATATATGGGCTTCTGATGTGGAACCTATATCCTCGAAATGTGGTTTGAATATTGGCATTGCAATAAGAACGAAATTTCCATGTCACGTTGAAAAGTGCAGTAAAAATCTTTATAAAATCTTTACGACGCTCGTAAAGCGTCTCTTATTGCACCAATTTCAATATCATAATCTATCACATTACACACGCGTGCGGTAATGTAAAGTAAAACGCACGGCTTATTATGATCCGTCTAAAAACGAACAATACTTTTTTAAATCTTAGCAAAGAGTTTTTATGTCAGAAAGGTAGCCAACGTTTTCTTAATAAAATCAACTTTGGGAGATAAAATATATTATATAAACATTTAATTCTGCAATTTGATTCATTTTGACTAGTAATTACTACCATGTATTGGTAACAAATTTACAAAAATATTAATTTACTTTATTAGTAACACTGGCTGTTTTTTGTTCCTTTGCCTAAAAAACTGAGAAAAAGTTTTTTCTTTTTCTTTTCGCTGTATTGTTTTTATTTGAAAATATTGTCATGTAGTAACGAATTTATTAATTTGACACCGCCAGAAGTCGAAAATGGCTACGCTATGCCTCTTGCCCGAAAATCCATGGATACTTACAGTCAAGCGTATCATAATTTCATCTTATGGAAAACAAACAAAGGTGCAAATTCATTTTCAGAAAGTACGTACGTAGCTAGTATTATTTCCTCGCAAATGTGTTATAAAAAGTCGTATGACATACGTGCGGTTTGATAATTACAGCCTCTGCCTTCTTATGGGCTAACAATATCGCCTCGGCTGTAATTCTCAACTTACCGCACTTATATTATAATGTACTATTACGATTTAAAGTCATTGCTGTATATAAACTGCAGTTCTGAATACTAACCTACTCGCTGCTAAGGGTATAATTTTCTTTTAATTTGTACATTATGAACTTTGTGCAGATGAGGCGTACAGAACGATAAATTTATATATTTTACTGTAATTTTATTTTTCAGGTGAAATCTCTTTACGCACACTTGACTTGGGCAGTAAGCTGGCGAACGCGTTACTTGTTACGAAAACTGTGATCGGGCGAGGCGAACGGGAGTTGAGTGGGGATAAGCAAGAGAAAGAAGTGCACGCGCACATTTTCTTTCTCTTATAGCTGGTAAATGAAATATGTATGTATGTAATATGTATGTATACATGTATATATTGTACACATATATATATATATATATATATACATACAGATGGAGGTAAAGAAGTTTCACTTCAGTTGTGGTTTCGTTGTCTCTACTGACATATTATAAACATTGTCATCATAAGGAAGTTATTGATGAATGAATGAAATGAGCTAATCTCTTATGATGTCTCATTGCTGTCCGATAATCAACCTTGGGTGAGTTCTGAATAAGGTATTTGACAAGTTTTAGGCAACAATCTCACGCTATTGACTACTGTTTATGGAGACCGTAAAAAGTTGATATTCATCATTCTGTTAAGTATTTCAGTAAAAAAACCAAATCAAAAACTCCATTTTCAAATTGCCGCGAAAACATTTCTCTGGACAATATGGCGTCTCACTAGTGTGTAACGTCACACGACTGTTATTAAAACGTCAAACGATACAATGTTATGCACTTTAACCGGAAGTTTACTTGCGTGTGACGTCATTCTATGCTCCGCCAATCCCTAGCGTTTTGGGTCACGTGACAATAGATAGGAAAACTATTATCTTTTTCGAGGGTTTTTAGTAAAATTATGAAGATTTTTTTTGGAAAAATAGTAAAAACCCCTGCCTATATTCAATCTATACACAGATGCTAACAATTGGCACTTTATTTTTAATACTGTCAAATACCCTATTAAAGCGCCTCATGTGTCTCTAAACACTTTGTCTTTCTGTATGTGATCATAAAAAATCAAAAAAAAAATGTATTAAAAGAAAGCACGTGACTGTTTAATATACCATAAAATTTGTTAAGTCAGCAGTCGTGACAATAATAGCTGGATGATTGACGATAAAAGTAAAATTTCTTACCTCATACCGTCGATGGTGCATTTGGCGGCAGCCACTGCAGTCCTAGAACAATAGAAATAAATAAATAAGCAATAAATATTTCCAACATTCACACCAATTAGCCTAGCTCCAAAGTAAGCACTGTAGGCTTGTGTTATGGGATACTAGGGTAACGGATAGAATGCATATATAAGTTCTATCGTCTGTACCACGGCTTGTGTTCTGAGGAGTTATTCTCTCTTATCCCACCTTCCCCTTTCCTTCAGAGGACCACGCACGTTGGCCTTCGTTGTCACTGTCTAACTGTGGCCTCAATTCCAACGCGTACAAAGAAATTTGGTGACTCATTTCTTTGTCGCACTATCCGTTAATGGAATGCTCTGCCCGCTCACGTGTTCCCTCCCTCTTATCTTCCCAGCATCCTAACAATTGTTCAATTTTTAAACACGATTTAAAATTTATCAGAGGTGCATTGCATAAAAATTTAATTAAAACTATCTTTTAGTTAATGTTATATTACAAAACAAGCTTTCGAAAGATATGTTTCGTCGCTGCCGGAAACCGTCCAACACTTTTGAACCATTTTCCTGGAATCTGGGGTCCTTTAAGAGAGGCGTGAAGAAGCAACATGCAGTCCGGCAAGGTGAGGATGGCTGGTGTGGCAGGTAGAACTGCTCTACCAGCTATCTTCGCGTCTCGACTTTACCTTCACTTAACATCAGGTGGGGTGGAGTCATTTGTCGGACCTATCTATAAAAAATAAAATAAAATAATAGTACATTTATATAGAAATACATCCATGACTGGAGTACAAATGCTCATATTCATCACATAGACATCTGCACCCCACCGGGATTCGAACCCGGGACCTCTCGAGTCGGCGACACCGTGAAACCCGGCGTACAAATCATCCGGCCACGGAGTTCGTCAAAAATATAACGGGAGTTAATAAAAATTGAGTAAGAAGCCATAACGGCCATACGTTTCAAGTTAGCATAATATATTCGCAAATAGAAATGATATCAAGCTATTTCAGCACAAATCTTTTGAAAAATAAGATCTTTTATATTTAAATCTAAAGAAAATATTACTAGAAAAAAAAGCCTTGCAGCCTAAGCCTAGAGAAATTTCTATGCAGCCATCAGGGCCGCGGTAGCATAATGGTCAGTGCATTCGCCCGGATAGCGAAGGATGCGGGTTCGAGTTCCGTCTGCTGCCTGGTACGCGTGGATTTTTTTCTAGTAATATTTTCTTTAGATTTAAATATCTAGCAGTTGAATGCTTACTAAATAAATAATATATATTTTATATTTTTAAGATCTTATTTACAAAAGTACATACAGCTTTTAAGAAACCTACCAAATAGTTTTTAGTTACACTAGCTAGTTTAATAACTAATCGAGTTGTGGTAAAAATACTAAATCACATTTTTTTACTGTTATCAAAAAGCACGTATATTGTGATACTTATTACTAGGGATGATGACAATTTTTTTTTTCTTCATTTATCAGGTGGATTATCAAAAAGTATTGGACACATATTTTTTCTTTTTTCACATAATATAAACATTGCAGATATATATTGATTTGAAAAGTCGCATGACATCACGTTTTGGTACAATTTTCACTTAAGAGTGACGTCACGAGCCCCCACTCCCAAACTTTGACGCTCTATAACTTTGTCATTTTTCGGATGATAGCGCAAAGAAAAAATACCCGTTCGTTATTTTTTAATCATCTAACTGACGGACTAAATAGAATTTTGTTTACTGTCATCACCCCTATTATGAAGACTCTTTCATATTTTCGCAGATTATGAGACACACATACACGTGTGTAAAAGTTTCTTTATTATTAGTTATGATATTTCACATTGAAACTTTCTTCTTGAGTGAGAAGCACTTTGGTTGCTTTATATTTGGCTGCATCTCTTATCTAATAGACAAGTCCGTCCGTCCGTCCGTGGTGCTGTTTCAGCGGCCAAACCGTAAGAGATAGATGTAGAGAATGTTTAAGTTATAAGTTAAGAATAGTCTGATAAGACTACAAACCGGATGTGAGTAACGTAGCACTTCCGGTTTACGAGAAATCACGTGATTTCTATTTCAAACGAAACCACACAAAATCTCCGAAGTTCTCAATTAATTAAGTACATTTTTTTTTTTGGTGAACATTTGGTGTGAGGTTTGCTAGTTTTTCATAATGCCCGTCTGACCTTGACCTTCACAAGTGCTTGTAACAGCCTAGACTGAATAAATGACTTTTCATTTCATTTCATTTCAGTAACAGACAGTCTCCTATGCAGAGGATGTATGGAGGCAGAAGAAACGCCATAGCATGTCATCACTTCTTCAGTCGCCAGCATCGCTTCCGGAAGCTAGCGGCAGTCTGCCAAGGCTGCTTCCCTGCTGGACTAACTTAGGCTGGCTGAAGTAAACGGGAATGTTTCAAGGCACGCACAATGGTCCAATGATTAGGACTAAGGCCCGTATTACAGAATGACAACTAACTGTTGATCTTTACTTGAGTACAGTTAGAGAGGGATGTCGCTATGTGATATACAGGGTGTTACAAAAATACAAATAAAGCCCTTCAAGGGCGTTGAAATACATCATATAAGGAGTCTTCTCTAATTTTCATAAAATATTTGCATGAAGTTTTAACTTTTTATAAAAACAGTTATTTTTAATGATCCTCGAACTAGTGACGTGTCTTAAAATGATCGATATTTTTATTAATTGTTAAAAATAACTGTTTTTATAAAAAAATAAAGCTTCATGCAAATATGTACGCTGTATATAGCGACATCCCTTTCTAACTATACTCAATACTAGATCAATCACTGAAATTCTTTCTATAATACGGGCTTAAGTGCGGATACCGCCCTGAAACATTTAACTAAACTCACCTGGTATCCCGGATCTGCTTGGCCAGGTCTGCGGCTCTCTGGGTGACAGTATTCAAGTCGCCAGTAATAGCTTGAGTCTTAGCTTTAAGACTGAGTACTTTGCTTTGTTCTTCAGTCCGCATGGCTTCCAATTCACGAGTCCTGTTAGTAAAATAAATATAATTCTTATGAGCATTGAATAAGACACCTTTGAAAGGGTTTAACATGTATAAAAAATAATTGATTGAGAATTTAATCAATACGTAACCTTAGATTAATAAAAACGGGCGAGCCTTACAGTAGTAAAAAAAGAAATAAAACCTACTACAAAAGGAATAATCCATTTGAACATTATGTTCTAAAAATCAAATCAAATAGCGCGCGCTTCCCAAACTTCCTGTTACACACTTCCGTCCCACTTCACGTAATCACTTCCACAAATAGGGTATTTGACAAGTTTTAGAAAACGATCTCACGTTATTGACTAATGTTTATGGAGTCCGTAAAATGTGGATATTCATCATTCTGTTGTGTATTTCAGTAAAAATAACCAAATCCAAAACTCCATTTTCAAGTTGCCACGAAAACGTTTTTATTTATTTATTTATTTATTTTCTGGACAATATAGCGTCTTACTAGTGTGTGACGTCAAAAATAGCTGAATTTCCATAGTAGATATAATATTTTCAAAATAGATGTCTAAAGCTGAACTAGTGATTCACTAAAGAAAGAAAATTAAAATACTTTACTAAAGCAGTACATAAAATCATTATAAGTACATTCAATGTAGAAAAAATACATTGTTGAATATAACTCCCCATAATGGGAGGAGCAAATTAAAGAATTTGCCATTTCTGCACTTTGTAGAAAGGTTTCTTTGTAATTTGTCCATTTATTAACGATTGTATAATAATAAGGCATAATATATTATAATTTAAATTAAATAGTTTACTGTCTCATTTTTTCTATACTTTGAGTAATTAGGTGAGCCCCTAAGTACTATTAGCCCGGGGCCCCCTAAACTCTCTTCGCCTCCGCGTGCCCTTGGTGCCATTCGGCATAGGCCACCCCGTCTGGGGATTGCGATAGTACTGTGACGTCCGAAACGTTACAGCCTCCTTGTTTAGGTAAACTCTTTGCTTTTGCAATGCCTACGGTTGGCAGTTATATTAAAAAGATAATGTCATGATTTTAAGATTTGAAATGAGGAATCGTCTGTCTTTTGATAGAAGGTTCCATTCAAGATTAGATCTTCAGGCACCAAGAACTTCCTCTCGTATTTAGATAAAAATTCTTTATAATCGCCTGAATGATAATATAAAATAATAACCATCGTCTAGTTGTTTTACTGAAGAGTCACGTCCCCAGGTTCTATCCATTCTGGGTAGAACTCTATAGTACCCTAGCGCAATCCCCCAGAGGCGTGTCGCCCGGTCCACTCGTTGGGCCGGGCCAGCCCGGGGGCGTCCCAGTGAAGTGGCGCACACTAAGGTGCGCTGATCCTGAGACCCTTATGGGCGTAGGAGGATACCGGGGGGTTTTAGTGGGTCAGCCAGCGCGCGGTGCGGTGTGTAAATACATTTTCCATCGTTAACAAAAAAAAAAAAGGCCCCCTAAACTCACGGTCCGGCCCTGTTAACACGTTATTCAAAATACATATTCTAAGCTAAACAAGTCAGTTTTGTAAAATTACAAATCTTACCTCTTCTTCTCCCACTCAAGTTGGCATTGTCTCTCCATCTCTTTCCTGGCCGCTTCTCTCTTCTCCTGTAGGAGAACAATGTCTGTATACTAAACTAATCAGAAGATTATATATTAAAATATACATATTAATAACATAGTAGAAAATATTAAGAAACCTTGCCCAGACTGCACAAAGTAAGCAAGCACTTACAAAAACGAAATCGTGGAAGGAAGGGGGGGGGGGGGTGACAGGGGTAATAAAAATGAAGGCTGAAACGTTCTCTTCCCTGTAAATTTAAGCAATCTCTCCATATTATAATAACTTATTAGGGACATGGCTGGATTTAACTCAGTGTAGGCTATGGCCAGAGGCCCTCATAAGAAAGAAAAAAAAAATAACCAAATTTCGACGGGTCACCATCATAATGCTGGTTATGGGCTGCAAAACAATCGATCAATAAAAACATAATACATATAGGTATATACACACTTTATGCGAGCAATTAGTGACGTTTCCCACTTATTAGAAACCGGATAAGTTTTTTTCGAAAAATAAAAAAGCTTTTAAGATTAGCTAAGGAAAAAACCGGAATCCTTATAGAATTACTATGTTGCCCGTCTGTCCGTCAAGGCCTATTATCTCAATAACGCGTGAAGGTATCGACTTAAAATTTAAACCATATACTCAGGGGGCCATTCGCCTGACAGAAATGCTTTGGAAAACGCAAACGCTTTCGATTTTATTTTGTTATTTCTGACCGCCGAAGGTTTTCAAATACCTCACACTCATTTTTTTTAATATTGTTATTGCCAATGCAAAAGAAAAAAAAGAGCGCGAGGCATTTGAAAACCTCAGGCGGCTAGAAATAACAAAATGAAATCGTAAGCGTTAGCGTTTTCCAAAGCATTTTCGTTAGGCGAATGGCCCCCAGGTCTATGGTGTCTTAAAGACTAACTCGCACTTGTCTGGTTTTGATTTGAAACATCTTTTGGCACACGTTAAACCGATTCTGGCGTGGCGACGTTCGCCCGTAAAATGCAATATATACCAGTGCCCAACTACACGCCGCTCAGTACGGCGCCAGCGCCCTTCGAGGCAGGACCTATGTCATTTTTTACCGCACGCATCCCGAGCAATTCTCCGAGTGTATTTTTCGTAAACCGGCTAGTGTTTCACATTTGCCAGGCGTCCAGTGACGCTCTAACAATCTACTGACTAATGCTAAGACTAAATTATTTATTTGCGGGAGAACATTGATATACCACCAAACTCCTCATTTATCATTCATATAACTACCTCATGGCATTGCACCGCTCTGCCACTCATATATGGTGTGAAGGTATCTACGTAAGGAACAAATTCAGAAAAATATACATAAAATAAAGTTAGTAACAAAATAAAATAAGTTAGTTGCTTATTGAATTTATATCATCATCACTGAGAGATGATGCCTGTGCTTCAGCAATGCGGGTAGTAATAGGCCTATTAATGCCCACATTGCTGGGGCACAGGCCTATCCAGGGCTACATTTAAAGCAGGCAAGACGGAGCTTTGGCCCCCACAAGAGATAAAGAGAAAAACCCTTTTTTTCGCATCTACCATTAATTGCAGTGGGCTTGTACCTACCCTATGGATGAACGGGTGAGAGATAATATGTTTTGTGATCACCCATCCAATGAGGGATGATTTTGAAAGTTGCTTAAGTTCTTCGATCGCAGTTTTAACACGCAGACCAATAGCGGAGCCATTGCTATTTTCATGAATGTATAAATGTGTTTGTTAATTTCACAGTGCAATGAAATGTGTATCTTTTTTTGTAATAAATAAAGTTATATTTTGTGACGCTATTTTATTAATCGCGTCGCGTCTGTCTGGAATGATACTTATTAGTATTCTCTGTAATTTTATTTGTTCGTTTGTTTGCTGTTTCAAATCCCTAGTTAAGGAGCACTTCTTGTCAGATGAGCGTCTTTAAAAATATTGCTACGTTAGCAATACTGGCTGTTGCCTTATATTGTGAAATGTTTGAATGTTTGTGTGTGCCTATATGTTAAGTTTGCATTTATTTTAATTTATTTTCAACTTACTATTTACACTACTTTTGTCTTGTATTCCGCACAACCTCCCTCACTATTGTTATCGTACTTTATATATATGTATATTTCTAGCTCATTGGGTTGTCTGGAAGAAATCGCTGATTAGCGATAAACCGCCCTTTGTGCAACTGTAATAGTTTTGCCTTGTTTTGTATTTTATTAGTGTTCTTTATGTTATTGTTGTGCAATAAAGTGTTATTATCTTATCTTTTATTTGGTCTGTAGTGAGAAACACATTTATTATTATAAGACGGACTATAATTCAGTATTACAATCCCCACATAAAACTAAATAGAAAACTATTGTAAAATTACAAATTATGTGAGGCAAGCGAAAATCAGCTTTATTTTTGAGAGATTAAGAACTATTTGTTGCACATACCTGTTCCTCTTTCTGCTTCCTCAACATCTCTTCTTGCTCCTTCTTCTGCGCTTCGAGGCGTATCTTCTCTCTTTTTTCCGCTTCTTCCCTTTCTTTGCGCTCTCTTTCTGCCTAATTTTGGAATTAAATTTTTATCGACGATAAATACTTTGACACCTAGATTTTCATTCCACAGCAATTTTAAGTAGAAAAATATACAACTTGTCCCGAATACCATATAAATACAATATTTTTCGAATTTAATTTCTTCTTCGGAAAAAATTAATGTATTCAGATGAATTGCAATGAAGTCCTTTTAGTTCTGCTTGTGTAAGAATGTTCTTAATTAGTGATATATCTATCAAAGGATGATAAAACAGGGGTCTTTTGTCAACTGGGGGCCAATCGCCTAACGGAAATGGAAAACGCTAACGCTTACGATTTTATTTTGTTATTTCTAGCCGCCTGAGGTATTCAAATGCCTCGCGCTCTTTCTTTTTCTTTTGCATTGGTAATAACAATATTAAAAAAATGAGCGTGAGGTATTCGAAAACCTCAGGCGGCTAGAAATAAAAATATAAAATCGTAAGCGTTAGCGTTTCCCAAAGCATTTCTGTGAGGCGATTGCCCCCCTGGACGCTTCTCCAGACGAGCGCTATAATTTAAGCGGAAAATCCGCTTTACCCTAGTAGGCTTTAACACATTAATACAAATAGAAATTAGTCCAATAATATTACCTCTGCTTCCTGGTGTGTTTGTAACAAAAGAAATTAGAGCATGTTGTTATTTCAGTACATTACCTTATATATAAAATTCTCGTGTCACAATGTTAATTACCGTACTCCGAAACGGCTTGACCGATTTTGATGAAATTTTATATGCTCATGCTGCGATTCTCAGACCCACGAAATATTCGTGGGTCTGAGAATCGGCTACTTTCTATATTCACATCCTAAGTGATTACGGTTGTCCACCTGTAACGTAGTGTTCTGAAACCTACAATGCGCCTTCGCGCCAAAATTCAAACTATTAGGTATTGTAACGTAGTGTTCTCATATGGGTTAGGAGGAATGTTATCCCAGGAAATTGATAGAACACTACGTTACATACCCCTAAATTTTTTTTTGGACATTTTTTTTTTAATGTGTGGTATTAAAAAATACATACAACCCTAAATTTTCTCTTCTACCACCTGGCCCTATTATTATAGCGGTACAAAGTTCGCTGGGTCAGCTAGTAATATATAGAAAAAAAAACTCTCCTCTCTAACTTCCATGAGACAAAAGAGTATTCTGTGTCTCTTCTTTGTGGGATTCTCAAAATACTGACTATAACGGACGAAATCGCGGTAGGAAGTTAGTTCAAAAGATTAAATAGGAGTAGAAGGATTGGTACGCACCTTTTCCTTCATATGCTGGTCAGCCAGCTGCGACCGTCTCCTCTCTAACTCGGCTTGACCACGAGCTAGGTTCTCCCTGCGGCGTTCCTCGTACGACTTGCTGCTGCCAGTCGATGTTACGGATTCGCGTCTTTAGGGAAGAAAGGAATAGGGGTGATAACGGGGTAAACGAAATTCTATTTAGTCCGTCAGTTAGATGATCAAAAAATAATGGACATGTATTTTTTCTGTGGGCAATCAACCAAAAAATGACAAAGTTATAGCGCGTCAAAGTTTGGGAGCAGGGGCTCGTGACGTCACTTTCAAGTGAAAATTGTACGAAAACGTGACGTCATGCGACTTTTCAAATCAATATATCTCTGCAATGTTTATATTATGTGAAAAAAGAAGAAAAAATACGTGTCCAATACTTTTTGATAATCTACCTGATACACGAAGAAAAAAAAATAGTCATCATCCCTATTATACTGTGTTGATATTAACCAATCAATCAAAATCATATATTCAGTTTAGGCTGATACATGCACTCATAAATGTCTAGAATTTACGCAATCGGTTCGTAAATCTACGGCGGGAGACCTTGAACTGAGAAGAACCGGAAAGAAACTCAGCAAGAGCTATTTTTTTCTCCCTGTTTTATTATTTAAGAGTCGTCAAGTTGAAAAATGACTTCTGATTGCATCGTTGCTCTCGGGTGTAAATAGGATTAACAAATTATTTTTTATCAAATATAGTATTTTCGAAGCTGTTAGATAACTCTAAAAATATAGTAGATAGCCATGGAAACGGATAAAAAACATTAAGTTGTCACAAATGTCAAGAAAATAAATAAACTAAAAATAGATAAAATCGGAGCAAAATTAATGAAAACAAATAAATAACATAATATAGAGAAATGCCGGTAAGTGTCCAGCACTCTGGAATAGTGATTTTCAGTACAGATGGAATTGTAATACGTATTTACAAAATGATGAATAGTGTGTGATATTTTTGAAATTGTGTGTTTCCAGAAATACATAATAAAATATATGATGATGCCTGATGAATATCGATGATGTTAGATGATAAAATGCGTGACATGGAACCTATATTAGTCAAAACCATGGGACGATTCCTGAGGTACGTTACATGTGGTTAAAATATCTACTTTATTATTAAATGAAAACTTTTTTGGTCTTCCATGCCTTAATAATTATTTTTTTTTATTTCTAAGAACGCTTTTACTGACTAAAAGCAGTTAAGCAAAATAAAGTAGTTTCGTATATATGTATATTTTTTTGGAAATATAGTATTTAATTCCTAAAAGTATAAAATTAATTAATTATCTCTTTGTCACGGTTTATAAGGTACAGGCGACACACGGATAGACGGAAAGAGGAAGCTTAGTTATAGGGTAGTGTCCCTTTCGCACGCACTGCGAAGAATAACGTAAAAAAATTTGCAATTTATATAATAGGGTATTTGACAAGTTTTAGAAAACGATCCCATGTTATTGACTAATGTTTATGGAGTCCGTTATAAGTGAATATTCATCATTCTGTTCTGTATTTCAGTAAAAATAACCAATATCAAAAACTCCATTTTTAAGTTGCCGCGAAAACGTTTTTCTGGACAATATGGCGTCTTACTAGTGTGTGACGTCACACGGCTGTTATTAAAACGTCAAACGATACAATGTAATGTCACTTTACCCGGAAGTTTACTTGCGTTTTGGGTCACGATTCGATCACGATAAGAGAACTATTGTCTTTTTCGTTAGTTTTTAGTAAAATTATGATTTTTTTGTAAAAATTGTAAAAACCCCTGCCAATATTTATTCTAAACACAGATGCTAACAATTGGCACTTTATTTTTAACACTGTCAAATACCCTATTATTTGTTTGTGTGTTTTTTAATTTAATGTTAATGTTTTTTTTTGGAGGTTCCAGTCTGTAGTCTGTCCTCCCACAGATTAATCATTCTTTTTTTTAATCTTTGCACTTTTCTTTAAGGCTAAGATAGTAAAATCATTCAGCCTATGTTGTTATTATTATTTTTTGATATATATTAATTGGCATGGTTGTTTCTTTTGGTGTATTATTATTGTTTGATAAAAATCTGTGTCATCAACCTAAGGCCCTGCCAGAATCATCAGCGCTGCAGCAGCCCTGGTGTTGCTGTAGTATTAAGCTGAGGCAGGACCTAGTTGGCCTATTTTGGTTTGTTATATTTATGTTAATATGACTATGTATAAGGCTAATAAAATTTATTTGTTTCTTCTTTCTTTTTGCTGAACCATTTGTCATTCTGACAGCAGGTTGTCCTTATCACACTCTATAGAGAATGAGAGAGGAAGACTTATACGTGTAATAGCTCACCTGGTATCGACTCTTCAAGTAGGCACAAAAATAACAATAATATTGGTTAGCATAAGTTTTATTTTATTTTTTATCTTTATGTTGAAAAGGGGAGGAGCTCGATGGCGCAAGTGATTAGCGCGTTTGGCAGCAATCACTGAAGTTAAGAAACTCTCGCAATGGTCGGTCATTGGATGGGTGGTCACTCCTCCGTGCTTCGGAAGGCACGTTAAGCGTTGGTCCCGGCTATATCTGCAGTCGTTAGCACCCGCCAATCCGCACTGGGCCCGCGTGGTGGGTCGCGGCCCAGTCTCCCTATTCCATTCATTGGGAAGGTCTGTGCTCCAGCAGTGGGGACATTAATAGGCTGATGATGATGATGATTTTGAAAAGGTTGTAAAATAAAAATGAAATAAAATGGAAAGGTCGAAATTACCGTGTAGATAATATTTATTTTATTAGTACCATGCCAGAATCGACACCAATAAGGATGTAATTTAAGATTTAATATTTTTTTTAAACAGAGACAAATGTTTTTTATCAAACGTTTTACAATGAAATGCACTACATGTCATAAGGAGCTCGATGGCGCAGGTGGTTAGCGCGTTCGGCAGCGATCGTTGAAGTTAAGCAACTCTCGCAGTGGTCGGTCATTGGATGGGTGACCAAAAATTTACTATCTCTCACTCCTCCGTGCTTCGGAAGGCACGTTAAGCCGTTGGTCCCGGCTGCATCTGCAGTCGTTAGCACCCGCCAATCCGCACTGGGCCCGCGTGATGGGTCATGGCCTAATCTCCCTATTCCACCGATAGGGAAGGCCTATGCCCCAGCAGTGGGGACATTAATAGGCTGATGATGATGATATTACAATTTAACTTACCGGAACGTGGGTGGTATTAATTCTGGCGGTAATTTAGCAGGCACCGGATCCCCTTGTGTGGCCTTTTCGCATAAATACATTGCCAACACGAATTCTTCGCAACCTGAACAAAGACAGACAATGTGTTGGGTGAGAATTTATACAATACAATACAAGATAAAAACTCTTTATTGTACCTTAGATTAAAACTAAAAGGGTAGATACGGCACTAGCCTCACAAAAGTGATCCGCACCAATTGTGGTCCACGACCCTAATCGCTTTAGTCACAACTTGACATGCAAACGACGTACATGTGAACGTCAAAAAGAAATATTGCTAATATTTTGTGTTTATAGGTAAAACAATGCCTAAGTGTGTTTTTAAAAAGTGCTCATATTGCTCAAGAACTAAAAATAAAACCCACGGCATCACTTTTCATTCGTAAGTACTATAAAATATATTTTTTCATAAAAATTGCTGTTTGTTTTGAATCTTATTCGGTAGTGACGTCGAGTACTGGTCGCATGATTGGTCGGTAGTGCAGTGACGCGGATCTCGCCGTCTCGTTCGCGCTGCCGTTGAAACTTAACGTGCTGTTTCGTTCGGGTCGGTAATGCAGTGACGCGGATCTCGCCGTCCCGTTCGCGCTGCCGTGGGATCAGTTTTTGTTTGATGCAAGTATGAGCGTACCGTATCTACCCTATTTGTTTTAATCTAAGTATTGTACACCACAAAAATCAATGAACACTAGTGGCCCGCCCTCGCTTCGCTTCTTGTGTAGAGCTGTAGTGTAGAATTCAATTTTTCTCACCTATTAAACCTTCCCTAGACCTCCGCGAAGATTTCAAGACCAAGATAAGATAAATCCGTTCAGCCGTTCTCGAGTTTTAGCGAGACTAACGAACAGCAATTGATTTTATATACAGGCTGTTACAAAAATACAAATAAAGCTTGTAGGGCGTTGAAGTACATCATATAAGGAGTCTTCTCTAATTTTCTTAAAATATTTGCATGAAGTTTTATTTGTTTATAAAAAACAGTTATTTTAATGATTAATAAAAATATCGATCTTTTTAAGACACGACACTAGTTCGAGGATCATTAAAAATAACTGTTTTTATAAAAAGTTAAAACTTCATGCAAATATTTTAAGAAAATTAGAGAAGACTCCTTATATGATGTACTTCAACGCCCTTCAAATTTATTTGTATTTTTGTAATACCCTGTATATAGATTAAGCACAAAACCATCTTGTACAAGTGACGCAATGGGCGGCCTTATCGCTTAAAGCGATCTCTTCCAGGCAACCTTTGGATAGAGAGGATTATAAGGAAGTGAGAGAGACGGCGGTGTAAATCGCTAGTAAATTTAGGTCTTTAAAAGGATATTTGGTGTAATATTACGTTTTGAAGAAAATATTTGGTAGAAATAATCAAAATAAAACTAATTTAATGGAACAATAGGACATTTTTTTTGTGCTTCACACTTGTTTTATTCAGAAAGTGTTTAATTAACATCGAGCTCCTGAATTTTCTCATATTTTATAATAATGTGGAAAATTGTGTACACAGTTCAATTTATCGAAATTTGAAATTTTTTTTTCAACACACACCATTTAGCCTATCCCCAAAGTAAGCACTATAAGGCTTGTGTTATGGGATACTAGGGTAACGGATAGAATACATATACTGTACATATATAAGTATATTTATATAGAATTACATATTAAACATCCATGACTGGAGTACAAATGCTCGTATACAATATATAGAAAAATAAAGATAATATACTCTTTCAAATTAAAAATAACAAAAAGATACAACCAAAATACCCTGCCTCAACATAAACTTAATTCATTGATTGCTGTGCCCAACGGGGTCCATGATTGTGCATATTATTTTGTAACATCTTGTATAACTAATGGAAAGCAATAAAACATTGAGTATTGAGTAAACTATACCTTCCTTCGAAATTTCATAATGGTCTGGAAAAAGATGGGTGACCATTGTTGACCAAGTTTTTTGGCATAACCTTACCCAGTTTCTGCCAGCGCCCAGATTTGCGTTAGAGCCACATGAGGCACCAGCGACTATTATAGACCTGACTGCGGCCCTTAGAATGACCTAAATTTTCCTTGGAAATTTCATAATGGTGTGGAAAATGATGGGTGACCGTTACCACCAGCACCCCTCACCGAGTTTCCGAGGCCCTCAGCATGACCAAAATTTTCTTTCGAAATTTCACGAAATATCATAGATGTCCGAAAAATGATGGGTGGCCATCGCTCACTAAGTTTCTCGTCCGGGTTTTTAGATCTGGCTGCAGCCCTCAACGTGACCAAAATTTTACTCCGAAATTTCATCATGGTGTGTAAAAGATGCCAAGCACCACTTACCGAAGCCATCAGCATGATTTAAAATTTCTTTCCAAATTTTTCGAAATCACCAAGTTTTTTGGCATAACCTAAATTTTCCTCCAAAACTTTTCCAAGTTTCATAATGGTTTAGAAAAAGATGGGTAGCCTTACCCAGTTTCCCGTCCGCATCTAAGTCTGCCAGCACCCAGATCTGCGCTAAAACCGCCTGAGGCTGTAGTATCATAGGTATGTCTGCAGACCTTAGTATGGCTCCAAATTTACTTCGAAATTTCACAATGGTGTGGCAAATGATGGGTGACCGTTGCTCACCAAGTTTCCCGGAAGCATCTAAGTCTGCCAGCACCCACAACTGAGGCAGTCGTGAAGGCAGCCCTCAGCATGACCTAAACTTTCCTCCGAAATTTTATAATGGTGTGCAAAATGATGGGTGACCGTTAGCACCAGCACCCCTCACCGAGTTTGTGAGGCCCTCAGCATGACCTAAATTTTCTTTGGTATTTTCTCGAAATCTTATAGTTGTCTGAAAAATGATGGGTGGCCATTGCTCCATCAAAGCCTTCCTTCGAAATTTTCTGGAATTTCACAATGGTCTGGATCATCACTCACCGAGTTTCCCGTCAGCATCCAAGTCTGCCAGCGCCCAGATCTGCGCTAGAGCCGCCTGAGGCAGCCGCGACTGCAGCATTATAGATCTGGCTGCGGCTCCAGATACTGAGCCAGTCTTGGCCCGATCCGTCGCATTGAATAGTTGAGTATACCTAGACAATAAAATAATTAAGTATATCTTTAAGGAAATATTGGAAATACTAGATTCGGGTGTCAGGTAGAATTCTAACTAGGATAGGGTATTTGACAAGTTTTAGAAAACGATCTCACGTTATTGACTAATGTTTATGGAGTCCGTAAAAAGTGGATGTTCATCATTCTGTTGTGTATTACTGAAGTAAAAATAACCAAATCAAAAACTCCATTTTCAAGTTGCCGCGAAAACGTTTCTCTGGACAATATGGCGTCTCACTAGTGTGTAACGTCACACGACTGTTAGTAAAACGTCAAATGATACAATGTAATGTCACTTTAACCGGAAGTTTACTTGCGTGTGACGTCATTTTATGCTCCGCCAATCCCTAGCGTTTTGGGTCACGTGACAATAGATAAGAAAACTATTCTCTTTATCGTGGGTTTTTAGTAAAATTATGAATATTTTTTTTGTAAAAATAGTAAAATCCCCTGCCAATATTCATTCTAAACACGGATGCTAACAATTGGCAATTTATTTTTAATACTTTCAAATACCCTATTGCCAGTACCTTGGACATTTGCAACTCGTAATCGTAGTTTCTGCGTGATTCAGACACAAATATATTAACGCACAAACATACAAACTTTCACATTTAATACTAGTAAGAACGATATTAAATACCCTAGATACACACGTGCGCTCAAAATGTGTCCCAATCAAGAAGTGCTTGAACACCATTCAAGCACTTCTTGGTTCACAGTCACGCGCGGACCATTGCAAAGTCAACATGCCGCAGAGCGCCGTGATAAAATGAGAAAAAATACTTATAGTACGTAAATTGTCGTTTTTTCGACAGGACACAATGTTTGTTAATTAAACGCATTAGAAGCCAATTTTGTTCTAATATTTACTATAAACTGATTTAATAGAAAACATTAATTTGTGATATTCAAATGTATTGTCGGTATGTATATAGCCGTCTCTTTTCCTCGCGTTTCGTACCTGCTCTATTGCTAACAGCGCATTCAGAATTGCGCGTAGAGTTACAGAAATAAGGTCTATATTCTTCCGCATATCGCAATAAGTATCAAAAATTTCGGAGCTTGCATTTCGAACTGTCATAACTCTTTGATGCATGCGTTTTAATTAAGACCTTAAACAGTATGCATTAAAGGCGACTTTCAATGCTTAAACAATGCCTTATATTGTTTTTGCTAACGCGCCGTCTTACGGAGGTCCGTGGATCGTTCAATGTACCTTTCGGTCTGGTTTCGACCACGATTTTGTTCGTAGTCGCTGCGCCTGGAAAATCCGACAAACGTATTTTTTCCAAAATTGAGCTTTGTGGCTACTTTGGCTTAATTTGCGACGCCCGATAGGGCTATAAAACCCGTTTTGTCAAAAGTCAGTTTGCAAGAAAAGTAACATAAACAGCTATGTATTTGTCAAAGAAAAATAGGCGTCAAAATGCGCTTTGTGTCGGTGGTATACATGGCGTATTTTCCACTCATAGTCGATGCGCTATTCCTGCGCCTTTATGTTGCACATGGCGGTAATTTTATTTGGCGTGCAAACGAAACTACACTATTTAACTTGTTTGTTTGTTAAACAAGTATTTATTGCAAGTTTCACATTATTAACTTATTGTAAAGGATTGGATTTTATATTATTGCAGAACATACGGAAATACTTATTTCAACAAACAGTACCCTGGAAATAAATGTAAAAAAGTGAGTTTTTGGTGATTTTCCTAAACACAACCTCAAACTACCCATTTCGTTAAAATACTATATTGTTATATATAATTATTATCTTCAAACTTTTTATTCCGTCGTTAGATGCGCTGATTTTATTTATTTCTTGACGTTTCGCAGCGTTTGCAGGAATGCGTCTTCAGAATAATGATTTTTTATTTACTTTGTCGAGCTACCTTCGAAAGACTTTTATTAAGAATTCGGATATTTACCAATAGGTAGATTTTTAAAACTTTATTGTCTATGCATGAATATATTAGTTAATTAAATAATAAAGTACTTTCGTTAATTCTTTTTTATAATTTTATTTATTTGATTCTAACTACCGTAAACTACCTCCGGTTCCAAAATTAGGAGATTTTCCAAAAAAGAACCGGCGAAAATAAACTCTTTCGGGAGGCTTCCTTTCTCCTTCTTATGTTAAATCATGCAAACAAAAAGAACTAATTGTATCTGTTGGTCTATGTCTAATAGCTCAGGGTAAGAATTTTATCTGGGTTCCTAAGCTGGAGGTATATACCAACTAACTACCCTATTTAAATTTGGATATTGCTTAATCTCAATAGCCAATATCCAAATTTCAATAGGAAACTATTAACAAGCGACGCAAGACATCGGAAGATTTAATAGAAACAGATCATAAAAGAAACAATGGCATTGATTGTTATTTGCCGAGACATGACGGTATCAAACTGAGACTTTGCAGAGACTTTTAACTAGCGACACTAGATATTAAAAAAAAAAATCTTTCACAGATTGGATAAGAGCAGAAGATGCCACGAAACATACAACAGAATCAATGACATTGCCAAGTAATAATCCAAACCAGATCAAACGAAAAACATTGAAATCTGATTCAGTTACGAAGTGGTTAGATGCGCTACAGATGGTGCCTAGCCATTATTGTCGCGCAAACAGTTCCAGGATATATGTTGACGATGCACTGCAATCATTGACGAAAATGTATTCCGTTTATTATTTTTGTTGCTAGGAAAATGAGTTACCAGCCTTTCAAAGAAAGAAAAAGGACAAATACATATTTTACAATATAAATTAACAATAATAAACTAAGTTTGTAACAAGCATTCTAGATTTTACGGAAAAACTAAAAGAATCGAATGGATACCAAAAATTTGGTTTAACATCAGATGGCTGTGCATACCAGATCAAAAACAAAGTCTGAGTGAGTGCATTGCCTGACATTTCCAATAAAGAATCGATAGTCATCCACCAAATTATTTTGGAAAATGACTCCATCCTCCTTCTCCTCCATCATTGTGTGCCCCTTGGACACAATGATGGAGGTGGATAGTGTGCACTCTACTCTAGAAAAGTTTTTCAACCACCACTATATACCCCTGGCGACTATGTCTACCGGATCCGACAAGCAAGACCAACACAGCCGTACGAAGTGACTAACGTCGCCCACACTTTCTTCAAAAATTGTGACGATTTACCAAGTAACAAAAAAACAGGAGATCCAACTGTTACAGATATTAGGGCACTGCTTTGTAAACAAGGCAAAGCTTGGTTTAAAAATTTTCACCCAGATGACTGGGTACTGCTACCACAACGAAGAAAACCTGAGTTATATCAACACTGTTACACGAAAGACCTAGTAAAATAGAAAAAAGCAAATTCGACCAACTTCAATTGTTTAAGCCTTACATGCATCGAGATTACCATTCATTCTACGAAAACCTAAGATTTTAGTGTACTTGATTACCAAATGTCTGGCTTTCTAGAGGCGTACCTTCTAGATGAAAAATTTCATGATGCAGATTGACGTGTTAACTATTCTATTTAATAGAATAAATACGTTTTGTGGATATATAGGCTAGTGAAGGGTGTTAAATCTAAAACGGGAAATCAGCTTTGTGTCAGAAAAATACATAGCGGTGTTTTACGACACAAAAAAAACCAGCTAAGTGTCTTAAATTATGAAAAAAAAAATCTCTTTCAAAGAGATGTTATTGTTTCTTGAAACTTAATTTGTAATCTATTGTGTAACATATTTTTTTATTTTTTTGCATATTTGATTCTACACCTAAGTATTCAATTTCACCTCCAATCAGTTTTTTATGTCTCCTGAAAATTTTGATTTTGACGTTTGTCGGTTTTTCCAAGCGCAACGACGTCGTGATGTTGTCTAAGGTTTTTAATATCGTTGGCATAGTGCCTAAAATGCAAGATGCAACCGCTGCAAAAATGCCTAACACACCATTTTGACTAAAAAGCAAACTGCCTAGAATTAAAGATTCCACTAGTCCAATAATACCTAAAACGCTTTGGGAGAACTGTTAAGAAATCCATATAATAAACTCACTTCAACTTTTGCGGCTGCGGTATGCCCCATTCCATGGGTGGGGGACTCACCATGCCCATGGGGAGATCAGTGGGACTGGTTACAACGGAACCTGGAACATTTTACAATTTTAAATAATTACCTATCTCAACTGGCAGAATTTTACTATGCCGATCAAAAAACAATCATTTTAAGAATTTATGGCAACAAGCACATATTCTTAAATCAAATTAAGGCTTAATCCTGTGACATTAAATCATACTATCTTTGTCAATCGTTTAAACTCACCTAGAGAATGAGCCTTAAACAAGATTTACATCTTTCGTAAAATTTGATTTAAGAAAATTTTATGCAATTGCAAGTATTTTTCAAACTATAAGAAGGGAAAGCTAGTAAAAGCAAAATCACTCACCAGGTTTCGATAAAACTTCACTCTTAACAGCAGTAATAGGCGTAGAAGTCACCGGCTGACTGGGAATAGAACCTGAGACCGCAGTCACAGGTTTCGGGGGACTGCTGACCAATGAACCAACTGTAGTTCCCCCTATTAAGGGTTGAGTACCGCCTATCAGAGGTTGAGTACTTCCAATCAGGGGTTGAGTACTTCCAATCAGAGGTTGAGTACTACCCATCAGGGGTTGTGTATTCCCAATCAGGGGTTGAGTACTACCCATCAGGGGTTGTGTACTTCCAATCAGGGGTTGAGTACTACCCATTAGGGGTTGAGTACTACCCATCAGGGATTGAGTATTTGACGTCAATGGCTGACTGCTTCCCGGGGTTTGTATACCTGCTAATGGCTGAGGTTGGGATGAAGGAATCAAAGGAGTTGGACCTATCAAAGGCTGAGATGATGCCATTGGTCCAGGGATGAGAGGCTGAGTGCCTATAGGCATAGGCTGATTAGTTCCTATTAAAGGTTGTGACGTCGGTTGTGTCCCGCCGGTCAAAGGTTGAGGTGGTTTAACCCCAGAAATCAAATCTGGTACAGAATTTGGCATAGGTTTTGAAGGAGGAATCAATGGTGGTATTAAAGGTGGTCCTTGGGTAGTCACTAAGGGTTGGTTGGGGGGTGAATTGAAGTCACCCAGTAGGGAAGTGGTCATGGGTTGTGGGGGTAAACCGCTGATTAAGGGTTGGGATTGGGTTTGGGGTTGCACTGTCGGCATTGGGGGGATTGGCGGTTTGGCTGGTGGGGTGAATTGTTTCTGTGGAGCTGTAAGGGAGAAAAACAAATATTTATACAGGCAACAAAAAATAATGGAATCGCTGATCAAATGGGGTGTCATCTTATCGTCATCATCAGGCTATTAATGCCCCACTGCTGGGGCACAGGCCTTCCTTATGGATGGAATAGGGAGACTGGGCTGTGCCCCACTATAGGGTCCGTTCAAGTATTACGTAAGCAGATTTATTACAATTATTTACCCCCTCCTCCCCCTCGTCAGCAAAAGTACGCAAAGCTCTTACCCCTCCCTCCCATCCTTACGTAAACATTGGTACCTATATGCATTTTTCCTTTAATGTATTCTGTTTTTTTTTATTGATCCATGAGCTTTCATGAGCTTCATGAGCAGCAGTACTTAAAAAGGCTTAATCGATGATGGTGACGTAATCACCATCTCTACCCCCCCCCCCCATGTCATCAAAAATAAGCAAAGCAAAGACCCCCCAGCCCCCCTATAGTGCTTACGTAATACTTGAACAGCCCCATACGGGGCCAGATTGGTGGGTGGTAATGACTGTAGATGCAGCCGGGACCGACGGCTTAACGTGTAATAAAGTTTATGCGAGTACACCCGTATTAATTTTTTTCCGTACCGTACACGTACCAGTATTCGTTTCCGGTCGATTGCCCGTTTTCCAGTACCCGAAAACATTGTAATTATTGATTCGAGTGCCCCTGTACCAGTACCCTAAAACACTGTAATTATTAAATAAAACTAGTTTTTCACGGGTTAATGCACGAAACTTTATTTATTTATTGACGTTTGAAATTTTTTATTATTTTTTTTAATAATAAAAAAAATATTCCGACGACGCAGCCTGTAAAGGCTGTGAAACGTCAATAAATAAATAAAGTTTCGTGCATAAACCCGTGAAAAACTAGTTTTATTTAATGAGTGATGTGCGTGAAAACCTAATAAACAAAAATGTAATTATTACTTCGGGTGTCCGAAATCGAGTAATGTCTTTCGTGTACCTGTATACGGGCTAACGACCAGATGTAAATGTGCCATTAGATAAAGTGGGTCTGTTGATAAAATATCGATACATCGAAAAACTGTATTTTTTATTATCAGCCCTAAGATATACATACAGTATATAAAACATATATATTTACCAGCTGGGCCAAGAGAAGCGAGCAGAGACGGCGGCAACACTTTGGGTATCTCAATGCCGTGCAGTTTCAAATTTATAATCTGTAAATAAAACTATAATGAGTAATGGAAGTTATTAAGTTCTACCCAATAACTCACAATTTTAAATCATGTATGACATTTGAATTTGTCATACATAGAATAGAATAGAATATAATTATATTAACCCTCATATTACAGATATTACACATTTACAGATACAAATTAAAAAAAACTCAGGGCTAACCAGGACCCTGCCTCAGCATTAGCTGATGCGACATTGTGCGCACCAGCGCTGTTATTCTGGCAGGGCTGTTTAGTGACACAATAAAAAGAGATGTAAAAAAATATATTACTTGAAAGGATGTATGGACTTAACATCCTTTGCTTTCAAGTAACAAAAAATTAAGATAAAAAAAGTCAACCAAAAACCGCAAAAAACTACTTCTACGTGATTTAAAATTATGGGTAATTGGGTAGAAATGTCATAAAAACCTTAAACAATACAATGTTAAGTTACTTTGGCCGGAAGTTTACTAGCATGTGACGTCATTTAAGTCTTGGCCAATCCCAGGCGTTTTCGGTCGTGTGGCCATAGAGAATATTTAATGATTTTATAGAAAAGTTATTTATTTTTAAGTAAAATCACTGCTAATAGGTAAGCGCTTGACCATAATTCGCCTGATGGAAAGCAATACTATGGTCTACGATGGAGCGCGCTTACCTAATAAAAACCGGTTCACTCTTGCTTTGAAGACCGCTAGATTGTAGTGCTCGGGGAACAAGGGCTCAGGCAAGGAATTCCAGTTTGGCAGTCCGCACGATGAAGCTAGAAGCGAATCGCTTAGTGCGAGTCTTTGGAACGTCTTGAACGGTCTATTACTGTATTTGCGATGTATTTGCATTTTGTACCTTGCAAGCGATGGAGAACTCCTTCAGGTCCAACTTTCCATCTGCGTTGGTGTCAGCCAGCGACCAGATCTGGCCAAGAATAGGCGGCGGCAGTTGCGACTGTTATGGGAAGGCATAAACATAATTAATATTTATTATTATTTATTTACTAGCGGCCGCCCGCGACTTCGTCCACGTTAACTTTTTTTTTCTAAAATAAAAGTAGCCTAAGTTACTCCTTATTACATCAGCTACCTGCCAATAAAGAACCCGTCAAAATCGGTCCAGCCATTTTAGAGATTAGCCGGAACAAACAGAGAGACAGACAAGGGCGGATCCAGCTTTGGCGCCAGGGGGGGGGGGGGGGGGTCATATAGTCGTGGTCAAGTCATAGTGGGTACAGATTGTGAAGTGGGTACAGATGGACCCAGCCCAGGGGGGGTCATGACCCCCATGACCCCCACTCTGGATTCGCCCTTGCATACAGACAGACAAAAATTGTAAAAAATAAATATTTCCAACACTCACACCAATTAGCCTAGCCCCAAAGTAAGCACTATAAGGCTTGTGTTATGGGATGCTAGGGTAACGGATAGAATACATAAAATAAATGTTATTTTGGTGTATGTACCAGATATATATATTCACTAGCTGACCCAGCGAACTTCGTACCGCCCTAAAAAAATAGGGGTTGTCCAGCGGACAAAATTGTGAATCTAAACCATTCTCAGATCCCCTTGAATACACACAAAAAATTTCATCAAAATCGGTCCAGTCGTTTAAGAGAAGTTGAGTGACATACACACTCACAGAAGAATTAGAAGAAGAAGAATTATTAAAGATATGCATGTAGTAAAAATTGGTTATTTCAATATTACTAACAGGCACTCCAATGCTTATATGTATAGATTTATGGTATGCTATTTTGGCTGTGATTGTTGAAGTTAAATAACTTTCGCAGTGGTCAGCAGAGGCGGCCTTACCGATTGCGAGGCTCCGGGCGGCAGGTCTTTGCGAGGCCCTTTGTCCTTCGTGAAAAGTATGTGATGCGAAAGTAGGTCTGGTTGTTTGGTTTAGGTATTTGTCATGTTTAAGGAAAAATGCTTAAATTGTACAAATAAATCAAATTTGAATTTTAAAATATTTTACATTGAAAGATTCACAAAATTAACAAATACAGAGATGATAAATTTTAAAATTGATGTTTGCGGCTTTTCCTAAGACTAAAATCTTTAATTAAAGCACAATAATCTAACGAATAAGCTACGTCATTTTCGATTGAAAGAATAGCGAGGGCTGAAAGCCGATCTTGTGTCATTGAAAAAATAGTATTTTTTTTTATATTTTTAAAATTTGCTTGGGTTGTTGCGCGAGGCCCCTGTAGGAGCGAGGCCCCGGGCGATTGCCCTGTTCGCCACCCCCTAAGGCCGCCACTGGTGGTCAGTCATTGGATGAGTGAGCAAAAATTAACTCTCTCACTCCTCCGTGCTTCAGAGGCCAGTATTGCAGGCATTGGTCCCAGCTGCATCAGCATTCGTTAGCATCCGCCAATCCACACTAGGCCCGCGTGGTGGGTCATCGCCCAATCTCCCTATTGCATCCATAGGGAAGGTCTGTGCCCCAGCAGTGGGGACATTAATAGGCTGGTGATGATGATAGAAACATTTAATGCGACTTCGGAACCTCAACTATGTATTAATAAAACTTACATTTAGAGATATCATTGACTTAGAATTTTTATTTAAGTTACTGCTGTCACAATCTTTGTTATAACAATAGACTGAGTCATCATCATCATCATCATCAGCCTATTAATGTCCCCACTGCTGGGGCACAGGCCTTCTCTATGGATGAAATAGGGAGATTGGGCCATGGCCCACCACGTGGGCCCAGTGCGCATTGGCGGGTGCTAACAACTGCAGATGCAGCCGGGATCAACGGCTTAACGTGCCTTCCGAAGCACAGAGGAACTCGAGATAGGAGATTTTTGGTCACCCATCCAATGACCGACCACTGCGAAAGTTGCTTAACTTCAACATTCGCAGCCGAATGCGCTAACCACCTGCGCCATCGAGCTCCTCATGTATAATTTCAGTTGTTATCATGTCACTTACTGACTTGTTTTCTCGAATGCCAAACTAAAGGGTATATCCATACAAAACTATAGGGTATATCCATACTGGTTTACAATCTAATAATAATAATTCATTTATTGTGGAGCATACATAGCTACCACAATACTGGGGTGTTACATAAGTGCATACAGTTCAGCTATGTCCTGCCATAAGGCGTACAATTACATGATAAAATTAAATGACACAATTTAAAATAATATTATTATGAATGTCAATTAAGTTTATTTCCAATTTTATTCAATTTACATCAATTATCAATATCAAATCTATGCGACAACATTATATATAAAAATATATGTTGAGTGTGTCAGAAAATCTAATTTTTAAATTTCTTTGTCAGATAAGAATTCCATAACAGTATATTAGCATTTTTCAACTAAAAAAATATTTTATTTAGTTTTCTAAATCAAGAGGTTTTACTTAGTAACAAATAAAACATTACCTGAAGCATGAATCGTTTCGCTTGCTCCCCGGTGAGGTGCCCGTTGATGGGGCCAAGGTTCCTAAAGTGCTCCGCAAACTTGGCATGCTCGTGGGGCTGGACTACCCAAGGATCCCCCGCCATTGCGATCAATTACACTCTGCGACAAAGAAGAATGTCACTTAATAACAATCAGTATTGTTATAAAGCGACATCCTAAGCATATTTCTTTCTACTACAGTTAGAAGAAAGAAAAATTTTTAGGATTTTAGAAGACATTTGTTTTTATTATTTTGTATAAATTTATCTTAAAAAATTTGTAACCACTAAATACGTTGTAATAGGTGCCTTTTTGGGGGTTTTCTACACATTTCTGAAAATTTTTATAATATTCAAATTTTTGCCTCACTTTAATATTTATAAAATTTTATTTGATGATAGACTGTATTGTTATATTTGCAATGATATGGAAGAATTTAGTTGAGCTTTAATACACTTAATTATTTACCCAACAAGCACCAAACATCTTTGTAATTGAACCTTTCATAATTTAATTTTATTGACATATTAATTAAATTAATTATTGAAAAATTTTATTTTATAAATGAATTTCCATAATAATAATTATGAAATCGAAGAATAAGATTGATCGATCAATACGAAAAATAAGATCAATTGAGTAAGTTATATCATAAAATTAATGAAATTAGATGACATCTAAGCACGATTTGAGAAATAAAGTTGTTATATACAAATTAGGTTCTTCATATAAAATAATTGTTTATTAATTAAGTCCTCTTTTGTAATTTTTATCTTTAAAACTCTATTATATTGTGATACCCTGACAGGGTTCATGTTAGGTACTTTATGCATTTTGTAACTTGTAAGCATCAATGTAACCACATGAGTGCAATAAATTGAATTAATAAAAATTTCTTACACATGCGACAATTAGCCTGCACTGTAAGACTTGTGTTATAGTATACTAGGGTTATATAGAAATATATAATAATCACTTAGATATGTATAGATTTTGTGACTCGGGTACAAATGCTTGTATGTATCAAAGACAATGCTTGAGTGATGCTCTGGTATTACTGGTAGGCTCTTATAAGGTGGTGGGCGCTTATAATTAAGTTTTTAAGAAACAGTATAAATGGATGTGATTTAACATACCATTTCAGTTATAATTGTGCTGAGTAAATTTATCCAGTTGGAAACTATACTAAAAAATCATTTATTACCTAAGCCTTATGTATTATTGAGCTATATTATTAGCAGTGTAGGTAAGGGATTTTAATTTTATGTAAACTAAGCATGCATGCAGAGAGATTATTGATGGTTTAGAGTTGGTTGAAAACCATTGACTTTCTTTAAGGATATTTTACAGCTGGTAAGTTGTAAAAAGAACATATTGGAGAGTAAGAATTAGTAAATACTTACTATATTTTCTTTGGCAGATGTAGAGCGAAGGTCTAAACGCCCCTTTTTTATTTAAAATCACGAGAAATTTGTACGGAAAGTCCTAGAGCTTGTATTGATCGGACGTGAACTGTCAAATTTGTAAAATGACAGCTAAGAACTCGTTCAAAAATCTAAATATTATGTTCCGAATTTCTAAAGTTATGTTGACCAAAGAAAACATTCTTCCAGTGAAAATCTTATTGAAAACAGTCTTTACCATCTTTAACGTTATTAATTTATAATCATTTTATAAATTAATTTCAATGTTCCATTAGCGAGTCTATCTTTTGTATTCTTATAAAAATTACAACTAGGGCTATAGGCTATAGTGGCCTTAACATTACTGATAAAGTTTTGAGGATAATCATGATCAACAGCTTATTAGAAATATTTTAAATTGTAAACAACTACAGATCAAGTAATACAAGTAAAACAATACTGTCTAATCGCAATATCAGTATTCCCCTGCGCACTCGTCTACTTCAATGCTACATTTGGCCTATAGTCCTCTATGGTTGCGAAGCTTGGACTATTAAAGAGGACCTTCGTAGACGTATTGAGGCTTTCGAAATATGGACTTACCGACGCATGCTCTCAATCAGCTGGACTCAAAAAGTTACCAATGTCGAAGTTCTAAGACGTGTCGGTCAAACTCGCAAATTGATGCAGACCATCAAAACAAGAAAAGTTGCCTACCTCGGTCATGTCTTCAAACACGAGAGATACGATTTACTGCAACTCATTATGATGGGCAAAATTGCGGGGAAACGTCGAGTAGGCCGTCGGAAAAAGTCATGGCTTCGAAACATCCGCGCGTGGACCGGTGTCAAGAGCGCCGCGGAATTGTTTCACCTCGCCAGGGACAAAGCGAGGTTTTCAAGGCTGATGTCCAACCTTCAGTAATTGGAGAGGAACACGAAGAAGAAGAAGAAGACAGATCAAGGTTTATAGGGACTTCATACTGACTACTGTAATTCGGACTGCAATATGTTATTCAATTTCTGAACGAAAATGTCACTGTCAATGTCACGTTGACAAATGTCAAGGCAACAAATTTATCAGCTGTTGTGTTGCATTGTTGTTTTTAACGCATTTTTCCATATTTTCGGAGTAATTTTATCATCGAAATGACGAAAGTAGCGGACAACGTCAACCCTCACATATACGAGAAGGGTTCCGAACGTGAAATAACATCTACCGATTTGGATGAGGATGTTGTTGACGAAATAGATGAACGCGAGGTTTTTGATCTGATCAGGAACATCAACGACCCTGAGCACCCTCTCTCTTTGGAAGAGCTCCGTGTGATAGAAGAGAGCAACATAAGAGTTGACAATAAGGAGAACACCGTTTATGTTAATTTTACGCCGACCATACCACATTGCAGCATGGCGACTTTGATTGGTATGTTTCGTTTTAGGCTAAAGAGGGCCTTCCTGGGCCTGAGAGGTGATACTTAAATATCCTCTCACGTACATCCATTCACTCGCACATTACACAGAGAGGTCATTCACTTACACAATTTTTATTTTAACAGTTTTATAAAATCCAAATAAGTATTTCTTGTAAAATCAGTATTACAAGAAACTTACTTCACTAGCTTATAGGATACAAGTGATTGTCTAAACCTGAGGATTGAGGCACTCTGTATGCTGAAATACAGGACGAAAATCCTAGTTCGGCAGCAGATGCTAAAGATTGTCTTTTATATTCTTAAGCTCATATATGGTGTCCATAGTTTATAATACGTAATGTTACTTATATGCTGCTCTAAATAAATATTATTATTATTAAACTAGGTTCGCTACTGGCGGACCCGACAGACGTCCTGCCCGATAAAATATTGTTCAGTATAACCTAATATTCTATATTGAGGAGCTGACGGGGCAGGTGGTTAGAGCGTTCGGCTGCGATATTTGAAGTTAAGTCAACTTTCGCAATGTTGGTCGGTCATTGGATGGGTGATTCCTCCATGCTTCGGAAGACACTTTAGGCTTAACGTGCCTTCCGAAGCACGGAGGAAGCAGGAGGAAACAAGCAGGGAACAACGGCTGTTGTTCCTTGCTACATCTGCAGTCGTTAGCACCCATCAATGCGCACTGGGCCCGCATGGTGGGTCATGGCCTAATCTCCCTATTCAATCCATAGGGATGCGCTGTGCCCCAGCAGTGGGGTTAATAATAGGCTGATGATGATGATCAATCTAATATTCTATAAGCCAGGGTAGCCCATTGACTATTTCAACCCCATGAGTTGCATTGCCTATTCAGTTTTATATCATCATTTATTAACTTGAAAAACACAGTTGTTCTTCAGCTGTTAACAGCCTCAGATGTTGGTATAACTTAGAGTATGCATGGTGTGCCATACTGGCTGTATTTAGTATATTTAATCTGTCACACTATAGGCTTGACACATTGTAAATACTTAATTCAGTTGTTCGGAAAAATATACCAAATTATCAGGACGTATGTGTTTCATTCAAGGTTTAACTGGTTTTTCCACTGTGTAATTTATCTTGTTACACCATAATTTTCCATCTATCTATCCAAGTTGAGCAAATAGGTTAGAAGAGCATGTGAAGATATGCAAGTTATACATGGTGGTATACTACCATCTTGTTAAAAAGTCATAAGAAATAAAAATATTCTTAAAACATATTTTCCCATTTGTTTGGGCTTCTTGCTACGTACCATTCCTTATAATTACGGTTTAAAAAGGTAGATTTTTTCTGAAAACATCTAGGTCACACAAACACACATCACATCATCTAAAGCTACTGATCAGAAATCGTTGTTGATGAAATTGTAGATTCAATACCTAAATCATAAAACTGCTTCCAGGTCTCTCCATACGCGTTCAACTGCTCAGAGCTCTGCCCAGTCGATTCAAAGTGACAGTACGAGTTACAGAAGGTACCCATGCTTCAGAACACGCGGTGAATAAGCAATTAGCCGATAAGGAGAGGGTGGCCGCAGCTCTAGAGAACAATAACCTAGTACAGATCATTAACCAATGCGTAGCTACACAATAGCGGAGTTAAGAATTTACTTTTAAGAGTACTGTTAAGTTTTATAACTGCATACTTATTTCTATCCCATATTTTACCCCTTCGTACTTTTATTTTTACTGTGAAAAATAGTGGTCAAAGATCCGAACCTACATCGACCTTCACCGGGCTGATAATAGAATGAAACATATTTTATCATGAATTTAGTATATTAGATATTATATAACATATGGGTTGCCTTATAATCCTGGACAGACTATTTTGAATTATTAAATATAATATGTAAAATATGTTTCATTCTATTATCAGCTCGGTGCAGGTCGCTGTAGGTTTGGATCTTCTACTATAGCCGTTTATTCTTCTTCAAGGCCAAATCTAACTAAAACAAAAAATCTGAGTTGGTTTTTATAATATTAGTATTTGCAAGATTAATACCTCAGCTGTTTTTCAATTGTTTCTGTTTTAATAAATAGATCTGTACATGCGTTATCGGAATTATATAACTATAGGCATATATCTATACTATTAAATAAAACTGCTGTGTTACTTCTGAATAAAATGTTGCGCTTTATTCCTTATAAAGTAAATGAAGCCGTTGAAGTTAGGTGTAAAAGACAGTACTTAAGTACAATTTTGTAAATATTGTTATCTATAATAAAAATATTAAAAACAGTACACTGCGTTTTGTCTATCTGCTCTCAATTCGATTACATTCAAAGGTCAAAATTACGAGCCATCCAACGGAGCGTGCGGTAAAACATTTTACCGTACGCTCACATGCAGGGCGGCGTGCGTATTCTTCACGGTTTTTTGATGTGAAACATCTTTTGGTGCACGTAAAACCGATTTCTGGCGTGCCGACGCTCGTCCGTAAAATACAATATATACCAGGACACAACTACTCGCCGATCAGTGGCTCCCCCCTGGCCAATGCGACGACCTCCGTGGCCGAGTGGTTTATACGCCGGGTTTCATGGCGTCGCCGACTCGAGAGGTCCCCCGTTCGAATCCCGGTGGGGGCAGATGTTTGTGTGATGAACACGAGCATTTGTACTCCAGTCGTGGATTACAAATGCTCGTGTTTTATTACTTAATTGATTTAAGTATTTTTATATAAATATAGTTATATACGTAAAGTATATGTATTCTATCCGTTACCCTAGTATCCCATAACACAAGCCTTATAGTGCTTACTTTGGGGCTAGGCTAATTGGTGTTAAAAAAAAAATAAAAAAATGCGCCTCCGATTCCTGCTACACAGGACGAAAAACACCAACACTACAGCAGCTAGCAAACGTGCACACCGCCGAACCCGTAGGATAAGAGTGCGAAGACCCGGGGCCCTTTCGCCTAACGGAAATGCTATGGAAAACGCTAACGCTTACGATTTCATTTTGTTATTTCTAGCCGCCTGAGGTTTTCAAATGCCTCGCGCTCTTTTTTTTCTTTTGCAATGGTAATAACAATATTAAAAAGAAATGAGCGTGAGGTATTTGAAAACCTTCGGTGGTCAGAAATAACAAAATAAAATCGAAAGCGTTAGCGTTTTCCAAAGCATTTCCGTTAGGCGAGTGGCCCCCTGGTTTACACACACACGCCCTCTAGTTGAGCCGACCCCCTCAGGTTCGAGTTGTCTGGCTCCAGGCGGAGACTCCCCCAGTGGGGAGACGCCATCCGCTTGGAATACCTTTAGAGGTACTCGCCAATTCTCGCCTTGAGGTCCCCTTAGGATCTCGCCGTCCCCCAACCCAGTGACGCTGTAAAGGTCATCTGCGACCAACAGCATACACAATAAAAAAAAAATGGGTGCGTGTACTTATGTAGGCGCGTGAGAAGTTATCCTTCTTTGGCATCGTTTAAAATTAGTTTTTAATTGCATGCAAATAATTAATTACAATAAATTAATAATAAATGACATTTCGTTTCGTTTCGTTTCGTTTCGTTTCGGTTCGTTTCGTTTCGTTTCGTTTCGTTTCGTTTCGTTTCGTTTCATTTCATTTCATTTCAATGTCCCGTTCAAATCTGCCCTGTTTGCTTTGTTCAAATCTGCCCCACGGTCACTTGGAAAATAAAATATTACAAATAACGCGCCCGCGGCTAACTTCATTATGTTAAAATTTTGTGTTACAGTGATGAAAATTTCACTCTCATAATTTTTTCATAACGCGGCTAAAGAAGTATAACTTCAAAAAGAATCGACGATCAGCCGATCAGTACGGCGCAAGCGCCCTTCCAAGGACCTATGTCATTTTTTACCGCACGCATCCCGAGCAATTTTCTGAGCGTATTTATCGTAAACCGGCTAGTGTTTCACATCTGCCAGGCGTCCGTTACGGCTCACATTTTTTAAATTTCGGTCAAATCTCACTGTAGTAGCGGCACGGCACGCTATGATGACCGTTTTGACGTTTGTGCGTTTATGAAGTTTCTTATTCTAAACTCAAAATTAGTTCTACATATGAAAGAAATCACACTAATATTATAAAGGCGAAAGTTTGTGAGTGTGTATGTATGTTAATTCTTCACGTCTAAACGGCTGCAGCGATTTCAATAAAATTTGGTATGGAGTTAGCTGACAACCTAGATTCACACAAAGGCTACTTTTATCCCGAAAAATGTTAGGTTCCAGAGGTATTTTCAAGAAACTAAGTTAACGCAGACGAAGTCGCGGGCGACCTCTAGTAATTATAAAATAACTAGCAAACCAGTGAACCAAATGTTCACCAAAACCTGATTAAAAAAAAAAATGTATTTAATTAATCGAGAACTTCGGAGATTTTGTGTGGTTTCGTTTGAAATTCGTGATTTCTCGAAAACCGGAAGTGCTACGTTACTCAAATCCGGTTTGTAGTCTTATCAGACTATTCTCAACTTATAACTTAAATATTCTCTTTATCTATCTCTTACGGTTTGGCCGCTGAAACAGCATCACAGACAGACAGACGGACGGACTTGTCTAATAGATAAGAGATTACCCTTCCTACCCCCTTTTCACACTCGAATCCCGGGTGAAAGGGAATCGAGGGTGACAAGGGTATTGGTGGGTGCACTGAGCAAGTAATGGGTGGTTGATAATAATGGATTGGTGGGTAATAGTGGGATTGATGGGTGAGAATAGGGTAGATAGTAGGGGTACTGTTGCAAATGTGTTGAAAAACGTTGTATGACATTCGTGCGGCTTGGTATTTTAAATCGAAATTTATATCACAGGTAAGAAGGTAAATATTTTAATTACAAAACCAATCATATAGGCTTGCCTGCAAAAAATCGTGCACAAATTATTATTGCCAAGCTATAAATTTTTAGAATTATAGCTATTCTGATAGGGGCGAGAGAACTCTAATTTATTTGAAATCCGATTTCGATCACAATGTTTGTATTATTTCACACTATATATACTTACAGCTATGAAATAATCAAAAATAAATAATTTAATATACTTAGTAATGAATAAAAAAAAAACAACAATTATTTTTTCATTCTAAAACTAAATTATAACATTTAAAAATAATAATAAAATCTAGATTCTTTATTTAAAATTAAAATAACAAAGCATATAAAGTAAATAATATGAATACTGAACATCACATAGGTACTAATAAATCTTCTTCACCTCCATTATCCATGTCTTATAATAGAAATCAAATAATAGAAATAATCCACGGATTTTACTATTTGTACTTAATTGGAGCTTCAATGCCACAAACTTTTGAAAAAATTGCTGAATCGATACTGATAAAAATTTGTTCGACGAAAGCCGCACATTGCATTGAGTTTTTGATCGTTATATGTCGTCATATCATCAAAAAAGTTTCGTGTTGTTTGGGTATTTATTAGGTTATAAATAATAAATTGTATAAATAATTATTTATTTTTCTTTTAATTTGGGTTTGATGCCTTTGCTTCGTTTTTGATGTCTTCGTATGAAGTTTGATTCTGTAAAGAAACATAACAATTAAGTATACCTAACTATAATGATTTTGTATTAATGTAAAACTTGAAAATTCCATTTTAAATCGCAAATGCTAATTGAACAATCAATTGTGGTGGTATGCACACCGGTTTTTCAGGTGTCGTCTACTAAGAGGTCCTGTGTTCGAAATCCGGTAGAGTAGACCAGGGTCGATAATTTAAAAAATGGTGAAAAGTGAAAAAAAATTAAATGGCAAAGTTGTAGGTAATAAAAAGATCTACAACTTTTGTATTGTCACTTTTTTCACATAACCTCAAAATTTATGTGAAAAATGCGAATAACTGAGTTTTTGGTTTTTGATTTTTATTTTTTAATTAATTTGCAGTTTCTGAGAACATTTACCATAGTAGTGTATATTTTTTTTATACCATCAGAAAGTAGAGATTTCAACAAACAAAAAACACCCCAACTTTTTTAAAAAAGGAGATATTTTGACGTGAGAATTTTCGATTGAAAATAAGGGTGCTTTTTCGATATTAAGTCAAAATAAGGTGAAAAAATGAATATTTTAAATCAAAAAAATTACTGTATGTTTGGGACATACAAAGGTAAGTTTTCACCAAATTTCGTGAAAAAATATTTTTTTTTAAAAAAATAAAAATCAAAAACCAAAAACTCGGTTATACGCATTTTTCACATAAATTTTGAGGTTATGTGAAAAAAGTGTCGACACAAAAGTTGTAGATCTTTTTATTACCTACAACTTTGCCATTTAACTTTTTTACATAGGACTTGCAGTTTTACCGGAAATCGAGATTAACCATTTTTTACCCTTAAAAACTCACCCCCTCCCCCTTCCCGACCTCAGATCGCCCGTAATTTATTTTTCCTTTCATTTTTGTTATATTCTCTACCTTTTCTAATGGGTTTCATCCTACTATAATTTTTTTTAGTCTCAAAAATAGGGGCGAAAAATAAATGAACAGAATGAGAGCTTCAGAGCACAGTTCAAAACCGGGACACGGACGTAAAGACAGATAAACAGGGATGTCTATTCTGGCATGACTCTAAACTTAAAACTCTATGTAACATCAGTCTCTCCTTTTCATTCTGTATAGAGAATAACAAGGACGGTGTCGATTCTGGCAAGATTCTCTAAACCTAAACTTTAATTTGACAACAGTGCATCCTTGTCATTCTCTATACAGAATGACAGGGAGAGACTGATGTTAAATCTAGTTTTAAGTTTAGAGAATCATGCCAGAATCGACACCTTTACTCTAGGTATGTATTTGGATAGGGACGATGACTAACTTGTTTTTAATCTTTTATCGGGTAGATTATCAAAAATATCTATTGGGGAAGAGGTACTTTTTTTCATTCACATAATTAAAATAGAGTCTGTGCGGAAAGAGAATGGGCGTGGCGAAAAACGGAACTAACATTAGAATTTTTATTTGGCAATCAAACCCAGCAATCTGTAAAACGTCAAAGTTTTGTATTGATATATATTCGGTTTTTTGTATTTAATCATGTCTAAAAGGGGTCAAACCTTGCAAATACGGTAGAAAAACACTACAGCGCCCTCCAATCTAAATTCCATTCTCTTTCCGCACAGACTCTATTACATTGATTTGGAATATCGCATGACGTCACTACTATTCTACAAGTTTTGTGTAAAACTAGTTTATGACTTGTTTCTTGGTGTAAACGCATGGTAAATATACTAGTTGTCTGTGCAATGTTACAAACTGTCACAACAAGTATTCTACAAGTTTTGTGTAAAACTAGTTTATGACTTGTTTCTTGGTGTAAACGCAGGGTAAATATACTAGTTGTCTATGCAATGTTTCAAACAGTCACAACAAGTGTTCTACAAGTTTCGTGTAAAACTAGTTTATGACTTGTTTCTTGGTGTAAACGCAGGGTAAATATACTAGTTGTCTGTGCAATGTTACAAACAGTCACAACAAGTATTCTACAAGTTGTGTAAAACTAGTTTATGACTTGTTTCTTGGTGTAAACGCAGGGTAAATATACTAGTTGTCTGTGCAATGTTAAAAACAGTCACAACAAGTATTCTACAAGTTTTGTGTAAAACTAGTTTATGACTTGTTTCTTGGTGTAAACGCAGGGTAAATATACTAGTTGTCTGTGCAATGTTAAAAACAGTCACAACAAGTATTCTACAAGTTTTGTGTAAAACTAGTATACGACTTGTTTCTTGGTGTAAACCTATGGTAAATATACTAGTTGTCTGTGCAATGTTACAAACAGACACAACAAGTATTCTACAAGTTATGTGTAAAACTAGTATACGACTTGTTTCTTGGTGTAAACGCATGGTAAATATACTAGTTGTCTGTGCAATGTTACAAACAGTCACAACAAGTATTCTACAAGTTTTGTGTAAAACTAGTTTATGACTTGTTTCTTGGTGTAAACGTAGCGTAAATAATATACTAGTTGTCTATACAATGTTACAAACGGTCACAACAAGTATTCTACAAGTTTTGTGTTAAACTAGTATACGACTTGTTCCTTGGTGTAAACGAGGGGTAACAGTATTCAATACACAAACTCGTTAATTAAACTTGAACTTCCTATAATCTGGGGTCCTTTAAGAGAGGCGTGAAGAAGCATTTTTGCAGGCCGGCAAGGTGAGGATGGTTGGTGTGACAGTTTATAACTGCTGTACCAGCTATCTTCGCGTATGGACTTTATCACCACTTAACATCAGGTGGAGTCATTTGCCTCATCATCAGCCTCTTTATGTCCCCACTGCTGGGGCACAGGCCTTCCCTATGGATGGAATAGGGAGATTGGGCCATGACCCACCACGCGGGCCCAGTGCGGATTGGCGGGTGCTAACGATTGCAGATGCAACCGGTACCAACGGCTTAACGTGCCTTCCGAAGCACGGAGGAACTCGAGATAGAAATTTTTGGTCACCCATCCAATGACCGACCACTGCGAAAGTTGCTTAACTACAACGATCGCAGCCGAACGCACTAACCACCTGCGCCATCGAGCTCCTCTCATTTGCCTACCTCGTTATATAAAGATCGTAGAGTACCTGCGAGTGAAGACGAAGTTCTCCCTGCGGGTCGTAAAATTAGAGTCCCGTCACAATGTGAATTTTAATTCATTTGTGGTGAGGGTGCCGACCGAACATCTAGCGACTTTTATGAAAGAAGACCTTAGACCGAAAGGTGTCGTGTTCCGACGATTCCGAGACCGGTTACCCGATACCACTACGCGTCACACGTCGCCGGCTATACGTGTTAATTAGGTGTTTACTAGCATAGTTACTAATTTGATTTACTAACAATAATGTTTTATATCTGTACTAGCTGACCCAGCGAAATTCGTACCGCCATAAAAAAAAAATAATTAAAAAAACATTGTCCAGCGGACAAAATTGTGAATCTAAACCATTCTCAGATCCCCTTGAACACACACAAAAAATTTCATCAGAATCGGTCCAGTCGTTTAAGAGAAGTTCAGTGACATACACACTCACAGAAGAATTATATATATAAAGATATGTTAGAAGATAAGGTATTTATCTATGTACCTATGTAGCCTGATCATAAATTAAAAAAAATTGTGTGTGTCAGCTCCGACGCACGACTGGAGTTTACTCCTTAAGTTCGATAGTCTAACCAGACGCAAAAAGAGTTTATTTAACTTAAAAAAGATTGATACTGTATGAAACTGGACTTACGGAATACAACTGTGGGGAACGGCCAGCAACAGTAATATAGATATCCTGGAGAGATTCCAGACCAAAGCTCTGAGAATAATGCTTGGCATCCCTCATTGTATAAGTAATAGATACATATACTTAGACCTCGGCCTCAAAACAGTTCGGCAGGAAATAGCTCAAAACAGTCTGAAATATCAGGAGAAACTGACCGTCCATGTAAACAAACTGGCACACGCTCTGAGTGGAGAAGACGCTCTTCAGCATACCCGGCTAAAAAGAAGTGATATACCGACCCTACATAAAAGATTTACCACCTGACATCAAGAGAGTCGTGTGAAAAATATTCTCACACAAGTATGGCTCTTGAAGAAAACATAAACAGAGAAATCAATTAAACACGTGGCTTATTGTTGAAAAACAGATTGCCATGAAGCAGACATCATAAAAAAAAACTGTATGAAAGGGTAAATTAACAAATTAATGAAAATAATATACATATATAAATATATCTTAATTCATTTCATATACATTTATTATAACTAATCGACGAAATATTTTACATTAAACTTTTTACAATAGTCAATTTCAGATGTGCATAAATTTATTATATTTTAAGTTATTGTACATCTTAGTGTTTTTATTTGTTTTGTTACATTAAGTCATGGTGGGCGATAACAGAGTCATGTTGTTAAGTTAAATATTTGTAAGGACAAATCTCAGTTTGTCCTTGGTGGGCGATTATGTATACGCCATCTGTGCATTTATAATTTTAGTTTGAATATGTATCAAAATAGATGGCGCTGTAGTTCGTTGCATCACGCTTGTAAATATACTACAGTCAACCTGTAGAAAAAAAAATCGTTTCAGTGAAAAAAAAACCTAAAGGGTAAGTCTTGTTTTTTCTGTTGCCAAATGACGTCAGTAAGCCACCTTGGCGACTGGCGTGTTCAACTCGTAGGCGTTTTTTGAAAAACTCAAAAAAACCCTCAAAAATTTTTTGAAACCCATTTTTCTTGTTTTGTATGCATTTTAGAAACTTTTTTTTCAACTATAATTGTAGAGGGCGTTGAGTACTAAAATTTATGTCATTGTTGCAATCTCGTACAACAAAAAATGCGCATTGTAGGTGGCGCTAAAGTCTCAAAAAAGTGCTTTTTCACTTTTTCACATTGAAAATATCATTTTAATGGAAAACTTTAAATAGAAAAGTTGTTCCGTACATAATTACCAACAACTTTTGTATAAACAATTTTTTTGTATTACTTACCGTTTTCAAGTTATAAATTGCGCAGGTATGAAAAATCCAATAGAGCGGTTTTGGGCAGTTCAAGTACACATTTGCAGTGCACATTTCAATGTACGTTTTACTATTTTTATTTTTTTTTCATGATTGTAATAATGAAAAGAAAAAGTCTCCATAGGACCCAAAAAAATACCGTTAGTAGCACTGTGTTGTATACGTAGCGTTGTATTGCACTGTAACTTGAAAACTGTACGTAATTAAAAAAAAATATATACAAAAGTTGTTGGTAATTATGTACGGAACAATTTTTCCATTTAAAGTTTTCCATTAAAATGATATTTTCAGGGTGAAAAAGTGAAAAAAACACTTTTTTGAGACTTTAGCGCCACCTACAATGCGCATTTTTTCTTGTACGAGATTGCAACAATGAAATAAATTGTAGTACTCAACGCCCTCTACAATTATGGTCGAAAAAAAAGTTTCTAAAATGCATACAAAACAAGAAAAATGCGTTTCAAAAAAATTTTGAGGGTTTTTTTGAGTTTTTCAAAAAAACGCCTACGAGTTGAACATGCCTATCGCCAAGGTGGCTTACTGACGTCATTTGGCAACAGAAAAAACAAGACTTACCCTTTAGGTTTTTTTGAAGTTATACTTCTTTAGGCGCGTTATGAAAAATTGATGAGAGTGAAATTTTAAGATGCGCGCGCATCACTGTAACACAAAATTTTAACAGGTCGCTTTAGCGACCAACTTCATGCGTCACCTTTGTGTTTACCGCACATTAAGAAAATCTACCAACAAAATAGATATAGAATCTCTATTTAGTTTGTGCTAACGACTGCATTGTGAAGGCCTATCAAAAGTATTTATTAATCTGGAACAACGGAACCAAAGCGCGATTCAGGAGACTACAGCGCCATCTCTTGACCATTGGTGTAGTAGAACCAAAAACCCACATCTTTATTTTTTGTAATAAAGTAACAGTTATAGGTATTCATATTTATAATATTTATCCACATGTTTCTAGTTTGTATATTCGGAATACGTGTTTGAGTTTCATACAAATGCAAATCACATATGTTCTAATAAATTATATTCAGTAGCGATTTTAATTGAATATTTTGATTATTTATTTATTTTTTCAAATTAAAACTGAACTTTATTGACTGTGTCCTTTTCCAGACTTTTTATTAATTTATTGTAATTAATTATTTGCATGCAATTAAAAACTAATTTTAAACGATGCCAAAGAAGGATAACTTCTCACGCGCCTACATAAGTACACGCACCCATTTTTTTTTCACCACTCAACCTACAGATTGACTGTATTCAATTCAAATTGTTTATTACAGACAACAAAATGGTCCATCAAATCGTTAGTAACATTATTTAACTTAAATGCTATGTTAGTATATATTTCTGGGATTCAATCGATGTGTGTTTTTTTTAAATACTGAAATTGTATTATATATCTTTATATATATAATTCTTCTGTGAGTGTGTATGTCACTGAACTTCTCTTAAACGACTGGACCGATTTTGATGAAATTTTTTGTGTGTGTTCAAGGGGATCTGAGAATGGTTTAGATTCACAATTTTGTCCGCTGGACAATGTTTTTTTAATTAATTTTTAATTTATTAGTAGTTGTTGATTTTGGAATGTTTTACATTGGATCCGACAGACGGCGCTACCATCGCAGTGTCAAATCTTTATATATATAATTCTTCTGTGAGTGTGTATGTCACTGAACTTCTCTTAAACGACTGGACTGATTTTGATGAAATTTTTTGTGTGTGTTCAAGGGGATCTGAGAATGGTAATTTTCATCAAAATGGTCCAGAATGTTTTAGCTTATTAAAAAAAGTTTGAAATTTTCAAATTAAAGACGTGTAGACAGGACAGCGTCTGTCGGGTCCGCTAGTCTTTATATATATAATTCTTCTGTGAGTGTGTATGTCACTGAACTTCTCTTAAACGACTGGACCGATTCTGATGAAATTTTTTGTGTGTGTTCAAGGGGATCTGAGAATGGTTTAGATTCACAATTTTGTCCGCTTCACGACCCCTATTTTTTTAGGGCGGTACGAAGTTCGCTGGGTCAGCTAGTATTATATATAATACAATAATGACTGTACTAATATGTTTGGAGCTACATATAGGCAAAACGTCACCTAACTAACAAAGAAATCTATGGTCTAACAAAACACACTGTAGTTTCAATTTAATTCTTTTGCACCTAAGCTCTCGGATTTAAGAGTCATTTTGGCTCGAACATCATGCGCACCAAAAACGTAACGAGGTCATTCATCGATAGATTTTACTCCTCACATTTTTCTCATACCTGGCCCCTTATATATGCAAATCGATTCTTAAGGAGTAAACTCCAAAAAAAGAGTTACTTACGTCCCACATATCTACGTCCCACGTGGGGAACAGACGGCGGAACACCTTCGGCTCCTTGCCCTGCTTCACGACCACCATTACTGCGTTGTCAGCGGTGCGGTCCAGCCCGTCGTCCTCTATGTACTCCTGGGCACAGAACGCAGAAAGAGGTTAGAACGATAAATAAACAAATAAATATTTCCAACACTCACACCAATTAGCCTAGCCCCAAAGTAAGCACTGTAAGGCTTGTGTTAAGGGATACTAGGGTAACGGATAAGAATACATATATAAGTATATTTATATCATCATCATCATCATCATAGTACTAGATGTCATTTCCAAGTTATTTTGGCCATCGTACGTAGTTCAAAAAACACCACTAAATGTCAGCAAACTATAAATTTATCGCTGTTAGGGGATAGCTAGAAATTTCCTTTTATTGTTTGGCAATTTTTTGAGATTTTTCAATTTGACCTTAGATTTGGGGATGGGGGGGGGGGGGTCATGTCCCCTGTGACGACCCCCTCCCCCTTCGGACCGCGCCTGAATCGGGTCATCTAGCAACGCTGGTCCTGCCACATATGCCGAAAACACTTCCAGCGACATTCAGTAAAATTTCACGTACTTTTGCTTGCTGAACAAAACATTTAATAATAATAAAAAACATAAAATAATTAAAAATCCGCACTAGGCCCGCATGATGGGTCATGTTCCAATCTCCCTGTTCCATCCATAGGGAGGGCTTGTGCTCCAGCAGTGGGGACATTAATAGGCTGATGATGAAGAAGTTACCTTCAGAATATTCTCCCGGGCCGCCTTCACTCTCTCTGGGGTATTCTTGCCCAGCCAGAAGTACAACTCTTCGCCAGTGTCCAGAATGTAGACACCATCATCAGACAAGTCCTGGAAAAAAAAAACAAAACGCTATATTGATGTATTTGCTGACGGTAATGATAAGAGACTGATTTTGACTAGGCAAGACAATGTTCAGAGCAAAATATCTTTTTTCCTCGGCTTTCTTTAGTCGTGATCCTTACATATACAGCTTAATAAATTACGTATTAGGTGTCGATTCTGGCGTGATTCTCTAAACTTAAAACTAAATTCGCGCACACGCACCCACACTTCTGTAAATAAGCATTCAGTCGAGCGAGCGAGATAGAACTGTCCGCTTCAACGCAATGCGAGCGAAACAGCGAGTCCGTGTTGCTTGGCAACCGACTGCGTTTTCATTTCTCTCCCTACAAACGGCTGAGCTGTCCTTTTCTTGATAATAAATGGCGAATAAGTAAATAATATTCATGACAAACCGGGCTTTTTAGAAGAAAATGTTTTTATAGTATTACGAATGAAAAGTCTTGCCGTGGAATTTGTTGTTTGATCTTAAACTATTTGTGTTCTTTTTATAAGCATTGAAGGCAATGTTTTATCTTTATAACACGGAATATAGGCAATATTTTTATATTCAGTGTACATGCAACGTGTTTGGATGTCAAATTGTGACTAAAGCGAATTGTGGTCATGCACCACAATTTAAGCAGTACACATTTGAGCGCGTAGTTCATTCTTATGTTTTAGTTTATCACCCACTTTTGAATTCTGTAATCTTGCTAAATAAGGCAGATTGTCGGTGGTGAGAGACTTAAGCTTGAAAATATCACCAATTGAGAGACATTTGGTGGCACTTGCTAAATTCCAGTCATCATAGTGATGGGAGCCTTGTGGATGACTTTGAAGACAACTGGTTTAGCTAGAATCCAAAGAATACAATAATATTTGCTGCGTAAAGTTAAGCAGTAACTTCTCGAACCCAATGTTCCCAATGACAGATAGACTGACAGCCTAGAGAGTGATAATTTGGCAGTCAGAGACTGAATCTTGAGACTCAGCTCATTCACCTGTTGAGTGAAATCAGGCGGTAACTCCTCTAATCCAATATTCCCAGTGATGGACAGACTGACAGTGGTCAGAGTGATAATTTGCCAGCCAGGGATAAATTTTGAGACTCAGCTCCTTCAATTGATTCCTTTTGAAATGAAATGAAAAAAATTATGAACAGTCATGGATACAGAGAAATGGTTAAACTAATACACATTACATAACATGTATCCACAGCTGGACCGAAAAGGACCCAGTTCAGCATTGTGTCAGTTTGCACTGACGCTGGTTTTCAAGTAGTTCCCTTGGTGCTATCAGCCTTAAATGTTACCTGTTGAGTAAAGTCAGGCCCTGACTCCTCGAATCCAATCTTCCCAGCGATAGACAGACTGACCGCGGTTAGGCTGCAGTCAGTGGTGACGCGACGGCTTACGGCCGCCTTCCAGCCCGAGCGGGTGCCTTCTTCAGACTCTTCTGGAGCACCGCCTGTATACAACGTTCCAATACTAAATAGATAGATAAATATTTACAACACTCACACCAATTAGCCGAACTCCAAAGGAAGCACTGTAGGCTTGTGTTATGGGATACTAGGGTAACGGATAGAATAAATTTACTGATACATGGTATTTATAGGTATACACGTTAAGTGTCGCCGCACACGGGCCACACGCCACAGCCACAAACCTGCCACGAGAAGCTAGAAGCAGCTACTAAAGTGGTTGAAGGTCGCGACAGCGGCCGACTAAGGTAAGGGAGAGAGGGGTGGGGAATCGCGCGAGTGACGTGTGGCGGCGTTTTGTATCGGCGCATTAAGTGGCCGGTGCGGGCCACAAGAAGCGAGCAACGACGATTTGTAGCGTGTGGCGGCCCCTGGCGTACCGTGTGTGGCGAGTCCATATAAAATGTATGAAAACTACAAGAAATATGCCGGTGGCGGCGTTTTGTGATTGTGGTAAGTGGCCCGTATGCGGCGACACTAAACGATCTATAGGCAACCGCACTGAATGGAGGATGGACACGGACTGTCGGTATTAACTGAGTAAACTAGGGCTTGACTTCCAAAGTGCTGACCAGACATAATGATCAGCAGGGGTAGCAATATACGTAACATATATCAGATATAACAACTCCCCTTTTAAGAGGAGACTTGGGGTTAACTCCAAGGCTCGTATTTAAGAATGACAACTAAGTGTTGATCTTTACTTGAGTACAGTTCAAGTAATGATCAATACTTAGAGCACATAGCGACATCCCTTTCTAACTATGCTCAAGACTAGATCAATCACTAAGAATCTTTCTATAATACGGGCCTAAGTGTGATCATTACTTGAGTATAGTTAGAAAGTCTAGTTAACTCAAGTATAGATCAACACTTAGGCCCTTTTCACATGCACACGGTCACGGCACGGCCGCCATGCCGTGCAACCGTGCTAGCTCTTTCACATGTATACGGCTTACACACGGTCGCCGGCTATGGATGCTGCAATATTATCGAGAATTTTGGGGAACGACGACGTCTTTTATCATGGAACAAAAAAAGATTATTTTCATTATCATCTAATTCTTCGAAACTACTATTTAATCCTATACATACTTCTCTCCACGGTTCTTTTGTCTCGTTCCTGTTTTTATAAGACGCGATGGTTTTATCCCATAAAGTAGGACGCGCTTCAACTAGCGCAATCAACACATCAACATCGATTTCGACAGACATTCTGTAACAATCGTCCGTCCGTTCCCTATGACTTTAGCTGACGAATGGTATTTGCGCTCGCCGTACCGTACCGCGCCCGTGTTCATGTGAACGCGTCTATACAAGTCCATACAATACTATAAAGACGGTTGCCGCGTCAAAACCGTGCTTATAGTGGATAAGGACGGCTGACACGCGGTCACGGCACGGTCGCCGTGCAATGTGAAAGTTCTCATTGTTGCTCATACATTACTATTTTACACGGCACGGCAACCGTGCCGTGTCCGTGTACATGTGAAAAGGCACTTAGTTGTCATTCTGTAATACGGGCCTTAGTCTCTGTTAGAATTTAGTTCTGAGTGGGGCAATAGGGCTGGTCATTTCTATTTCAGGATCGTCAGGGTCTTGTCTGTCTGTATTGATGCTTTAGATTGAACTAAGGGTTTATTTATTTAGATTAAATTTAAATTGAAAAGGACGGTCTCTGCCAGATCTCTAAATGATTTTCTGAAAAATAACTTAAGCTATTATAAAAATGATAAGTTTAAACCATAATATTATAAGAATGGAATGTGTCTCATTTTTCACAATATATCGATTTAAAGGGTGTTCAATATATTTTAAATCGCCTGGAAGAGACTTCATTTTATTCGTCTGACAATGACATTTCGGACTCGCAAACTATTAGAATTCGATATTGGTTCGTGCTAGGGGTACTGCACTAACAAATTGTATTTATCGATGATAATAAACATTAAGTGCTATGGAGAGGGCAATGCTCGGTGTTTCCCTACGTGATAAGATCCGAAATACGGAGATTCGTAGAAGGACCGGTGTGTACGACATAGCCCGAAGAGTTAGCACGCTGAAGTGGCAATGGGCAGGCCACATCGCTCGAGGATCTGACAACCGTTGGGTAAGAAAGGTCCTCGAGTGGCGACCACGTACCGGACGACGCAGCGTGGGGCGGCCCCCAACAAGGTGGACTGACGACATCGTCAAATGTGCTGGGAGCCGCTGGATGCGGATAGCGCAGGACCGCGCATTGTGGCGTTCCATGGGGGAGGCCTATGTCCGGCAGTGGACGGAGAAAGGCTGATGGATGGATGGAAACATTAAGTACATGTATTATCAATCAAAATAACTTACCCAGCATTTCCCAGAACTCATCGGGTTCATCTCCCTGGTCCACCGTCACTATATCCTTCTTATCCTTCACTACAGTTTCCACGAACTTTAGGGCAGCTTCTTGTTCGGATGTATTCGAGTCCTGTATGGAAACAAAAAAAATTGGCCTCATAAGAAGGCTCGGAGTTGCATAGCGAGCTATGAAGAGAACTATGTACGGTGTTTCTCTACGAGATAAAAATAATCATAATCAAAATCATTTATTCAGTTTAGGCTGTTACAAGCACATATGAATGTCTAGAAGCTACGCCATCGGTTCGTAAATCTACGGCGGGAGACCTTGTACTGAGAAGAACCGGCAAGAAACTCAGCAAGGGCTGTTTTTTTCTCTCTGTTTTATCATTTACAGAGTCGTCAAGTTGAAAAATGACTTCAGGGATGATTCATGAAGTCACCTTTCATTACATAATGAGAAATTATACATTATACAATTATACCTGCATTTTGATTGCTGTGTCACAGAGTATAAATACAAAGAGTTATTTATAATAGGTGTAATTAAACATTTACACCTTAAATATCAAAGTAGTTAGGGCAGACTCATCTCCGATCTGATCCGAGATCCGAGACTGATCGAATCAGAAATGAGGAAATCCGTAGAAGAACTCGAGTAACCGACGTAGCTATTTTTTTTTGTAAAAACATATTGTATTGTCACAAACGCTCTCGAAACGTAACCGTGAAAGTGCCAGAGATCGAATTTGCCAGAGCACCGCGAGTCGCGATAGAGGTCGAGTAATGCGGCTCATTCTAAAATGAGCCTTATGCAGTGCGGTGTAAGAGAGAAAGTGCAACGACATCTGCACTTGTTTACAAGTTATGCGCGTTACCTGCGTAGGTATAAGTAGGTATTTCGTACCGCGGGTGCTAGGTAATTCTCAATTTAACAGGTACTTTCTAGAATGCGTCGATCGGCGTATATAAGCGCGATTGGCGCCGCGCAGAGACGCGACAGAATGCAAAGGCGATCAAAGTGCAACAAAAGTGTTCAAGTGTTATTGTTTAGAGACTAGTATAGTGAAAAACAGTGTTTAGTGAGTGTTTTGTAATTAACATTGTGTGTTAATTGTGTGAACTGTGCGGTGAATAAAGAACTGTCAAGCGTGAACTGGCATATAATTTCGAACTCCATCCCGACACATAACAGTATAATATCTAACGTAACATTCTTAGTGGCGGAACCGCCAAAACACAGCACAGGTGACTCGAGGTACATAATGTCTCACGCAATTTAAAAAAATAAAATCTTATTCCAAGAAAAGCAGTAGATTCATGTATTCAATGATTCTGGCAACCTTGATTTATATAGAAATACATTTTAAACATCCATGACTCGAGTACAAATGCTTGTAGTCATCACACAAATATCTGCCCCCACCGGGATTTGAACCCGGGACCTCTCCAGTCAAACCCGGCGTACAAAACACTCGGCCACGGAGGACGTCAATAAAATAGAGAATCGTGGAGATATTCCTTCGAGGAACTCGTTGGCGCGTTGGCTGGTTAGCGCGTTCGGCTGTGATTGTTGAACTTAAGCAACTATCGCAGTGGTCGGAAATTGGATGGGTGACCAAAAAATTACCATCTCTCACTCCTTCGTGATTCAGAAGGCACGTTAAGCCGTTGGTCCCGGCTGCATCTGCAATCGTTAGCACCCACCAATCCGCACTGGGCCCGCGTGGTGGGTCATATCCCAAACTCCCTATTCCATCCATAGGCCTGTACCCCAGCAGTGGGGACATTAATAGGCTGATGATGATTCCTCTACCTACCTTCCCATTCCACACGTATACCGTCTCCTTGGTCTCTAGGACGAACACGTCGTCATCTTCTAGAACGTCGGTTTCTTCTTTCACTTGAACAGCCCTCATGTCCACTCCAGTCTCTGTTCCTTCAACCTGTCATGGAACACGTAAAAGTAAGCCATTTTAATAGATGACTTTAAGAGCCCTTTTACAAAATTGCGCCGCTGCCCTACTGATCGGCGCGGAGGTGGATTTGCACTAGTATATATTGCATTTTACGGATGAAGTTTCGAGTCTTATAAAATCACTATTAATGCAATTATTATGAAAATATATACATATTTCAGTAGTTCAATGATGGTAGATTAGTTTCATGAAAGTTTTTGATAGTAATTCTATTTAATTCAATATCAAAATACGAGGTAAACCTGTATAGGATTATGCGTGAGTTTTTTGGTGTCAAATGAGTGCAACAAAGTTCACAATACTCACGGTTTATTGTTTACACAAAATTATCCTAATAAATATGCAAACACTATTAATGCAAGATGGAAGGTGCACAATGAGTATAATAGAAAGATTGTCCAGCGCAGTGACTATTAGTTCAACGTTAAGCAAGCTGATGTCGAGATCGTTAGGTACAGTGAGAGAACAAGCGACAAGCATACAAAGCAGAGGCTAAGATCCGACTGCCACGGCTACGCAGGAACAAGTGGTGCGGAGGCCCCGCCCACTGAGACCGGTTACGTTCAAGCGGCCGCGGCCTGCGTCCGCGCAGAAGAGTATCTATGCGCAAGCAAAATATGTTTGTCCGCTTGTCGACCAAAATATACAGTTTACATTTATCGTTTACAATATTATATATTAACATATTTAAACATGATATTTTTATATTACAATATAATTATACAGTTTATTAGACATTACAATATATATTTTAAATTAACATAAATTATATAAAAAACAAATATTTTAATTTTACAAAATATAAATTATATTATGTAGGCACACTACACCTGCATTATTTTTTGGGAAAACCCAGGGAGGTTAGATGTTTTTTTTTGATAATTAATGAGATGGAAAATCAAAATTCTAATACAATATGTTACAACAAAAACATATTTCTGATATCGTAGTAATTAATTTGATCTAATTTATTGAATATTATTGAGAGATTGAGGCGTTTCAAGTTGTGAGTATTATCGTTTTTTCCGTAAACTAGCTGCAGTAGAACGATCAGTACAAAAAAAGGAAAATAGTATTTGCAAATATTCTACATTAACTTACAATAGGAAGAATAAACTACTGTTTACTTCTATTGGAAATAGTTAAAATCTTTTCTAAAGGGGTAAACGAGGCGCTCAAAAATTACGATTTTTTGCAAAAAAAAGTGAAAGGGCACTTAACTCAACTGCCCCTTTAACATAAGCACCGCAACACTCTGCAACCTGATATGTTTATTTATTTATTTAAACTTTATTGCCAAACAAGCAAACGACGGACATAATGCCATAGGCATTCTCTACCAGTCAATCAGTATGAATGTTGGAGACAAACAGTACGGCGATAGGGCAAAGTTGCTAAATATTAAATAAAATGAAAATGAATATATTAACAGCAATAAAATAATAAATAATACTAAAATTCGAATTGATGCACACATATAAAATACTCATATAACCATACATAAACATATTGTATATATTTTGTTTTAAACACACTCATTAGCCTAGATCCAATGCCCCAAAGTAAGCACTGTAGGCTTGTGTTACTAGATACTAGTGAAACGGATAGAATACATACATATATACTGTACATATTTATGTATATATATATAGAAATACATATTAAACATACATGACTCGAGTACAAATGCTCGTTTAAATCACACAAACATCTGCCCCCACTGGGATTCGAACCCTCTCGAGTCGGCGACACCATGAAACCCGGCGTACAAACCACTAGACCATGGAGGTCGTAAATTTTTTTTATCTTGTATAACTGTCAAACTTTATTGTAATTTGACAATTGAGTGTGATAAAAAAGCGTTATATATCATATCATAGTGCTCATACTAAGGGGGCTGGAATCTCTTATCTATTAGACAAGTCCGTCCGTCTGTGGTGCTGTTTCAGCGGCCAAACCGTAAGAGATAGATAAAGAGAATATTTAAGTTATAAGTTAAGAATAGTCTGATAAAACTACAAACCGGATTTGAGTAACGTAGCACTTCCGGTTTTCGAGAAATCAGGTTTTGGTGAACATTTGGTTCACTGGTTTGCTAGTATGTTATATTTTTGTATCTAACTACCCACTTACTCTGAAAAGTCGCACATTATTATCTTCGTATGTACCAGTCGAGTTAACGGGTTGATATTCAGTATCTTTACCGCCGAAAAGTATCGCCAGAGAGCCTGCAAGAAAAACATCCAATATGTCCAATAACGAGTAGTAGGAGGGGGGGGGGGGGGGGGGGGGGGGGGAAGACGGGTTGCACTCCGGGAGTGCCGGCAGAAGTGAAAACTTGAATATTAACGTTGTGCATTTTTGATATTTTGGAATGGTTAGGGAATAATTTTGCACGAATTGCTTTAATTATCAGTTTAAAAGTGCTATCATGTATGTGGTAGAATACAATATTTATTTATTGCGCTATCGTACACAAACATGACAATTTATATTACATTCAAAAAGTTTATCAATCAGAAAATTTAACTTACACGAATCACGTTTAAGCGCACTTAGCGACATCTATTGTAAAGAAATCAAGTTACATGAATCACATTTAAGTGAACTTTGCGACTTCTATTGTTAAAAAAATGCATTTTCTTCGCAATAAAGCTGCCACGTGGACGTCCTAGATAGAGACTTATTATTTTAATACGATAAAATAATATATTACTATGTTTCGTCCAATATATTGAAAGTCAACAACCGTTCCAATTTTATTGTGTGTCATGATGCGATCAGCCCACGTGTTTAACCTGACGCGAGTTTAACATATTTTACCTATACAAAAAAAAAGTGTACAACGCCGCTAAAGAAGATTTCACTTCAAAAAAATGTTTGGACGATTCAAAAGAGTTGTACTATACTTACAACTTGAATAAAGATATATTGATTTCTGATTTTTGATATCGATCTGATAGATGATTATCATGATGTACTTGAAGCGCGAAGATCCAGGATCGATAATATCGAATACGTGGTTCAATTAAAATCTTCATCAAAATTATGTAATACTCAGAAAAAAATCCACGCGGACCAGGCAGCAGACGGGACTCGAACCCGCACCCTTCGCTATCGCTACCACCCTTGGCGAATGCACTGACTAATTATGCTACCGCGGCCCTGACGGCCGATTATAACTATAATTGCTATTTCTTCTTTCAAATGTTTAATACTTGTGAAAGTATTCATTTGACATTGTGGGTTACTACAATGCGAAGAAATGGCGCTGCCTTGCAGCTTAAGAATGGCTAGAAGAATTTCAACGCGGCCGTCAGGGCCGCGGTAGCATAATTGATCAGTGCATTCCCCGGATTGCGAAGGGTGCGGGTTCGAGTCCCGTCTGCTGCCTGGTCCGCGTGGATTTGTTTCTAGTTATTTTTTCTTTAGATTAAAACATCAAGCAGTTACATGCTTAACAAATAAAAATTATAACTATGTAATAATCATTTTATTATTACCTTTGAAAGTGTTCAAGAAGTGCTTGGACTCCTTTCCTTGCGGCACCTTCACTACGGTCACGTCTCCTTCCAACTCCTTCTCCATCTCGGAGACCAACTCCTTCGCAGCAGCTTTGTCTTCCGAGCTGGCTTCTGCACCCTGAAGGACAAGATGCAATCCAAGAATGTAAGTAAATAGAAACTCAAAGTCCAGAATACTCACAGTATTCGTCATCATCATGTTAATGTCTCCATCATAGAACACATACAGAGATTGTCAAACAAAAACCGATGTCGCCGGCTCGCCCCCACTACACTTCCACCTAGTAGATAATAGCCAATCAAACAACGCGACATCAAACAATCGGACCAATCAGCGCTCACACAGAGCAACGACGCAATCAGAACCTAGTTTTGGTCAAGTTATAATCCTTTCCTCACACATAACTGCAGCGCGCCTACTTCGCCCACAAGGTCCTTCTAACCGCCTTTCTCCTTCTAAACCTTTCTGTGTTCTGTGGTCCCCACTGCTGGGGCACACGCCATCCTATCAATGTGATAAGGAGACTAGGCGACTAAATTTATCTACAGTACATTTAGATTATGAAAACAACCAGTAGTCTTAAGGAGGAGCCTGCCTACTGCTGCCGTATGCGTGAGAGTAAGGGAAGCTATATAGACTGGCGCCGTAACGCGTTACGTAACGAAGCGGTTAACCCTCCCATTAGAAGTTATCACTTCAAAAAAGAATTCGGTTTTTACAAGCCAGCTGCCAGGAGTACCACGATAACGTATTTTCTTTTTAAAATTTTATGCTTGTACAATACAAAGCACACTTACACGCAAGTCCAGTGTACTTACTAATTTATTTATTTATTTGATCACCAACATAATAAGCATTGACACAACAATCAAGCAGGTAATCATAAAGTGCTTAAGCTAAGTGTTATTATAATTATAGGTGAAGACCAATAAATGCTGGTAAACTGCCAATGAAAAAGCCTTCTAACTAAGATTAAAAAAAAATACATACAATTAACAATGTCCCGGTTAAAATTAATGCATTATAAGAAAAATTAGAAGCGAAAAGTCAAAATATATAATAAAAAAACGGGCGAGCCTTACAGTAGTCGCGTATGATGTGTAACATTTGAAACCTCCCCTTATATTAGTAAAAAAAGAAATAAAATCTACTGCAAAAGGAATAAGCCATTTGAAGACTTTTTGGCGGGATCGGGAAGCGTCACTTTAGCAGTTTTGTTTTTCTTTTTAAAATTTGTGTTGTGGCGGATGTTAGTGTCTAATAATGGTGGATTATTAACCACTTAATGTTCGGGAACATGCACAAGTGTTGGCAAGTGAAACAAAATAGCGGAAAGTGTCTTTCGACGTTCCCTGGAAGAAGTCCACGGGGAAGTTCCAGTAAATCCCCACACATTTACTGAAACATAGGGAAAGGGGGTTTGACTTAACTGCCACTTACTTTGACTTGATTTATTACTTTCACCACCAGTGCTATAGAATTTGTAAACATTTTAACACTTGACATTGGGTAAATGCACAAGCCGTGCGAATACATTTAGCAAAAAAAAAGAAAAAAAACCATTTGAACATTATGTTCTAAAATCAAATCATATAGCGCGCGCTTTTGCGACTTCTTTCACGAAATCACTCCCACAAATTGCAGGAAAGCGAGAGGAAAGATGTTAAACCTTAAAAAAAACTTACGATCCAATAGTACAGTATGTACGCATCTTCGCCATTAGCGTCGCTGTATTGATACTTGAACACGTACGCCTCAGTCTGGTAGAGGATGGCCACGCCCGATTGGAAAGACTCGGACAAGTCTTCTTGGTCTCCTGCGATCCTGGTACGAGGAAAAATATATTCGTTAAAATCTGGGAGTCTAAAAACCTGGAATAAGCATTTGTGTATTAAACCATCAGCTTTATTAGTTTCGCCGCAAACAGGCCACTGACCACAACCACAAAACGATAAAACGTAGTTTGCATACATTTTATATGGACTCGCCACACACGGTACGCCGGTGGCCGCCACACGCTACAAATCGTCGTTGGTCGCTTCTTGTGGCCCGCACCGGCCACTTAATGCGCCGATACAAAACGCCGCCACACGTCACTCACGCGATTCCCCACCCCTCTCTCCCTTACCTTAGACGGCCGCTGTAGCACGCTTCAGCCACTTTAGTAGCCGCTTCTAGCTTCTCGTGGCGGCGTTCGTGGCTGTGGCGTGTGGCCCGTGTGCGGCGACACTTACAATCAATTCTTAATTAAAGGTAAGTTACATAGCGCAAAGCCAATTACAGGTTTCAATATTTACAATGTCGCAAGGTATGTTTATGATAATTCAGAAACATAGTTTATAAACTTTTTTGGACTTACAAAATCAAGAAAAATATGAAAAAAAAAATACCTAATCTTACATACACTGTTTGTCCATTGAAACAGAAAAGTATACTTGTTAGCTACCAGGAGTATGCTTATTTAAAGCATGCTATCTGTGTGTGGAGCTCGATGGCGCAAGTGGTTATCGCGTTCGGTTGCGATCGTTGAAGTTAAGCAACTTTCGCAGTGGTCGGCCATTGGATGGGTGACCAAAAATTTATTATCACGAGGTCTTCCGTGCTTTGGAAGGCATGTTAAGCCGTTGGTCCCGATTGCGTCTACAGTAGTTAGCACCCACCAATCCGCACTGGACGCGCGTTCTGGGTCAAGGCCCAATCTCCTTATTTTTTTTCATCCATAGCGAAGGCCTGTGCCCCAGCAGTGGGGGCATTAATAGGCTGATGATGATGTTCTTTTTCTCATGTTTCATCCGGATTTGATATTCTAAGAAATATATTTTGGATTTCGTGTCTATTATTACTTTAATCATAATTGTTACTACTTAAGCTCCTGGTCTTGTATTTTTTATACATTTGAGGTATTGCCCATAATCGCGACGCTGGGTAGGCGGGTTGACGATCGCAGAACGTAGGTTAATTAATATCATCTATATGCATAAAACTCAAAGGTGACTGACTGCCTGACATAGTGATCTATCAACGCACAGCCCAAACCACTGGACGGATCGGCCTGAAAGGCATGCATGTAGATGTTATGACGTAGGCATACGCTAAGAAATAATTTTGATCAATTCTACCCCCAAGGGGATAAAATAGGGAATGAAAGTTTGTATGAAACTTTGTCAATTTTAAACCGATCGGGCTGAGACTTTGCATGCAGGTATAAGAAGAATCATAGATGAATGTCATTGTGTATAATACAAGCCTGATAACAAAAACTATAGTCTACACTTCAGCTCTACACCGAAGCGAAGCAAGGGTGGGCCGCTAGCATATCATAAAACTAGTGGCCCGCCCTCGCTCGCTTCGATATTTTATCCCCTTGGGCGTAGAATTGATCAAAATCCTTTCTTAGCGGATGCCTACGTCATAACATCTACATGCATGCCAAAGGAGATTGCTCAGCTTCCATACATGTTTGGCCTAAAGACCAATAATTATGAAAAATTGTTTCCTAGATTCGAAATTATATATAAATTACTGTAGAAACGAATATTATTGACGGACACCCCTGAGAACTCCTATAAACCATATACACTGAACATATTAAAATAATAAAAAACAAATAAGTTATATAGTAAACTAGGGAAATCAAGCCAAGTACCGAAATTATGGATTAGATTCAGGTATATAGAGCATGTAGATTAACAGATAGTTGCCTGTTTTTAAAGTTAATGCATAAGTAACTTTTAAAATCAGGTGTCAACTATGCATTTCCGGTTATAATTAGGTACTCTGTGACAGAAACTGTGTGATGATTGTGAATGAGCCACAGATTAGAGAGAATTTTTAAACTCTCGTTAACCAAAGAAAGCTAAGAGATTTAGGTTTTATAGCCATATATTAAATTTATTAAAATTAAATATTTATTAAAACCATAACAAAGATACAGTAACAATTTAGTGATCGATAATAACTGCATTAGTTATAAAACTGTGTCGCAGTTATTAACGCCCACCTCCAGAAAACAATTTTTCGCTACAATAATTTTAATCTTAATCTTAATTTAATATTAAAAAATTAATTAAATGTGTGTATGTGTGTGTATGTATGTGAGCGTGTGTGTGTGCGTGTGTGTGCGTGTGTGTGTGTGTGTGTGTGTGCGTGTGTGTATGTGTGTGTGTGAGGTATGTATAGCCCAAATTTACATTAGATGATCAGGCCAAACCCAATAAAGCACCAAATAATGCCTCTGTATTAGAATATGTCAGGCTTTGAAGCCATTCCATAGTTTTTACCCTGCATTTTCTAAGAGTAAGAGGAAATATATTCAGAACTCCGTTTACCTTGTTGTATAAAACAGAAGATATAAAGCAGAAGTGGCGTCTAGCTACATTTAATCTTACACTGCCTGTCTTACACAAAATGTAAGGTCTACGTCTACTCAACGAAACATGGTCATCATATGGCATCTGCGAGTGTTTACGTAGTGTTACATTAAGTAAGTAAATCTGCCTAACTGACAAAACATTAAAAAGTGCATAGAGTTCAGATGTTGGAAAGGTAATTGGTTTGAAATTAATTATTTTAATAACAGCCCTTTGAGCCCTTTCCAGACGTAAGAGGTGAGTTTTACCTGAACAACCCCAGACAACAATGCAATATGATATAATTGATTGCCCCAAAGCGTAATAAGTAGTCCTAAGAGTTGCCAAATCTACGACATTTCTAAGATTTTTAAATATGAACATTAACTTCCTGACTCTAGCTACTGTAGTATTAATATGTTCCTTCCAAGATAAAACAGCGTCAACCCAAACACCAAGGTATTTAATGTGAGGAGCCCGCTGGATTTGCAAACAGCTATAGTTTTTGCATTCGTTTACTCGTAATTAATGAGCGCGAATGGTAAAAGAAGAAGATGGAAGAGAGTGTGAACGTGCTGCAAATGTAATGAATTTGGTTTTGTCTAAATTGAGGGTTAGCAAATTTATGGATACCCATTTCATCACTTCCTGTAGTGCAAATTCAGCGTTTGAAGAAACTTCACTCCATGTACTTCCATGGATTATCATAGCAGTATCATCCGCATATACAGTGATTTTGCAGTTTGGAAGAATCAATTTACAGAGGTCATTGATGTAGATATTAAAAAGGGTAGGACCTAGGACACTCCCCTGCGGAACACCGTAACTGATATATATGTTCATCCTGACTTGTAAAATTGTGTATCCTAATACACTGCGAACGCTCACCAAGATAACTTTTAAAAATATCCAACGCAATACCCCGAACACCGATCCTCGACATTTTTTCAATCAGAATAGGGATATTCAGTAGCTTCATTATTTTTGTTATGTTTTTAATATGTATAACCATATTTTAGATTTTTAGTGTATCACACCTTATAATTGTATTTATTTATAGTCAGGCAACATAGGCCCATTTATAATGTGTTTATGGAGGTGTTTGGCGAAAAATGTATGGCAATAGACTTTATGATGTCGCCTACCATCTATAATAATTGTCTGAGCACATTTGCATGTAGTGAAAATGATAATATAGTTGTCTATATTAATACCACAGTGTAATAAAAAAAATATATTTTATCGATCTTTACAAAATAGATTTGTTTTTATGTTATATAAACAACTTCGATCAGTTTGGCTGAATGTTACTACACCCATAGCCATTAAAAAGGATTCGAATGTTTTCCAAACCGGTAAAATGAAAAGTCCTTTTTAAAGCGAATATATTATACAAAGGTGTCCGTTGAAATCTAATGATAGTAAATTTAATTATAAATTACGCCAAGAATTACCGTGTATGTCAATATTTTTTGTGCATTTGGGCTAATTTGAGCAATCTCCTTTGAGCCCGATCCGTCCAGTGGTTTGGCCTGTGCGTTGATAGATCACTATGTCAGTCACCTTTGAGTTTTATATATATAGATATTCATATCATTATATGAATATCTATATATATAAATAACACAGCGCAACGCGTAAGCCTATTGACAAATCAATTACTAGTTGACACCCCTCCTGCGTGTGATTAGTCGCACCTCTTCACACGCCGCGCCCACTACGCGTCGACAACAGCCCTCCTGCGCCTGATTCGCAAGACGCTGCAAGCCGAGCCCGCTCCGTGACGTAATACAGAAACCGGTAACAAATCCGTACGCTCATTAGTATTGTCTGCGCAGTCACTGCTTTGTGTATACCTCGGTTCAGTTCTACACATCTCTGCTATCCTAGTACATTATGAATACGGAAGGTAACACAAACGTTGTATTGGACCGCGACTTGTCGATCTCGTTATCGGGCGGGGACGGGTCGCCGATTAACTTTGTAACTCAGCGCTCACAGAGGAAAAATGTTAATAATGACACGAATACATCATTGGGTGACCAGTTTAACATTTTTAGGGATGAGATGAAAAAACTTATGACAAGTTTTACAACGTCGAGCAAGCAAGAACTCAAGGATCTCAGTACGATTCTCAAGGAAATTAAAGAATCTAATCACAGTATTGAGAATTCTATTGCTTATTTAACTGCACAAAATGAGGAATATAAGAATAGAATTGCATCATTAGAAAATTGCGTTAAGGAAGACAGGAAGTATATTGTGTTATTAGAGAAAAAATTAGAAGATATCCAAATTGGAAATCGCAAAACCAATTTTGAACTGAAAAATGTTCCGAAAAAACCTGAAGAAAATAAACAGGATTTGATAGATATGGTTGTTTGTTTCTCGAATACCATAGACTGCAAAATAAATAGAAGTGACATTAAAGATATTTACAGATTACGCGGAAAAAAACCAGATCAAAAGAATACCTCAATAATAGTGGAAACTACCTCTGCTTTATTAAAAGCAGATGTCCTAAAAATGGCTAAATCATTTAACAAACGGAACAAGACAAAACTATGTGCCAAACATCTTGGATTTAAAACCAACGAAGACACACCTATCTTTTTGTCAGAACACCTAACAGCGCGAGGGTCTCGTCTTCATTATCTGGCTCGAGATTTAGCTAAATCCAAGGGGTATAAATTCTGTTGGACTGCATATGGTAAAGTATACGTGCGTGCTGAAGAAAAATCACCGACTATTCTTATAAGGAGTGAAGAACAGGTGCACAGTCTGCTATCAAAGGATTGACTATTTATTGGTAATGAAGGTATTTATGGCTTATTGCTGTACAAGGCTTTTGATCAGGAATTGCGCGGTCTACTGTTAAAATTTTATAATTATTTTCTTTATGTTAACTTGTTGCTTTTTGTATTGTATATATTTCTTTTGTATTATGCTTTTCTGTGCTGTTTTGTAATATTTATAATTGACTTTAGTAACATGGTGTTCTGCATATACATGTTGCTTTTGCGCTGGATATTATTGTGCTTAGGCGAGTGTCACTCGCATAACTTGCTTACTGTTTGCTTGTATAAGTTTGTACTCCTGGTCTACAAGATTACGCTTTTTGTACACTTAAAATCACATACACATTTAAACCTATTTTATAGCATTTATATTCACATATACACACACATGAAAACACACACTATTACATATTTATACTTACATAACTCTTATAAAATGACACATTACTTTAAACATACTCATACTAACAGATATACAAGTGCTTCTGCTTATATTACTCATATGTTTCACGATGAAACTACTATAATTTTACTGCTCAGCTTGATTTATCATATTCTATATATGGACTGTGACTGCTATATTAAAATAATAAAAATAACCTATATTAAATTACTTATATTTGATTATCTATGGATTACATATGCTGTGGCGACTCGTTTCTTTTTATTTTATTTAAATGTGTGACACAGTGCAAACAATTCATGAATTAGATGCACTAGAGGTGGCTAGGTCTTTCGACTGCGATGTCTCTGAACTATCAAAACGAATTTGTATACAAAAATGCGATTTTACGATGCTTTCTCAAAATATACGAAGTATATATAAGAATCTTGATGATTTCTTGTTGACTATATCTCACCTATCACTAGATGTAGACGTAATTACTTTGAGTGAATGTAGAATTGATAAGAATAAGCCTATACCACAACTTCCAAATTATCAATCTTATTTTACTAACATACAATTGAATCAAAATGATAAAGTTGTAACTTATGTAAAAAACACATTAAAACACAAAGTGCGTGAAATAAAACTCACTCAAGCTTCTTGTCTTCAACTAGAGATTTTAAATAATACTATTTTGTGTATTTATAGATCGCCTTCTAATGTTAATGCAAATGATTTTATAAGTAGTTTGGGTACTCATTTGGACTCTCTGAATTCTTGCAAAAGTATAGTAATAGCTGGTGATATTAATATAAATATTTCACTTAAACCCTTAGAACCACCACACGAACAAAGGAATCGCATTGATTATCTAAACATGCTTTCATTTCATGGTTTGCTTGCAGGTCATACGATACCTACTAGAGGCAAGAATTGCTTAGACCATTTTATGTTAAGAATTAATAAAACTAAGCTCCGAGCCACTATTGCTGTGTTGCACACAAGCACCACAGATCATTTTACAACATTTCTTACAATAGCAAAACTCAAAGATCGCCAAACTACATGCAAGACTAGGACTAATGTCAATTATGAAGCCGCTTTGAAGGGCCTTATGAATAAAAATGTTACAGAATTATTATATTGTGATGATCCTGACATAGTCATTAATAGTTTGATATTAAAATTAATGGAGACCGTTAAAGAGAACACTGTTATTACAAAAATACCAAGAAAATATCGTAATATAAAACCTTGGATCACACCGGGGATCTTACGTTGTATTCGGAATAGAAATAAATTGCAAAAGAAAGTAAAAGATGATCCTTTTAATGAAACAAATAAAATTATTTATACAAGATACAGAAATTATTGTAATGCTCTTCTTAAAAAAATCAAACGCCAGTATGAGAGAGAATTATTGAATAAATCTATTAATGATAATAAGTTGCTGTGGAGAAACATCAGAAACATCACATGTACAAGTAAAATTAATAAAATAAACTCTGATTTACTTAATATTAAATCTACTCCTGCAGCTTCTGCCAATTATATTAATGATTTCTTTGTAAATATTGGTAAAAACTTGGCGCATCAAATTCGGCCCTCAGATGTGGAAAGTAGTAGCTATTTGAGTAACTTACCAAAACAGTGTAACTCCTTTGTTCTTATGGACACTGATCATGGTGAGGTAAGTGATATAATACAGTCCTTAAAATATAGCAGTGCCCCGGGATGGGACGGTATTCCAACCAGTTTTATCAAATACGCAAGATCATATATTGTTCCAATTATAACTTATTTTGCTAATCTGTGTTTTAAAAAGGGGACTTTCCCGTCGGTACTGAAACGGTCAATAATCAGTCCAGTTTATAAGGCTGGGGATAGAGACAGTGTTAATAATTACAGAACAATCTCTGTGCTACCTGTAATTTCTAAAATTATAGAAAAACTGTTAAATACGAGGCTGCTTAGCTATCTAAATAAATTTGACATCTTATCACCATCTCAGTTTGGCTTCAGGCGAGGGAAATCAACTGAAGATGCAGTTTTGGCACTTACATCGTTTGTTACTGAGCAGCTCGATGCTCATAAAAAATGTATTTCAGTATTTTTGGATTTACAAAAAGCTTTTGACACTGTTTCTATACCCATTCTGGTGAAAAAACTAGAAGCGATCGGACTGAAGGGAGTTTCTCTTGAATTGTTCAAAGATTACTTGTCGGATAGACGGCAAAAGACAAAGTTAGATTCCTTCACTAGTGATGATGCAGCAGTGACATATGGAGTGCCTCAGGGAAGTGTCCTTGGACCTACATTATTCCTTATTTATATCAATGATCTTTGTGCCATGAACATTAAGGATGCAAAAATTTTGTCGTACGCTGATGACACTGCAATTGTTTTTAGTGCAGACTCTTGGGATGCTGTAAGGGAAACAACCGAGAGCGGCTTGAAACAGATAAGCAAGTGGTTACGGAATAATTTTCTTACACTCAACACTGCTAAAACAAATTATATTTGTTTCAGTCTATATAATGACGGACAACCAAACAATGATTTTTGTTTAAAGATACATGGCTGTAATTTTAGAATAGGTGGAGTTAATTGTAACTGTCCGGTTCTTCAAAAGGTTGAGAATGTTAAATATTTGGGTGTCTATGTGGATCAGAGATTATCTTGGTATCAGCATTTAGAACATGTAACTTTAAGACTCAGAAAGCTTACTTGGATTTTCAAGACACTCAGGTACATAGTACCAGTCCCAAAAAAGGATAAGGGTGATTGTAGTTCGGTAAGAGATCTCCTTAAAGAAATTTATATTTCATTGGCCCAATCTATATTGACATATTGCATACCTGTATGGGGTGGCGCAGCCAAAACGCGTTTTATTGATGTTGAGCGCGCTCAGCGAAGTCTCATTAAGGTCATGTATTTTAAAAAAAGGCGATTTTCTACTGAGTGCCTCTACAAAATTAGTAATTTATTATCTGTAAGGAAGCTGTACATAGTTCATGTTATTCTAAAAAAACATAAGTCTCTAACGTATGACCCTAAGATTTCAAAAAGGAGAAGGAAAGACGTTATTATTCGTGCTCCTAGAACCAACACTTTATTTGCTAGCAGTCAGTTCAATAGTCGATCTAAACACATATACAACACCATTAATAAATATATTTATGTATATGATAAAATTTATTATCAATGCAAAGAGCTACTGATAAAATGGTTAATAGCTAAAACATATGATGAAATAGAGATACTATTAAGCAGAACCTAGTATTCTTGCACACACTAAGACACATATATACGTACACACACTACAACAACATACACACACACACACACACATGCATACAAAATACAAACACTCACTCCCACATTTACAGTTATGTAGGCATAAACACCAAACGTCTAAACTAATTAGATCTTGGTCATGGTTTGTTTAGATTTTATTGGATTGTTATAATTATCTATTTTAAGGAAGAGCTGTATCTCCTGACACAGGCTATTTAAGCTTAAAAGGAGATGCCGGTCATTAGTTTAAGATCACATTTTTGTTCAAGCCAATAAAAATTTATTATTATTATTATTATATCATAACCAGAGTTATCCACATAGCCCACCGGATTATCAAGTTGAAGTGGCAGTGGGCTGGCCATATTAGCCGAAGAACCGGTAACCGTTGGGGTAGACGAGTTCTGGAGTGGAAACCGCGTCTAGGCAAACGTAGTGTAGGACGTCCTTACGATGGAGTGACGATTTGCGCAAGGTGGCTGGCAGGAGCTGGATGTGAGTAGACCAAGATCGATCTGAGTGGCGTGCATTTGGAGAGGCCTATTTCCAGCAGTGGACTAAGATAGGCTGTTGATGATGATGATGAAGCTGGTCTTACCTGGTGACAGTGAGGGTCCCTTCCCCGTTGTCTGGCATGAATCCCCTGGCAGCTGCACTCTTGCCTATCTGCTTGGCGGCTGCTTGCGACTCCTCAGCATCAGCAGAGAAGTAGCCGGCATCTTTAAGCCATAGAAACATTGACGGGTAATGTAAATGAAAATTGCGTCGTTGCTCTCGGGTGTGAGCGTTTATTGGTCCGATTGTTTGATGTCGCGTCGTTTGATTGGCTATTATCTATTAGGTGGAATTGTAGTGATGGCAAGCCGACGACATCGGTTCCCGTATAAACGGTCTATGATCACCCTTTTAAACTCTCTATGTAGGGCGATTCTGTATAATAAAATCTCTCTTCGGATTTCGGTAGCTGCCATTTTAGACATAAGTTTGATATGCTTTACGCTAAATAAAAGTTTACTAGAAAAAAATCCACGCGGACCAGGCAGGACTGCTAGATTTAAACATCTAGCAGTTAAATGCTTTAAAATAAATAAAAACATGCTTTACGCTATTATTACAAGGCAAAATGTCGCTATGTCTGTAGAAGTAGCCAGTATTATATATTGGATATTTGTCAGAAATTCGAATAAATAAGATAGTAAGTGAGATTGCATCTTTCAGAATACCTATGCTGTGTTCTTTGGTTTTATTTATTTACAGGATTGTTACAATGTAGGTACCTTGTTTTTAGCGAATGACTCCACCCCACAAAAGTGGATATTCATCATTCTGTTGTGTATTTCAGTAAAAATAACCAAATCAAAAAGTCCATTTTCAAATTGCCGCGAAAACGTTTCTCTGGACAATATGGCGTCTTACTAGTGTGTGACGTCACACGACTGTTATTAAAACGTCAAACGATACAATGTAATGTCACTTTAACCAGAAGTTTACTTGCGTGTGACGTCATTGTAGGCTCCGCCAATCCCAAGCGTTTTGGGCCACGTGACAATAGATAAGAAAACTATTATCTTTTTCTTTAGTTTTTAGTAAAATTATGAATATTTTTTTTGAAAATATAGTAAAAACCCCTGCCAATATTCATTCTAAATACAGATGCTAATAATTGTCACTTTATTTTGAACACTGTCAAATACACTATTCGATATATATGATTTGGTCACCCATCTAATGACCGACCACTGCGAAAGTTGCTTAACTTCAACGATCGCAGCCGAACAATGCTAACCACCTGAGCTATGAAGCTACGCATACAAAGCTTCATAAAAATATTGTAAGTAAATTAAAATCTCGTTAATAGGTCACGGTTATACCAGATTCGGCGACTGCAGAACGGCTGCCAGCAACGACGGTGTCCCAGTTGTGGAAGTACTGCTTGAAGTTGGAACATTCGATACCGTCAGATACGCGTGTCACTTGAACCTGGACAAATTGAATAAATATTTCCAACACACACCAATGAGGGCTACCGTTTTCTGCCTCACCAGATGGCGCCACTGTTGAGTGAGGTCCTAAATTGTAACTTTTAAAGTTTATTAATACTCACATGAAATCAAAGGTTACATTTAGATCGTATTTTAACACAAAAGAACCATAATTATCCTAAACATAATAGGCCATGCCACAGTGACGCGCAGTTCCGTTTTATTGGGAAAAAATGGGAACATAATCATTTTTCTAAGCTCAAATTTTTAATAACTGACATTCATTGCCACATAACTCATATTTGCCACAATTAAGCCGAATTGTTACCAATTATTCACAACATTATTTTTATTAAAAATAAACCCGCGTAGTCATCCAACAAGCAATAACATTTGACATTTTGGAGACCTCACGCTACACTAGCGCCTCTAGCGGCGGATTCATACGCGATAGCCCTCATTAGACTAGCCCCAAAGTAAGCACTATAAGTATCGCCGCACACGGGCCACCGACCACAACCACAAAACGCTGCCACCGGCATATTTCTTGTAGTTTTCATACATTTTATATGAACTCGTCATACACGGTACGCTGGTGGCCGCCACACGCTACAAATCGTCGTTGCTCGCTTCTTGTGGCCCGCACCGGCCACTTAATGCGCCGATACAAAACGCCGCCACACGTCACTCGCGCGATTCCCCACCCCTCTCTCCCTTACCTTAGTCGGCCGCTGTCGCGCGCTTCAGCCACTTTAGTAGCCGCTTCTAGCTTCTCGTGGCGGCGTTTGTGGCTGTGGCGTGTGACTCGTGTGCGGCGACACTAAGGCTTGTGTTATGGGATACTAGGGTAACGGATAGAATATATATACTGTACATATATAAGTATCTTTATATATATAATTCTTCTGTGAGTGTGTATGTCACTGAACTTCTCTTAAACGACTGGATCGATTTTGATGAAATTTTTTGTGTGTGTTCAAGGGGATCTGAGAATGGTTTAGATTCACAATTTTGTCCGCTGGACAATGTTTTTTTAATTAAATTTTTTTATGGCGGTACGAAGTTCGCTGGGTCAGCTAGTATTTATATAGAAATACATATTTAAACTTTCATGACTGGTGTACAAATGCTCGTATTCATCACACAAACATCTACCTCCACCGGGATTCGAACCCGGGACCTCTCGAGTCGGCGATACCATGAAACCCGGCGTACAAACCACTCAACCACGGAGGTCGTCAATTGAGATATATATATATATATATTTCAACCGACCAACAAAGTGAGAAAAATATCAGATTTATAAATAATATTTTTTAACTATTATATTTTATTTTTTGCGAGAAATATAAACATCATTTTTAATAATATTTATTTACTAAGACTGAGTGAGAAAAAACATTATTCAGAATCCAGGCTCTTTAATTCCGCTCATCTCTGCACTACCGTCGGAGTAGTCATCATTATCACTGATGCTTTCGGCTATAAAATAAAATATCAATTATTGTAGCTTTTAAAACGACAACTATATTCGAAATAAAAACGGTGTTTTTATTACCTGTTTTTAAAATAGAACTAAAGTTCACATATTTCCCTTTTCCAGTACAAATTTTGTATACGTTTCATATGATTAATTTCCTTCTTTTGTTTACAAATGTTTGGTATTTATACTAAGATTAGCATAGTACTAAAAAGTATTCTAAGATTTTTTTTGCAAACCGTACTTTTCAAGCGACATTTGACAGATGGAGGTCATTGGCTTTCCTATTCTTATTTGAATCGCATAGATGTTTTATTAATTAATGTTTGATAAATTTCTTAGCAAAGTAGATTGGCATGCAATATATTTTGTACCCGAAAATGTAATTGGCTCATTTATATAGTATAAATAATATTAAAACAGTAAAATTCGTTCAAAAGTTCAAAACCGTAAATCATGTTACTTAGACTTTCTTATGTGAAACTTCTTTTTCGACGGGGTGTAAATTCAAAACTCCTATGGAAAAGATAAAACTGAAATGTGTCACATACGTTACACGACTATATATATTTGAGTGTGTGTGTTGGATGCTGCTCACTTTTCCCGACGAGCATGAAAGTTGGCGAAAGCCGAAAGGCTACGACCGTAACGAGCGTCATATGTGAAAATGAAAAAATATATATTAAGTGATGCGTGCGCTACTCCATTCCCCTATGCCTTATGCACCCCCTAATGCTAGGTTTTTTAGAAAAAGAAGTTTCGCTTCAGATGTTTGGTCCGTGCACACAAATTTTTTGATGAGTATATATACAGGGTGTAAAAAATCCGATAAGGAAGTCGAAGGCCACGTATTTACCACATCATGACGATCTTTTTTTTCTTCTGGACCATACCTGGGAAATTTCTGGTTATGGAGATATTGATGGTCAGTCACAATATTTTTTTCAAGATTTTTACATTAATATTTGCAAAACGTTATTTAGAATTATTTTGATCGACGCATTTACACACACTCACATTCTTTGCGTAGCGCCAAAACAATTTATTTTTTTACTTTATGTATAATATTTTGAAATATTACTTGTTTGGGTGTACAGAATGCGTAGTTGAGTTGAGTCTTAGTCCTAAGATTTTTTGCACCCTGTATATATATATATATATATATATATATATATAGAAGAAACAGTAACGTACCCAGTCAGGGTACCCCTTCGAGTCCAGGTATTTCTGGACGATGTCGTTGTAGTTCTTCTTTGTGTCGTCGTCCACATCCTTGCCGATCCATATGTACACTCCTGAGCAGGGCGTGTCCAGTATATATACCTCCTGGGTATTAAAAACGATTATATAAGTTTTTTATTTTTTTTGGAGTGTGTATGCTGTTTGTCGCAGATGACCTTTACAGCGTCACCGGGTTCGGGGACGGCGAGATCCTAAGGGGACCTCAAGCCGAGAATTGGCGAGTGTCTCTAGAGATATTCCAGGCGGATGGCATGTGATTCTTAAACCATAGGGCGTTCTGAGAACTTAAAATTTAGAGTTTCAGCGCTGCGCTGTTATTAGTGAAACGTGCGTGGATGACAATGTACGTTTTTTTTTAATTCATACAGTTACCACGCATCGAGCTGCGAAAATTGTGGCTGTCTGATGAGTAAACTGTTTGCGTGGAAGGGATCAAGAAAGCGAAAGAGAAGTGATTATGACTTTAGTATTTACAACATAACCTATGTCATATAAATTTAAATGAAGATTTAAATTTTGATCTTTATCGTATAGATCTTTTTTGTAGCAGCTTAATTAAAAGTCTTACCAGAATATCTTGAATAATTTCAAACAACATTAATAGTTCAATCTAAAGACTTTTTTGACTAGAAACGCCACGCTGTCCAGGCAGCAGACGGGATTCGAACCCGCAGCCTCCGTTATCCGGCCAGATGCACTGACCAATTATGCTACCGCGACCTTAATGGCCGTGTTTAATTTCTTCTAGTATGTCTTAGTCACCAAGGCAGCGCCTAAAACTAAACTTAGCGGGCCCAAGAGGATCATCTTGATGACATCCAACAGAAGAATGCAACAGGTTGTTTTTAAAAATAAGTTTAGAGTCTGTGCGGAAAGAGAATGGGATTTAGATAGGAGGGCGCTGTAGTGCTTTTCTACCGTATTTGTAAGGTTCTACTCCTTTTAGACATGATTAAATACAAAAAACCGCATGAAATCACAACAACAAACAAATCCGTATCAATACAATACTTTGACGTTTTACAGATTGCTGGGTTTGATTGCCAAATAAAAATCTTAATGTTAGTTCCGGTTTTCGCCACGTCCATTCTCTTTTTGCACAGACTCTAGTAGGTTTACTGTAGCATTGCCAAAGGTATTTACAAATATAGGTAAACTGCTTAACTGAGACCTCGCCTGCGGGGTACAGGGTGTGGGGGAGGACGAGAACGGGGGCTGTGACAGGAGCGGGCGGCGGGCGCTTGTAATTTTGACAAGAATGTGGTGGCCACCCGCACTTCTTACGGTGACGGTCTTTGTTCGTGTTTCCTTTAATTACTGAAAGCTAGGCACATCTATCCACAGAGTTGAAGGCGTTCTTGACAAAAAAATTCTTCGTTCTAGTAGTTAAACGCTTAAGAAATAAAAAAAACGGGAGTGCCGGCAGAAGTGAAAACTTGAATATTAACGTTGTGCATTTTTGATATTTTGGAATGGTTAGGGAATAATTTTGCACGAATTGCTTTAATTATCAGTATAAAAATACTATCATGTATGTGGTAGAATACAATATTTATTTATTGCGCTATCGTACACAATCATGACAATTAATATTACATTAAAAAAGTTTATCTCTCAGAAAAATCAACTTACATGAATCACGTATAAGCGCACCTAGCGACATCTATTGTAATAAATGCATTTTTTTCGCAATAAAGCTGCCACGCGGACGTCCTAGATAGAGACTTATTATTATAATACGGTAAAATAAAATATTACTATGTTACATCCAATATATTGAAAGTCAACAATCTTTCCAATTTTATTGTGTCATGATACGATCAGCCCACGTGTTTAACCTACAAAGCCGCTAAAGAAGTTTTCAATTCAAAAATATAACTCCAATTGCTATATCTTCTTTCAAATCTTTAATACTTGTAAAGGTATTCATTTCACATTCTGGGTCTACAATGCAAAGAGATGGCGCTGCCTTGCAGCCTAAGAAATACTAGAAAGAATTCGGAGTGGTCACCAGGGCTGCGATATCATAATGGTCAGTTCATACGCCCGGATAGCGGAGGCTGCTGGTTCGAGTCCCGTCTGCTGCCTGGTCCGAGTAAATTATTTTCTAGTAAAATTTTCTTTTCATTTAAGCATCTAGCAGTTAAATGCTTAAAAAAATATAATAAACGTTAATACATACAGATGAAGACAAAGATCCCTGCTTGTACGGCTTGCTGAGTGACACCAGGTCTAATTCGTCACCAGCTATCACCCTGAACAAGTACACCTCCGTCATACTATCCCTGGCGTATGTCTGAAATAAAAAAAAAAAATATTTATTTATTTAATAATCACTTACATCTATCATTACAGGTATAACCTAATACAATAGAGCAGTTACGATACATCCAATTATTATACAAAACTAAAAATAAAAAAAAATAAAACACAAACACGAAGATAAAATAAACATTTCTATGATAGTATACAATAAGCGGCCCGTGTGAATTCATTCAATGTGCATTGAAACAAGTCAATGTGCAGAGACAGCGTGTTGAGTGCATGCGTGAGAGGAGCGCAGTGCTGCAGGTTAGTGCGCGCGCGCGGCACACTCAACAGGGGAGGCTGCCTCCGTCGCCCCGCGTACTCGTTGGGCACACACAACTGAACTGTGTGAACAATCTCTGGGTTCCTTAGTTTACCACGAATCACTTTGAATAAATAAGTGGCTAGAGACACTTCCCTCCTTACTTCTAATTTAAAATAGCCCGTCATGCCTAGTGTGAACAGAGTAGGGTACAAAAGTGGAAAGCCTGGATACACACCATACTGCTTCAAAAAAAATAAATCTCACGAATTTGTTCTGGATGCGTTCTAACATTAATTTATATCTATACTTATAATAAATCTGTAGAGAGGTCAATTCTGTACATGAAATATATTTTCAAAATAACTATCAGGGGGTGATTAGTGATCGATACTGATGGCAAAAATGCAATCAGTAAAATATTTGTCTGTCTGTCTGTCTGTGTGTATGTTCCTTATAGAAACAAAAACTACTCGACGGATTTTAACGAAACTTGGTACAATTATTCTTCATACTCCTGGGCAGGTTATAGTATACTTTTCATCACGCTACAATCTATAGCAGCAGAGTAGTGAAGGGAAATGTTGGGAAAACGGGAGAAGTTACTCCATTTTTTAAGCTTCCGTCGCGTGTGCAGCCTTAATGGTTAAAGTTACATAGAAATCATGTATGACGGAAATATTCTACATAAAATTGTCTAAAAAATATCCTGCAACAGCATATGTCTATCTTTTATGGTTGACTCACAATAACACGTGTAATTATATAAATAAAGTCATTGTTTGTAGCACAAGCCTGAGAACAAAAACTATACTTTACACTACAGCTCTACACCGAAGCGAAGCGAGGGCGGGCCACTAGTAACAAATAATTGTGTGTGTCAGCTCCGACGCACGACTGGAGTTTACTTCTTAAGTTCGATAGTCTAACCAGACGCAAAAACAGTTTATTTAACTTAAAAAAGATTGATACTGTATGAAAGGGTAAATTAACAAATTAATTAAAATAATATACACATATAAATATATATTTATTCATTTCATATATATTTATTATAACTAATCGACGAAATATTTTACATTAAACTTTTTACAATAGTCAATTTCAGATGTGCATAAATAAAGGTACGCTACGATACTGTGCTACGGTGTAGCACTACGGCTGCTACAGCGTAGACAGTAAAAACGTAACGAGCTCATTCATCGATAGATTTCACTCCCCACATTTTTCTCATACCGGGCCCCTTATATATGCAAATCGATTCTTAAGGAGTAAACTCCAAAAATAACGTGGAAATTGCTAAGGGTTTCTAAGGGTATCCTTAGCACGAACCATTATCGAATTCGAATAGTTTGCGAGTCCGAAATGTCATTGTAAAATTTTATATGGAAACTTGAGGAGGATAAAAATGAGGAGCTCGATGGCGCGGGTGGTTAGCGCTTTCGGCTGCGATCGTTGAAGTTAAGCAACTTTCGCAGTGGTTGGTCATTGGATGGGTGACCAAAAATCTTCTATTTCGACTTCCTCCGTGCTTCGGAAGGCACGTTAAGCCGTTGGTCCCGGCTGTATCTGCAGTCGTTAGCACCCGCCAATCCGCATTGGGCCCGTGTGGTGGGTCATGGCCCAATCTCCCTATTCCATCCATAGGGAAGGTCTGTGCCTCAGCAGTGGGGACATTAATAGGCTGATGATGATGATATGGAAACTTGAACAGCAGCGCCATAACGGACGTAACGAGAACTAAAAATCAGTACACATTTGACAATGACATTTCGGACTCGCAAACTATTCTAATTCGATATTGGTTCGTGCTTAGGTTACTGTATTCAACAAGGAGCCCACAGTTTCGCAATGTCTCTTTCCTGATTTAAAATCGTTATATCTGTCTGTATTTATCGGTCGTTAGCTTAGATTAAAACAAAAAGGGTAGATACGGCACTAGCCTAACAAAAGTGATCCGCATGAATTGTGGTCAATTAATATTAACCCTAATCGCTTTAGTCACAACTTGACATGCAAACGACGTACATGTGAACGCCAAAAAGAAATAACGCTAATATTTTGCGTTTATATGATAAAACAATGCCTAAGTGTGTTTTTAAAAAGTGCTCAAATTGCTCAAGAACTAAAAATAAAACCCACGGCATCACTTTTCATTCGTAAGTACTATAAAATATATTTTTTCATAAAAATTGCTGTTTGTTTTGAATCTTATTCGGTTGTGACGTCGAGTACTTATCGCGTGATTGGTCGGTAGTGCAGTGACGCGGACCTCGCCGTCTCTTTCGCGCTGCCGTTGAAACTTAACGTGCTGTTTCGTTCGGGTCGGTAATACAGTGACGCGGAACTCGCCGCCGTCCCGTTCGCGCTGCCGTGGGATCAGTTTTTGTTTGATGCAAGTATGAGCGTACCGTATCTACCCTTTTTGTTTTAATCTAAGGTCGTTAGCCTGTATCCGGGTGCACGAAAGACATTACTCGAATTCGGGCACCCGAAGCAATATTTACACTGTAACACGGGCTGGAAGACGGTGTTGGGTAAACAAAAGGAAATCTACACGAATTCGGGCGTACTCGACACCGTTCATTTACACTTAGTCGTTTACCCAGGACCGGATTTAGAGGTCCAAAGGCCTCGGGGCAACAGAGGAGCGGAGGCCCCCTCCCCCCAAATTATTTTCCAAATAAAGTAAACATTTTTTTTCAGTCGAGTTTTTCAATAAATAATTTATTGTGAACCAAGTAGATTCCCTTAGTATTGAACAAACACATATAAATATAAACGGAAACAAGAATTATCTGAAATTAAATCTTAGAGTTAACGAACGGAACCTTTCGAGCTTTCTTCGCCAAAAAATCGTTGATGATTTCGTTGAAATCGAGTTCTCGGAGTAAATCGCTTTCAATGCTCAGGAGAGAAAGCTCCGATAGACGGTTTTGTTCCATCGTGGTCCGAAGCCTATTTTTTAAAATTATAAAAAGATGTTTACTAGTGTTTAATAGTTGGAATTTGAAAGATTTTTTTTCCGAAGTCTCAATTGTGGGGGCCCCCCGTTTGTGGAGGCCCCGGGGCTTTCGCCCCGGTTGCCCTCCCCTAAATCTGGCAGTGCGTTTACCCGAATTTCATTGGCACTCGTATTCGGGCTAACGTACAAGTATAATCGCGCCATAAAGCGAGTAAAAATCCACACGTAGCATCCTACAAATTTAAAATTGTCAAGTACATAATACCATAATTATGTGAATACAGACCATTAATAAAAACTGGGCGGCAGATATATAATTCAAAATCGTTTATTCAGTCTAGGCTGTTTCAAGCACTTGTAAATGTCAAAAAGAAACGCCATCGGTTCGCAAATCTACGGCGGGAGAGAAGGGCTGTTTTTTCTCCCTGTATTATATACAGAGTCGACAAATTGAAAAATGACTTCAATATGAGATAACTCATGAAGTTACTCTCTTATAAGTGTGAGAAATATGAAGCAATATCCATTGTTTGTTTTGTCTCTTTCTAGAACAGTGGTTTGAACCTTTTAGTGACGAGGGGCTACTTGTCGTCATCTCGATTTGTAAGTCAAAAAGCATTCTTCTTCTTCTTAGTGAAATATTTTTTCTATTTTACAGATCACCAGTTAAGAACCACTGTTCTAGAGCTTCAAACGTCATTCCATTGTCAATTTTTTTTTAAATTACTCACACCAATTCGCCTAGCCCCAAAGTAAGTACTGTAAGGCTTGTGTTATGGGATGCTAGGTTAACGGATAGAATATATATACTGTACATATATAAGTATATTTATATAGAAATACATATTAAACATCTATGACTGGAGTACAAATGCTCGTATTCATCACACAAACATCTGTCCCCACCGGGATTCGAACCCGGGACGCTCGAGTCGGCGACACCATGAAAACCGGCGTACAAACCACTCGACCACGGAGGTCTTCAAATATCTATAACTATGGTTCCTACCGTGGTGGAGTCATCCTCAGCCAACTCATCTTTGGAGCCGGAGCCAAGAGCCTCGAAGAACTGGCTGAAATCATCGTCTGATGAGAACTCATCTGTAATAACAAAAAAGTATTTCAATACATTTAATGAGTTAACGAAATCATTTATTTATTTACTAAAACAATAGACACATTTTAATAAAAAGATCTTAAAAACTACTCGATGTCTATTTACTTTAACCTACTTAAATTATATACCTATACTAGCTGACCCAGCGAACTTCGTACCGCCCTAAAAAAATAGGGGTTGTCCAGCGGACAAAATTGTGAATCTAAACCATTCTCAGATCCCCTTGAACACACACAAAAAATTTCATCAAAATCGGTCCAGTCGTTTAAGAGAAGTTCAGTGACATACACACTCACAGAAGAATTATATATATAAAGATTACTAGCTGTTCATGCGAACTTCGTACCGCCATAAAAATAGGGGTTGGTGGTAAAAGGGTGAAAATTTAGGGTTGTATGTATTTTTATATGATGTATCATAAAAAATAAAAACAAAAAAAAATTGACCTAAATAAAAAAAAAATAAGAAAAAAACATTTTGAAACAGCCAAACTGTCGACTGACGTTTTGTTTCTGGATTGTATTGATAAATCCAGGATTCTTCACCTGTCACAATATCGTTAACGCGCCGTGTCGAGCCTGCATCAATTTATTGTTTATATAAAGAAAGAAAGAAATTTTTTTATTCAGTGACACAAATTAAAAACAATATACCTTATACATAAATACAGGTAGGTTTAATATTGTAATTTTAATAGATTTGTATTATCTGTGTTTACCTACCTTCTAATGTGAGCATAAAAATTCAAATGTTATATTTTAGTCCTTATTTTCATTTTTTGGTAAAATTTACTATTGGTTTGTTATAATATTGATAAAAATGCACTCGGACAAATTTTTTGTTTTGAAATTACCTTCGATGGATTTTAAATTGTGGATATTTTTGTCTCATTTTAATTTTCTCTCTATACAGATTGTTTTATTTAATTTTATACATTGATAGGAACACTGTTTCATATTATACGGGAATGGACGTTAATTCTGCAACACAGTTTTTGTAAAACTAAAGCAGTTTTAACGATTCATAATTTTATGTACATTGCACTTGTTCCAAATAAAGTTATTATTATTATTATTAAATACAATAAATTAGGTCTAAGCATTTGCGTCACTAAAAAGGCAGTCCACTCAGCATGTGTCGGATGTCGTAGACAGTCCGGCGCTGGTCTTCCGTGGTTACCTTGAAAAGTTGTATCATATCACTGCACCAATCCATACGGGCCTGTTATGTCATTTTTACTTTTAAATAATCGAAGTTATGTTTTTATTTATTTTTAAGCATTTAACTGCTAGATATTTTTTCTAGTAAACTTTTCTTTAGATTTAAACATCTAGCAGTTAAATGCTTAAAACTAAATAAAAACATAACTATAATTGCTATTTCCTCTTTCAAATGTTTAATACTTGTAAAAGTATTCATTTGACATTGTGGGTTACCAACAATGCGAAGAGATGGCGCTGTGAATAGGGCCGTGGTAGGTCAGTGCATTCGCCCGGATTGCGAAGGGTGCGAGTTTGAGTCTCGTCCGCTGCCTAATCGAAGTTTTCAAAATAATTGCAAGTGGCCAGTGTCTTATACATAAAAACTTTTTTTCGCAAAACTTTCTGAGTGGCCTGGTATCTCCATTGCTGGAAGATAGCTATAAATAAATTAAAATTTACCAATAATTTCAATAGTCGCTCTCCCGTTGTGGTAATCGTCTCTAAGATCATTGGCGACGCTGATGATCTTCCTCCGCTGAAGAGCCTTAGCACCCTCAGGCATCAGGACGAAGATATCATGGTCTACCTCCAGGATAAAGCAGTGGCTCTTGGTGAGAGAGGAGGCTTCAGCTGGTACCTGAAGGTGAAGACGGTATTGTCTAAAACGAGATTTTAAGACCTCTTTATATGTTATAATGGTGGCGACCAAGCCTATAGCCCGCTTGACGGTAAGTAGCCACCAAAGCTTAGTGTCGCCGCACACGGGCCACCGACCACAACCACAAAACGCCGCCACCGGCATATTTCTTGTAGTTTTCACACATTTTATATGGACTCGCCACACACGGTACGCCGGTGGCCGCCACGCGCTACAAATCGTCGTTGCTCGCTTCTTGTGGCCCGCACCGGCCACTTAATGCGCTGATACAAAACGCCGCCATACGTCACTCGCGCGATTCCCCAACCCTCTCTCCCTTACCTTAGTCGGCCGCTATCGCGCGCTTCAGCCACTTTAGTAGCCGCTTCTAGCTTCTTGTGGCGGGGCGTTTGTGGCTGTGGCGTGTGGCCCGTGTGCGGCGACACTTACAGACGCTTGTGATACAAAATTGATCACTCGCGCCATTGCTTACTCTGACCCAGTCTTCTATCACGGGACCTTACTCACCAACAGAAGCACAACACCACCAAAGGTAATGTTTACTGTGCTCTTCTGTAAGATGGAGGTTAGTTTCCTAGGCGGGCGCTCCAATTTACCCTACCTACTTTCATACCCTCATCATCATCAGCCTTTTAATGTCCACTGCTGGGGCACAGGCCTTCCCTATGGATAGAATAGGGAGATTGGGCCTTGACCCGCCACGCGGGCGCAGTGCGGATAGGCGGGTGCTAACGACTGCAGATGCAGCCGGCACCAACGGCTTAAACGTGCCTTCTAAAGCACGGAGAAACTCGAGATAGGAGATTTTTGGTCGCCCATCCAATGACCGACCACTGCGAAAGTTGCTTAACTTCAACGATCGCAGCCGAACGCGCTAACCATCGGCGCCATAGAGCTCCTCTATCATACCCTACCTTTCTTCAAATATCTATATAAGAATAGCAAATTCGAGGACCTCAGATCACTACGCCCATCTCGCTCTTCTTGTTGTTGCAGCCGGTCAGATTCAGGAGTCAATATCTATAATAAACAACTGATCTGAGGACATTTAATCATCTCCATCACCACGCCCACCTCGCTCCTCATGTTGTTGCAGCCGGTCAGCTTCAGTAATCAATATTTATAAAGAACAACTGATGTGAGGACCTTTGATGCTCTCTATCACCACGCCCACCTCGCTTATCATGTTGTTGCAGCCGGTCAGCTTCACGAGTTAATATCTACAAAGATATTGGTATACTGAGGACCTCAGATCCTCTCCATTATCAGGCCTACCTCCTCGATCCTCATGTTGTTGCAGCCACTTAGCTTGAGGAGCCTCTTCTCCGCACCAGCATTGATCTCCACTTGGTTGAAGCCTGACTCCGTGCCGCCGTCCAGGTATCTGATGGCTGGGAAATAAGGTATTTCTTTATACAATCCTTTTAAAGTTCTTACTCTTATACTAGTATTAAAACTAACTTTAGTGTCGCCGCACACGGGCCATCGACCACAACCACAAAACGCCGCGACCGGCATATTTCTTGTAGTTTTCATGCATTTTATATGGACTCGCCACATACGGTACGCTGGTGGTCGCCACACGCTACTAATCGTCGTTGCTCGCTTCTTGTGGCCCGCACCGGCCACTTAATGCGCCGATACAACGCCCCACACGTCACTCGCGTGATTCCCCACCCCTCTCTCCCTTACCTTAGTCGGCCGCTGTCGCGCGCTTCAGCCACTTTAGTAGCTGCTTCTAGCTTCTCGTGGCGGCGTTTGTGGCTGTGGCGTGTGGCCCGTGTGCGGCAACACTTAGACTTGGAACTGACACAGCGGTTCGCAGATCTGCTTTATTTCAAAACTCATGAGAACGCAGTTTTCTGCCGATGCCGTGGCTGCGAGATCGAGTGAAACCCGCCGCCCACACCCGCGCGCTCTTCGGACGTAAATCGCGCCGTGATGTCTTAGCCAGAGCAAAGTTCACAATGGCCATTCAACCAGTCAACAGATAGGAGACCAAACTCCTCTTCCGTGCTTTGGAAGGCACGTTAAGCCGCCGGTCCTGGCTCCATCTGTAGTCGTTAACACCTTCAATACATTGCACCCACGTGGTAGGTTACGGTTGAACCTCCCTATTCTATCCATAAGAAAGGCCTGTGCCCCAGCAGTGGGGACATTTATAAGCTGATGACGTACCTGGTTTGAAATACCCGAGGAACTTGCTGGACTCATGGCCTTGCACCTCTCTGTGGTGCACCGCTCTCCCGCCCAGCATGTCGTCCAAGGTGACGGTCAGGATAGCTGCGGATCCCTTCTTATCCTGCGTGGTCTTGCCGCCCAGCCAGAAGTGAGCGTCATAGGAGTAGGGCGTCTTATTGTCGCCCGTTGTCTGTGAAAGGAGAAAGCTTAAGAGCATGTCGCCGTATTAATGGGCAAAACCAACTAAATGTAGAAATTACACTTCAAAGGATTGACAAAGAAAATCTCTTGTTACATATCGTATTTTGTAACTTACGTTTAACATTATTGTATAAAACAAATATTTGTCTTTTGAGTTCAGTAATTTTGTATTCGTAAAGTCCCTAATAATGACATGAAAATGCAATTTTATTGTGATACCTTATATTATACAGTACCCAGTTGTTTTTCTCTGTACAACACTAAATTGTAAATCTACACGCTCGACCGATTTTCATGAAATTTTATATGCATATTCAGTACGGTAGGTCTGAGAATCGGACAACATCTATTTTTCATCCCCCTAAATGTTAACCCTTAATTATTATTTTTTATGATACATCATATAAAAATACATACAACCCTAAATTTTCACCCTTCTACCACCACCAACCCCTATTTTTTATGGCGGTATGAAGTTCGCTGGGTCAGCTGGTATTTTATCAAACAAAGCTCCGGTGAAGCTTTAGCTATTATTTATGTTAGCCCATTATAATATTATTATCTGTTTATGTTTTGTTACATCTGCAAAAGCAGCAGAAAACATGTAATAAAAAGAAAACGAACATTTTAGTTGGTTTTACTCGACTATACATAAAGACAAATTTAGATTTTAACTTAATTTTGCTGAATAATAAACTTTTGGAATCAATCCAATGCCAAACATATGGATTACGGTTCCACAAGAACGACAGTCAAGTGAGGCAAGTTGTTTTTAAATTGGCGACTATTTTGGCTACCATTACACATATTTATGTGTAATGGTAGCCAACATAGTCGCCATACACACTACGAGAAATCGTTACGATCAGACTGTACAGTTCGAACGGTACCGATAAATCGTAGCGTGTATGTTATAAAACTGCACAGTTTCCTATACGTACGCCACGTACGATAAACTGTTAACCTATCCTCTTTTTGTATATTTTATGTAAAATTAAGCCCCAAGTAATCAAATCACATTAAATAAAGTATTTTTGCATACTTTATTGTTGGCATAAAGTATAGAGTACAATTACCCGAAATAGCGTACAATACTTTACACTGCCGGATTTAGGGGAGGGCAACCGGGGCGAAAGCCCCGGGGCCTCCACAAACGGGGGGCCCCCACAATAGAGACTTCGGAAAAAAAATCTTTCAAATTCCAACTAGTAAACACTAGTAAACATCTTTTCCTTTGATTTTTTTTGCACTTTTACCTTTACCTACAGCCTACAGTACTTTGTACATGTAACATACATGATTATTTGATTATATTAATCTTAAATAACAGAAATCATTGATCTATATTTGTTCACTCCAATCAGGCAATCAGTGAAATATCAAAATCCCAAATGGCCCGATAAGCACTTCCAATTCACTACCCATCTTGAGGGAGTACCCTAATCGCTTAATGGCTGAGTGGGGTGGTACTTGCCCGCAACCTCGGAGGTTGGGCATTCGATTCCGTGTCTCGACAATTTTTTTTTCTTATATATATATGTACATATGAATTAATTGCAGTATATGAACTGTCGGTGTTCTTAAATTCTTAAACAAATCAATTATTATTGACTAATTGTTTATTTACTTTATTTGGAAAATAATTTGGGGTGAGGGGGCCTCCACTCCTCTGGTGCCCCGAGGCCTCTGGACCTCTAAATCCGGCCCTGATACTTCATAATAAAGTACGGGTGGCAACCCTAGTCATGGTGAACGGGCTCTTTTTAGGCGTTGAGCAGACGACGGGGCGGGGCGGGCATTTTGTCCGCCAAGCAATAAAGACCGCGTCTGCCCGTCGAGTTTGTTCCATCTGTACCCAGCCCAGGGGGGGGGGGGGGGGGTCATGACCCCCATGACCTGGGCTTGAGTTTACTAGTGCTTATATCTATTTGACGACCTCCGTGGTCGAGTGGTTTGTACGCCGGGTTTCATGGTGTCACCGACTCTAGAGGTCCCGGGTCCGAATCCCGGTGGGGGCAGATGTTTGTGTGATGAATGCGAGCATTTGTACTCCAGTCATGGATGTTTAACATGTATTTCTATATCAATATACTTATATATGTATCCGTTACCCTAGTATCCCATAACACAAGCCTTACAGTGCTTACTTTGGGACTAGGCTAATTGGTGTGAGTGTTGGAAATATTTATATTTATTTATAATAATAATAATAATAATAATTCATTTATTGTGGAGCATAGGTACAATAATGGGGTGTTACATCAGTACATACAGTTCAGCTATGTCCTGCCATAAGGCGTACAATTCTTAATAATAACATTAGATGTCACAAGTTAAATCAATATTATTTTAAATGTCAATTAAGTTTATTTCCATATCGTTTTATTCATGTCAAGTGGTACCCAGAATGTTATTGTTAAATTTCTTTGTCAGATAAAAATTCCTTAATTGTGTAGTAGCATTTGTCAACTAAGAAATTCTTTAACATATGCTTGAAACTGAGGACATTCTCATTACTTCTTATTGGACCAGGAATTTTATTATATATACAAAGGGCGTTACAGAACACACTCCGGTTCATAAGTGCAGTATTCGAAGGAACCATGCGGAATTTATCCCTATGGCGTGCACTAGACAAGACCTTAAACATATCTGTGTTATTTTTAACAAATAGGGCGCAATCCAGAATGTACAGACATGGAAGTGTGAGTATCTTATACTTTTTAAAATACGGTTTGCACGAGTCGGTCATGCATAAATTAAACATTGACCTAATACAACGCTTTTGGCACTTAAAAACGATTTCTTTGTCGGTTGCGTTCCCCCAAAACATTACTCCATATCTTAGGATAGATCCAACGTACCCATGATAAGCAGACAGTACAGCATCTGAATTTACAACTTTACTTAATTGGTACAACGTATAAGAATAACTAGACAACTTATTACATAGCTGTTCTATATGGCTTTTCCATTTTAAGTCACTGTCGATATATAAACCTAGAAATTTGTTTGTACTTGTTCCACAGATTTGCTTACCAGAGTAGTTGATATTTAGATTCACTGCATCAGTCCTTTGTTGAAAACTCATTATACTTGTTTTATCTAAGTTAACCTTTAAATTGTTAGCAGTTAGCCATTTAATTATTGATGATAAGGTCCCATTTATGTCATTTTCTAGCAATGTCAAATCTTTTCCGCTAAACAAAATAGTACTAGTAATTTTAGGTAAATCGTTTATGTAAACCAAAAAGAAGGGAGGACCAAGCACACTACCTTGTGGCACTCCATATTTCACACGCCTTGGTTTTGATAAATAAGTCATTTCCGTTTTAGTAATTTTGTCAATTTTGTCTATTTGTGTAATTTGGATTCTGTTCGTCAAATATGATTTAATAAGATTATAAATGTTCCCTCTAATTCCAACAGCATATAATTTGTCAAGTAATATATCTCTGTCAACATAATCAAATGCTTTTGTCATATCCATAAACAAAGCAATGGTAGGAATTCTATTGTCCACATTACTCGTTACTTTATAAAGGAAATCATAAAGAGCCAAATTTATGGATTTATTTTGCCTGAAACCATATTGTTGTGGGGCTAAGCATTTGTTAACCTCTAAAAACGAATAAAGACTTTTGTATATCACCTTTTCAAAAATCTTAGCAAAAACAGAGAGTAATGCTACTGGTCGATAAAAATTTATGTTTGTGGGATCTTCCTTTTTGAATAAAGGTTTTACTACAGATATTTTCAATCTATCTGGAAAAACACCTTCAGATATACAGAGATTCATTATATGACTTAATACTGGTGCAATTATCCAAGAAGAATCTTTAACTATTTTTGTAGCAATGTTGTCATATCCCGTGCTACTACTATTTTTCAACGAATTAATAATTTTGAATAAATCATTATAATTAATAGGATGAATGAATATTGAATTTAATATACAATTTTTTATTATTATTTTATTTTGCACTGCATGTTTTGAATGTTCAGTATTAACTTCGTCAATAAAATGGTCGTTGAAAGCATCAACCATCTGCTGGGCATCTATAATCGTATTACCACTAACTTTTATTTTGTCAATGGTTTGTCTGGGAATATTGTTTTTCGGTTTATTTATTATTTTCCAAGTTGCTTTACATTTATTAAAAGAATTTCTAATACTGTAATTATTTTGTGCTTTTTGGGTTGACTTTATTATAGATTTAAAGCGTTTAGAATAAATTTTATATTCCGTATTTGTTGCAGCAGTAGGATTGGCTCTGTATTTCAATAACAATTCCCTTTTTCTTTTACTACATACGCGAATACCCTTGGTTATCCACTTAGGTTTATTGGTCGTATTACATTTAATTCTTATTGAAGGGAAACATAAATCGTATAGAAGTTGAAACATGTCATGAAAATTGTTATATGCTTCGTTAGGGTTATCAGCTTTGTAAGAGTCACTAAATGAAAGTTTAGACAAATTTTCATCAAACTTACGTCTATTTTCTAAACTATAGTCACGTCTCATTATATACCAGCAACGGAGGTTACAGGTTTTTTTGACTGGACACTTTAGGATTTGAGCAGAATGATCCGACAGTCCTAATTCCTTGATTTCTCCAGTACATCCTCTGACATTGTGAGCCACATTATCAATACAAGTCTTACTAATAAATCGCGTCGGCTGATCAAATTGGAACTTCAAGTTATAGCTATATAGCATATTGATGAGTTCCACGACATATTTTGATTTTTCCAAAAGATTAATGTTAAAATCTCCACATATAATAACCTTTCTATTTTTTAGACACAGTTTATTAAGAGCGGAATGTAGTTTAGAGAAAAATGCTTCAAAACTTTGTACATCGTATTTGGGTGATCTATAGATACAAAGAATATATAGAGCATGTTCTTTTAACTCAATGGCTGATAGTTCTACCACTTTTGGTATAGATAGCGCATTAATATCACCTACTAAGTTGTAATTCATATTTTTCCTAATCAAAATACAACACCCACCATGTCTGTTGTCTCTATTAAAGAATGAAGCTAACTTAAAATTTGGAATATTAAAATTCACTACATCATTATCAACCATATTATGCTCCGTAACACACAAAATATCAATTCCTTGGCCCTTGACATACAGCTCATCCAAAATTACTGTTAACATGTCCGATTTATTAATAAGTCCATTAACATTTTGATGCATTAGATATAAAAAATTATATACGAAAAAAATCATTACAATCTCTAGAACCTGTTTTAACAATATTAGTAACATCGTCTGGTTGTTTATATTCTAATTGGTCATTATTGTTAACAACATTTTTTAAAACTTTAAAATAGTAAGGTATAGTACCTTTCTTTGAGAGGTTAGTGTAATTTAGATTAATAGTTCCTGTGGCTACACGTGCATTCCTTGTATTTTTTGTAGTGTTTTTCATTAAAGAAGATATATTTTTAAATGTCAGAAAATGATTTTTGTATTCAGAATAGTCAATTAATATATTAATTTTATTACAAATTATACTTAAATTATCAGAGTCATGACAGGAGCTATTATAGTATCGATAGTCAAAATCAAGTATTTTACAATTGTCAAAATGTCTAGTCCATATTTTCATACTTTTATACAATTGATGTTCACTGAAATGTTGGTTGTGCCTTACGGGAACAATATAAACAAATGATTTAGCCAACAAATTTACAGCAATACATAGATTGGAATGCAATATATTGATGTCAGTATCATGGGAGCCAAAGCCTAGTATTACAACATCATCCTTTGACAATTTTTCTGCTATATGTTTGCAATATTTCAGCATTTCTGAACTTGAAGCACCAGGAAGTACAGTTGCTGTGGTGTTATATCTATCATTCCACTTTCCGTACCTAGAGTGCGCCAATACCGCAGCTAGTCCTCTCAGTTCTTCGTCACCTAATATATATATTGTTCGTTCTTTTTTCATGTGTACGTTGTGAGAGCATCCAATAATTTTAGTTGAAAGTGTGTGAGCTGCATAATCTCCGTGAATATTCGACTCTTCGATCTTTTGCTTTAGAGTGGTAATTTCTTTATTCAAAAGATCTATTTCCCGTTGCGCAGTCTCCAGCGATTGCTTAAGGTCATTTATTTTTGTTTGTAGGTATATAAATTTCCCCGAGGGATGTGACTTTTTTTCTGAAGAAGGAACTTTTGGTGGAGTAAAGAAGTTTATGGATTGTGTAGAGTGTCGTTTATGTCCTTCATGGATAATATTATGGGGAATTTTGCAAACATTTTTTAGTATTTGTAATTCTTTTGTTAATTTCGTCGAGGACTTTTTTAGCTCATTATTTTCTAAAATATAATTTTCCAACTCCCTTTCGGTAGAGGTAAGTTTAATTTTTAATTGTTGATTTTCCTCTTGTAATTCATATTCGTCACATGCGTTGTTCGTCATTGTGTATTCCACGCTTTTGGATAGTCTGTCAGTGTATGAGCATGATGAATCATCTGTCGTATTCTCCTGTGTTGTGATGTGAGAATCGAAAATAATATTGGATTTGCTAGTAGATAAAGGAGAAGATGTTGAATTTGGAGTGCAAGGCGTACTTGTATTTGTTTCAACTGGTATTGAGGAACGTACAGGGATTAAGTCACTAACTGTATTGCTTGAATTTTTCTTTCTCGTAGTGATATAGTTGGATTGTTCATTGCTCGGAAATACTTGTGTTACAGTTTTTAAGCAAGTTGGACATTTCCAAGTTTGTTTTTTTGCAGTATTCATTAATCGATATAGTTTCTCCGACATTCCAATGCAATCAAACTCAAACTGCTTTGTACATTTTGTACATTGAATTGTATCCTTTATATTTACTGTAGCCATACATTTACAGCATTGTACCTTTGTTGACGATTTGCTGCCGCCTCGTCTTGTCAATTTCGGTTCCATTTTATTACTCGTAAAATAATTATTATAAGAAAAAATATAAGTTCACGGTGGGGTTTGAACACAGGACCTGGGGTACGACAGCGGCTTATTAAACCAATGTTCCACAGGAGCTCACCGCTGATTATCCAATTTAACGATTAGTATAATGCTTGTTGCGTAGTTCCTTTTATTATGGTCAATGACCTTTGTGGTTTGCTTTGCAAAAGCAATACAAAAACATTACGTGATTGAGTGATGTGGTAATGGGTTAAAAGATGGCAGCACTGTGTAATATTTAAGTAATATGCCAATCAAAAAGCAATCTTAATAGTATGACTGCAGATTACAAATCGCGTTGTTATAAATACACATTTTTAAATAAAATTAACTGTCCGTGTTTATAATTTTTGCTATTTTTCTAAATAGTTATTATTAAACGATAGATCACTTCGTATTAATTCGTATAAATGTTCATATTTGTTTTGGACCATAAATGTTTATATTTAAGTTATTAGTTACTTTGAACGCTAGTTTTTATTATAAAGGTCTTCACTTTGTAATTCAGTTGAGATTTCGCACACACAGAGCCACACAAATGGAAGATAACACTTTTCCGTAATATTTGGGTTTCACAGTACACAATGATTATTAATAAAATGTATTTGATCCACTTTAACTATTTAAATATTAAATTAGATACGGGAGCCTATGTTTACGTTTTTGCGCCATCTGGCGTATTATCTGCATATGAAAGATAAGATAAACAATTTTTATATAATGGAGCCCGCCCATCTTATCACAACAAGTTGATCTTAAATGACGCTAATTATGAATTGACAGATATTAATCCAAAAAAATGAGACCTAATCGTCATTAAAAAAGATTTTATGAATAAGATTGGTATATAAGATTAATTTTATCGATACTTGATGAGTTTAATCAATATCCGGTGGGTATAGGTACTTATTTAACATGCATTTTTATGAACATTGATAACACTGCCATCTGTTAACAAGGATAATATTGTTATTTTCATTTATATAGGGTTTTTCAACAAGAACTTTGTTTTTCAATTGTGGCTGCACCAACAATATGATAGTTTCGACATTTAGTTTTTTGACGTATTCATGATCGCCGCACAGTGTATTATGAAACCCATTTTTCGGACGTCTGCTTTTTATTACAAAATCCTGAAGTTTCAATCATTTAAAACGCTAGAGGAGCACTCCAGAGTATCAAAAACGCTTAGTTTTGAAAAAAGAATATTTGAAAATCTGTTTTTTTTTGCGGATATTTTTTTAGAAAAATTCCTTCTACCTAAAGCAAACATATTTTAAATATATGTCATAAGTGATATGAAAGAACTTTACAAGTTTCATCTTTAAGAGCTATTAGCGACCTCGTAACTGCCATAGAAAAGGAGAAATTATTATTTTTCAGTTTTTCGTTTTTATTTTATTTTTCAGATAATCCACCGTATTTGGAAAAGTTATCCAGATGAAAATGAAGGTCCTAAATCCTTCTACCTACCACTAAAAAATCACATCCAAATTGCGTGGAGTTTAGAAGCTGTGTTCAATTAAATATTTCGATCAGGGTTGTTACTTTTTTGAATTTTCAATATCCGGAATTTTATCTAAGGTGGGTGGGTGGTTTAAGTCCCACGTGTGGTGTGTAATATAACAAGAAACTATATAATGTTGAAAATACATAATATCATTTAGTTTTAATAAATTATGCAATATGTGAAATGAAAATTCTATTAAGTACCTAAATTTATTTCAAACACAACTTATAAAAGGTACTTGGAGAAGAAAAAATGTATAAATTCCATTGAAAATTGATGGGAAACTACAAACCCTACATTGCGCGTGGTCCGACATCCGTGCGATTAAAAACAAATTACACGGGCGAAGCCGCGGGTAACAGCTAGCATTTAAATTATATTACATACCCTATGATTATACCCTAATATTCCGGATATTTTTGAATTTGTGAATAGTGTCAACCCTAATGAAAAAAAACCCGGTTATTTACAAAACAGGCTGTATCATATAGACTCCACGCAATTTGGACGTGATTTGTTTGTGGTAGGTAGAAGGATATGGGACCTTCACTTTTATTTGGATAACTTTTCCAAATACGGTGTATTATCTGAATAATAAAATAAAAACGAAAAACTGAAAAAAAGTTATTTCACCTGTTCTAAGGCAGCCACAAGGGCGCTAATAGCTCTTAAAGATGAAGCTTGTAAAATGCTTTCTAATAACGTTTGTCATATATTCAAAATATATTTGCTTTAAGAGAAGGAATTTTTCTAAAAAAATAACCGGGAAATAAAACCAAATTTTCAAAGTTTTTTTTTTCAAAACTAAGCGTTTTTGCCACTCTGGAGTGCTACTCTAGCATTTTAAATGATTGAAACTTCAGGATTTTTTAATAAAAAGCAGACGTCCGAAAAATGGGTTTCATAATACACTGTGCGCCGTCATGATCACGGAGTAACAGTTATTCCGTAAACAAGGTACATGGTAGCAATCCCGTTAAAGCTATAAAAGAATATTAGATTAATAGTTTGCACATAGATAAATTTATCATTTATTTATGTATGCATTATAATACCTTCAGTACAATGTAAGAGTCTGCATTAAAGAATTTTCCATACATCTTAGCGTCTACAGCCATTGGTTCAAATTTCTGGAAAAAAATATTCACTTAATTAATTCTTGTTTTGTATTATTTATATAAAAAATTATATAAACCTGACCTAGCTTCGCTTTGGTTTAGACTTTAATCTATGTTCTCTCGAGCACAACAATAAAATTATATTGAAAAGATTTCGTGAATACAAAATTGTGTGCACGGTGCACACATCTGAAGAGAAACTTCTTTTCTTATAACCTAACATTAGGCGGTGCATAAGGCATAGGGGAATGGAGCAGGCAGCGCACGCATCACTCATAAATATATATATATATATATATGTCGTGGCCATATCGTAGATTTGCTCATTTCATGAAATGCTCGAGTATTTCATGATGAGGCAAACTTAATTTGAGCAGATCATTAAATCGTCAACGTTTAACGATTTTGTCATCCACATTTGGCCGGATCGTATAATTAGGGTGTCCATAAAATATTTAATAAATATCCAGAATATAATTTTTATTATTTTTAAAGCATGTAACTGCTTGATGTTTAAATCTAAAGAAAATATAACTAGAAAAAATTCCACGCGGACCAGGCAGCAGACGGGACTCGAACCCGCACCCTTCGCAATCCGGGCGAATGCACTGACCAATTATGCTACCGCGGCCCTCACGGACCGCGTCGAAATTCTTTCTAGCTATTCTTAAGCTGCAGGGCAGCGCCATCTCTTCGCATTATAGGTAAACCCACAATGTCAAATGATCCAGAATATGTTAAGAACTTGTTTATTGTCATTTGAGTCCGAATGACACAAACAAATTGAATCATATTTTTTAATAAAATACACAAATCAAAGATTTTTTTCTAAATTAAACATCAACGTGTCATGTAGTAACACAAATGTAAACGTCATTTACATTTAGAAAACTAACAAATATTTGGAAATAAAAAGGAAAAAATGCGAACTTAATACTTAGAGTACGAAAAGTGTCGTTTTTTCGACAGGTATCTAGTCAATGTTTGTTAATTTAACGCATTTGAAAAAAAATTTGATCTAATACTTACTATAAACCGATTTAATATAAAATATATGTTATATTCAAATCTCTCTTTTCAAAAATTTTGCAAAAATTTTCGAGCTTGCATTTCGAACTGTCAGAAGTCCTCGACGTATGCGTTTTATTTAAGACCTTATACAGTATGTATTAAAGGTTACTTTCAATGTTTAAATAATGCTTTATATTGATTTTGACTACGCGATCATCTTACGGGGCTCCGTGGATCGTCCAATGTACCTTTTGGATAGGTTTCGGGCACGATTTTGTTCGTGATGTTGTATCTAGGGTATTTAATATCGTTGCATATAGCAGCCAAAATATCTTCATTTCAGAAACAAAGTACATATTTTAACCTCTTACTATATTTTTTATTTTTTTTGTCGTCTACTATAGTTTTAGAGGTAGTTAAAAGTTTCGCAAATACTATATTGGATAGAAAAAAGTTGGTTATCCTAATGGTTACGGCAAGTACACTTACATCGATGCCCCATATTTCTATACCGGGAGAAGAACCGGCATCAGAAAAAGCAGGATGCTCCATTGTACTACCAACGGTCTACACTTTCACAATTTTGGAACAACAATGACTTCTTTATCATAAACGTTATCACGTTATCAGCGCTAACCACATTACCAAGGTAAAAATTAACAGCAGCAAAATTAACAACTAATTGTTACGCGTACAAAATTTGACAGATCGCATAGACACTAGCGCCGAAGTAGACGATGAATATAAGTTTGGTTTTTACTCGAATAGTTGAACATGCTTTATGGGTACAATCAATATTTCTTATCTGATGATGATTCATAATTATAATATAAAGATAGTAAAATCGATATCATTCGGTTTTTTTTATTTGGTTTCAGTACGATTAGATCGTTTATGTTCGTAGAAATAATGGCATTTTGTAATTAATATTTGTGGTGTATCGATCTTTGCACAAGGTCACTATTTGAAAAGTCTTTGAGGGAAAAATAAGTATGTACCTATTGGACGAACAAAGACAACTTATTTGTTATTTATTTAAACTTTATTATTGCCACAATTACAAACTGGACAAAAGGAGGACTTAACGCTAAAAGCATTCTTTGCCAGTCAACCTTATACGGTAATTTCACACAAGCCGACATTATGTTTAATATTCGGAGCGTATAATGAAAGAAAGCTGTCTTTTTAAAAGTCCATACCACATTATGTTGATTGCTAGTATCTGAAAGCTATTCACGTTAAAGCCTCCTCCTTATTTTGAAAACATACCTCTTTTTACCGTACCGTACCGTACCCGAGTTTATCGTAACGTTATTAAAATAGATTATAGAAATGATGAATTGTGCAGACACTGTTTTATATAAAACTAGCGGCCCGCCCTCGCTTCGCTTCGGTGTAGAGTTGAAGTGTAGACTACAGTTTTTGTTCTCAGGCTTGTATTATACACAATGACATTCATATGATTCTTCTTACAGCTGCATGCAAATTCTCAGCCGGATCGGTTTAAAATTGACAGTTTCATAGAAACTTTCATTCCCTATTTTATCCTCTTGGGAGTAGAATTGATCAAAATCCTTTCTTAGCGGATGCCTACGTCATGACATCTACCTGCATGCCAAATTTCAGCCCGATCCGTCCAGTGGTTTGGGCTGTGCGTTGATAGATCACTATATCAGTGAGTAAGCCATAAGATATATTTTGAAAAGACAGCTTTACACTATATTATAGTGTAAAGCTGTCTTTTCAAAAGTCCACCCCACATTATGTTAAGTGCTAGAATTCCGAATGTGCCATGTTTGTTGATAGACTTTTCAATAATACTATCACAGACCAATAAGAGAACAAGTTTATACTATCTACGGGCGCAAAGTAACAGCTAACGCATTCTGTCTTATTTGATTTTTTTAATAAATTAAGTTGTAATTTGAAATAAAACACAAAGTTATTATAAGAAACAGAAAATTTTACTAATATTTTATTTACATATAGAAAAGACACAAATCTAAAATTACTTAATTATTAGTTAATAATAATTAGGATAAACAAAACACTTCTTGGCATAGAAAAATCAAAATACCTTTTATAGTAAGGTAAAAATTTATGAACAAATTATTTATTGTTATTTTTTGGTATCTACATAATTTTTCATGAAATATTATGACATTTATAAAATCTCTTGTTTTGCTTTAAAGACATAAATATAAGCTGTAACCTGTTTCTGCCAATAGTCGTCGATTTTTCAAAAAGAATTTTTTAAAAAGCCGAGCGTTATAAATGTAAATAAGTTTATATAAAGGGCCGTCATATGTTCAGTTTTGGTTGCTGAGTTTGGCTTTTCGGTCGTCGTCTGAAACAAAACAGTAATATACATAAACAACTAGTTTCTGTCCCCGACGTCCCATCCTTTTTTTCCATACTAATCCATCTAATATCTTGTGTGATAGTTTGTGATGTCGATTCTGGCATGATTCTCTAAAGCTAAACTTAAATTTGACAACAGTGCATCCCTGTCATTCTCTATACAGAATGAAAAGGAGAGACTGATGTTAAATTTAGTTTTAAGTTTAGAGAATCACGCTAGAATCGACACCAGTATGTTGGTTACCACAGAACACAGAGAGAGGATAGAATTATGATCATCAGATCGTCAGGGAACCGCTGTCGCCTGCTCTCCCCCGCTACACTTCAACCTAATGGAGGCCATACACATTAGGTTTTGCATGATGGATTTAGCCGATCATGCATAACCGACAGGCAAGCCCTGGCGTGTATGGAATAAAACTGTACCGGTGCATGTACATGCACCCGAACAAATATCAAAATTGATATTTAATGCCGCTCGGTTATGTTTGCGCGCGAGCATAACCGAGCGTGTGTGGCGTCCGTCGAGCTTGCCTGTCATAGTTCTGAATTTTTAATTGTTGCGATGGGTGCGAAGGTCACGCGCCCAAGCATTGTCGCGTCGTTTTGAAAATAGTGAGTCGCAAGCGCATTGCCACATTAGAAGAATTCATAGAAATATATAAGTCGGAACCTTGTTTTTCGCGCGTAAAGTGCAAAGAATATCACGACAGAGGCAAACGATAGGCAGCATACCAGAGATGGATAACTAAGCTCAAGGAATTAGAGCTCACAGCTACAAAAGAAGATGTGATTAAAAAAAAATCCGTTCACAGTACTTGATAGGTGTTCTACACATACCGTCACGTAACTCAACTGAGAGTAATGGCAAAACTGTACATGCAAACCTTAACGTGTATGTGCAATATGGAACTCGGTTATGCATGTCGGTTATGCATGCACGGTTAGCCATCCATTAACCATCATGCAAAACCTCCATAATAGACAATAGCCAATCAAACGTTGCGACATCAAACAATCGGACCAATCAGTGCTCACACCCGAGAGCAACGCAAATCAGAACTAAGTTTTGGTCAAGTTATGAGCATTTGCTCACACATTACTATGGCACACAATACCTAACCCTTCTAACCTTTTTCTATGTCCTGTTTTTCTTACTTAAACACGCAATAACTACTGAACTAATTTTGATGAAATTTGGTATGCATACACTTCATGACCTGGATTGAGACACAGGATACTTTATACCCCGGAAAAGTTACAGGTTTCTGTGGGATTTTGAAATAACTAGAGTTGATGCGCAAGAAGATGAAGGCGCTCTCCTGTATTATAAATGCGAAGGTGTGCCCTGTCTGTCTGTTACCTGTTCACGCTTAAACCACATATCCGATTTAGATAAAATTTGGTTTCTATATAGTTGGGAGTCCCCTGGAAGAACAAAGGATTGTTTTTATTTCATAAATCTTTAAGAGGGTGAAAATTGAGGAAGAATTTCGGGTAAAACTGTACTTCCAGGGCCCAAGAGGTGATACTTGATTTTTTTTTGTATAAAAGGTCTCATTTAATAGTTTTTTTTCTGGCCGGCCGCCGGCCGCTGCAGCGGCATGTTCGCTTTGCTCGCTCGGCTATCGCGTTATGGTCACAACACTAACCTAACCTAAGTATCACAGCTTTGGCCTTGGAAGTACAGTTTAACCGAATTTAGTTTGGGAAAACTATTTTCCACGCAGACTAAGTGTCCCCGCACACGGGTCATACGCCACAGCCACGAACGCGGCATGTGCGTGTGGACTGACTGATCTTTTCTTTGGTTACTTAAAAAATTCTGAACTTTTTTGTGTGTAGAATTCCTTAGTAAGATAAATCTAATACAGTGTGACAATACCTAACTTTGCTGAAAATTTGTCACTTAAAAACGTCATTTTATGTTGAAATTATGTATTAAGTAGTGAAAACACTCTAAAAACATCTTTAACACTTCTAAACACAACTCTCGGTAGTAAAGTATACCGATATGGTCACCCTACTCAACGTTTTCCTTAAGGATTGTAAAAAATGAGTTATCTTTTAAAATATAACACTTACTGGGACGATTGGTTCGTCAAATTTTAGTACAACATTTTTCACAATTTCTGATGTAACTACCTTCTACCTATAAGTTTGGGATTATTAAATATAGTTCAAGATAAGGATCACTCAGTTGGGACGATCGAGAAAAAACAAGATTTTCAGTTTCTCTTAAACCAGTATGATTTCAATCCCGATCTTTGTTTCACAAATTTTCCCAGAAGCATAATTTATAATAAACATGATAATGTTTCATTCGTTTTCAGTATAAGGTAGTGTTTTAAAAGATCACTCAAATGAACATAGTGCATTTTGAGTGATCCATATAAACCGTTCTAAATCTTAAACGTGGCTTTGAAATGAATCGCAAATTTGTGTAGCAGCTTTCACAAATTCTTCACAATTATTTCAAATACAAATTATAAACACATTGGTAGTATATTCTTGGATACGCGTTATGGCTTATTCTTCAGGTGTCCAGATTGAGTGATCCAGTTAATTAGTTCTAACTTTCTTTGTTTAGGTTTCACAAATTTTATACCTTACCATTAAGTTTTCACAATTATTTCCTAAATCCTCTTATAATTTGGTTGTGATTGGATGAGTTTTTTGAAAAGATCACTCAGTCCACACGCACATGAACGCGGCCACGAGAAGCTAGAAGCGGCTACTAAAGTGGCTGAAGCGTGCGACAGTGGCTGGCTAAGGTAACGGAGACGGGCGGATTCCCCCCGCGGATTTGCTTCGCTATAAACTTGACAAGTCGACTTGATCATCTGCGGGACGCATAACCTTGACGCGCTTTTGCTTTGCCATTTTTTGGCTGAATGACAAAAGAAAAAATACCTACGTGTCTTAGATTAAACTAGCAAACCAGTGAACCAAATGTTCACCAAAACCTGATTTAAAAAAAAAATGTATTTAATTAATTGAGAACTTCGGAGATTTTGTGTGGTTTCGTTTGAAATTCGTGATTTCTCGAAAACCGGAAGTGCTACGTTACTCAAATCCGGTTTGTAGTCTTATCAGACTATTCTTAACTTACAACTTAAATACTCTCTTTATCGATCTCTTACGGTTTGGCCGCTGAAACAGCACCACAGACAGACAGACGGACGGACTTGTCTAATAGATAAGAGATTATGTTTTAATCTAAGCTACGTGTCCATTACTCTTTGTTAGTCTAACTGAGGGATTTAATAGAATTTCGTTTACCCTGTCATCATCTCCATTTACCGTGGGGTTGGTCCCATGGAGAGTGGAAGTTATTGTGAGTCTCTGTTCTCTCCTATTGCAACTGATTTCGTCTATTGATGTGCGAAATCTTTCCACTTCGGCCTTGTTGTTCAAATTCGGTTGGAATTTGAAATTTCTGAAACCAAAAGCCGTATGAATACACTTGAGAGTTAAATGAAAACAGGGTGGGTTGATTTCTGTGTAATATACTTTTGCATTCTGTGATTTGTAATTAAATCTTCATAAGTACATACACCAAATTTTGAATTTAAACTTAAAATCAGTGCGAAATAAAAACCCATAATGCGAACTAATATCGAATTTATATAGTTGAATTCGATCTCGATACGCATCAAATGTCAATAAATTTACATATATAAGTATATTTATATAGAAATAGATATAACACATCCATGACTGGAAGAAAGAAAGAAAGAAAGAAAGAAAGAAATTTTATTTGTAACAACATGTGTAAGTAAGATTGTCAGTGATAATTAGCTAAGTATATAACATGTTGTGCCCATATCGGCATACAAATTAATTATTATTTATATTCATTATTATCATTCTAAGATTCAAATTACAAAATGAAAAGGTCAATAATGTCAATACAATAAAAAATGACAATAAATTGGGCAAACACTTTAAATAATATGTCAATACTTTCAAAACAATCATAATCAAATATCAGTAAATTGGGCAGAAACTGTTAATACATGTCAAACTGTCAATTCAATAATTAAATGTCAATAAAATTGGGCAACTAAACAAAATACTAATAAATTCAAATTTAAATTGAGTAATAGTTGCATTTCAAATGTCAATTTAATAATCAAATGTCAATAAAATTGGTCAAAACTATATATAACATGTCAATATGTACTTGCAATTCAAATAGTAGAATAAAAATAAAATAAAATCACAATTTGTCAGTTAAAAAATCTGATACAGCATAATAACATTTATCAGTTAATAGTTTCTTAATTTTCTGTTTAAACACATTATAATTTAAATCTTTCAAAGATGTTGGGAGTTTATTATATATTCTAGGAGCCATACAGAATATATTATTTCCCATTAGGGCTGTTCTGGAGTTGGGCATGCAAAGTCTACTGTTATCACGCCTGTGGCGATCTAGTACATCTGCCATTTTTACAAATAGGTGCATGTTCTCTTTTACAAATAAGAGGATTTCAAAAATATACAAAGACGGAAGTGTCAGAATCTTATATTTTAAGAAGTAAGGTTTACAACTATCCGTAGTTTTTAAATCAAACATGGCTCTTATGCATCTTTTTTGCATTTTAAATGCTAAATCTTTGTCAGTAGAATTCCCCCAGAAGATAATACCGTATCTCAGAATTGACGCAGCTAAGCCGTGATATGCAGTGAGCAGGGCGTCTGTGTTCAATAAGGAGGAAAGTTTAAACAACGCATAGGCCGCACTGCTGACTTTCTTACTAAGGTATTCTATGTGAGGTTTCCAATTTAATCTAGAATCTACCATTATTCCGAGAAATTTGACGCTTTCAACTTCGCGTATGTCAACATTTTGTTGATCAATTTTTAAACATATATCATTATTTTTACGTTGACTAAATTGCATTAATTGAGTCTTTTCAAGATTTATTTTTAAATTATTATCATTTAACCATGAAATAACAGATGTCAGAGAATTCTTAATGGCATGTTCATAAATGTCAGGATCTTTACAGGGAATTGTCAAAGTACTGTCGTCAGCGAACAGAGTAATTGGATAGTCAACAGATTTAGGTAAGTCATTAATATACACGTTGAAAAATAATGGACCAATCGCACTCCCTTGCGGAACTCCATATTTAACCGTGCGCGTTTCTGAATAATAATTTTCTTCAATATGCGATTTTGTATTAATTTGTGTAATGACAGTATACTGTTTTCTATTTACTAAATAACTTTCAATCAATTTCAGAATATTTCCTCTAATACCGTATGCGTCAAGTTATTTTAATAAAATGTCATGATTTACGTAGTCAAAAGCTTGTGTCATATCACAATATATTGCAGAAATAGGGTTTCTTTTGTCCATATTAGTTATTATATTATTAAGAAATTCGAACAGGGCTTTGTTAATATTTTTATTTTGACGGAAACCATTTTGTTCTTTACACAAAATATTTTTACTTTCTAGATAGTTATAAATTTTTTTATAAATATATTTTTCGAAAACTTTTGATATTATTGAATTTATGGCAATCGGTCTATAGTTATTTATTAACAATGTATTTCCTTTTTTAAATAATGGTTTGATTATAGATGTTTTAAGTTGATCTGGATATATACCAGAACTAATGCTCACATTAATAATATGACTCAAATGACCATTTATCAAATCCCCCACTGACTTAACTATCTTAGTTGATATACCATCATGCCCCTCGCTATTTGTATTTTTCAATTTTTTTATAATATTTAAAATTTCTTGAGGTACACTGGGTGCCATAAAAAATGAATCTCTTCTATTTTCTAATTTGGAGGATTTATATGATTTAGAAACCGATGTCGAAATTATTTTGTCAATGAAATAATTATTAAAAATATTGGCTATTTGTTCTGGATTCACAATAGTTTCGTGGTTAGCATTAATTTCCAAAATATGATGTTTAGGAACATTAAGCCTGGTTTTATTTATAATAGACCAAGTAGATTTCGACTTATTCTCAGAATGTTTTATTAGAAAATCGTTCTGTGCTCGCTGTGTAAGTCGAATAATTTTTTTGTACAGTTTTTTGTATTTTACTAAAATGTCTTTATTTATGTTTGTTGGCTTGAGTCGATAATTCCAAAGAAGTCGTCTTTTTTTCTTACTGCATATTTTAATACCTTTGGAGACCCACTTGGGCTTCCTGATAACAGATATAGTGATTAGCTTACATGGAAAACAAAGGTCATAAAATAACTTAAAATAACTCATGAATGAGGAAAATGCAGTGTTTGGATCATCTGTGTCGTATATTTCTGAGAACGATAACTTCATGAGGCAATCCCTAAATTTTGTAATATTTTCGGCACTATAATCTCTACATTTTTTTCGCCAAAATTTCAATGCATGTACATTCTTCACAGAACAGGTCAATAGTTGAGCAGTATGATCGGATAAAGCTAATTCTATCACCTCCGTCCTGCACGCCTTTAGAAAATTATGGGCAAAATTATCAATACATGTATGGCTTATCAATCTGGTTGGCTCTTTCAATGCCAATTTTAGATTATAATTAAGAAGAAGACATTCAAACTCTAAAGTAATATTGTTTTTTTTTAGTACGTCAATATTAAAATCACCTGCTATTATAATATTATCGAACTTTTTTCTACTCAGAAGGGATAATAATTGATCCATCTTAGAGAAAAATATGTTCATATAGGCCGTTTTAGGAACCCTATAAATGCATACTATTACAATCCTATAATGTAGCAGTTCCACCGCACCACATTCGAATATGCCCGGCAATGAAAGCTCTGCTACCTTCGGTAATGCCTTCCATCGATGGCATTTTTGAATTTATTAAAATACAAACTCCGCCCCGCTTAGAGTTTTCTCTACTGAAGTGTGAAGCTATCTGGTAATTGGGGACAGATAGGAAGTTCTCATAGCCAGCCATCATAAAGTGCTCCGTTACACATATCACGTCAATATTTTTATTTTTATCAGACAGCTCCTCTAAACATACAACAAGTGAATCAGACTTGTTTATTAATCCAGCTATATTTTGATGTAATATATTTAAAGGCATTTTAAAGGTATATGAATTTTTAGGAAAGAAAAAAATCTGAGTCACCTATAACCGATTGAGTTTGCTTGGGCTCTCTCTCACAAATTACATCTTTGCTACTGAAAATTTCAATGTCAAGAATTAAACTTTTAAGATTCTCAAATATATTTTTCATACCTATATTATTTAATTTACCATTACTCCTCGAAAACATAGCATAATCGTAAGTTAGTTTTAAATTTGAGTCCAATATATAAGCGTAGTTATTCGAAAATATGTCAAAACTTAATATATTATTAAATGTCTCAATTCTGGAATTAAACATATTAGAAAATTCTTTACATTTATATGTTGGAGCACATAGTATAATATTAGTGTGGTTTATCGTTTGTAATGTCTGTTGCAATTGTATAACAATATCAAAATAATTTAAAGTAGTCAAAAAATCTTCTTCGCCGATGAATATAATACAATAAATATATAATATAATATAATATAATGAATATAATACAATAGTCCTGAAATGTGTAGTTTTTTAATTTATTTTTCAGGTTTTCAATCATTTTCAAAATCCCACATTTCAGTGTTAAATAATGTATTATGTGACGATCTTGGAAAGAACTCTCTGCAATATCCAGGATACTGTTTTTATTATTGCTACTCAAAATACATATTTTTTTAGATAAGTTATGGCCACTCACGGCCTTATCATTACTTTTATGGGTTTCATTCTTCTTCTCTATTTTATCAGATGACTGCGGTGAAAAAAAATCTCTGTTTGCCCTTCTTGGAGTAGATGAAATATTTTTAGTTTTGAGATTTCGGCTGTTTGTGTCATCGGTACTCTTGGTTAACAGTTGACTTGCATCTTTTTCTTGTAAAGCGATTTTAAGTTGTTCGTTTACCAATGACAGATTGTTTATTTCTTGTTTCGCCGACGCTAGATCACTTTTAAGTTTGCATATCTCTTTTTTTAAGACTTGTATTAGTTCGGGTTCGCCACTCTCGCCATCTATTGAAATATTTGGTAAGCTATTTGCAGTGTCATCTAGTGTCAAATCGTTTATTATTTCACTTGGTGAAATCGATCTTCGTCTGCGGCAAGTTATGTTCTCAAAATCCATTTCGTTTATAATGAAAATTATTCTTTATTTAAAAAATATCCGGTCTCCGTTCGGGTTTCGAACTGACGACTTTTGGTGCTTGAGGTGAAGATTTAGCAACTGCGCTAAATTTCCTTAAGAATAGTTGACAAAATTTATCTACGGTTGATGTCTTGTATAACGTTTGTATTGAGTCCGTTAAATATGAACTATTTGAGCACGACTTATGTTATTAGATTACCTTATTTTTAAAATGTTATTTTTACAAAACTGTTTATGACGTGTTTAGTATTATTGAATATTTATTTATCAAAATGAAACCTTTTATCACTTGTATTTGTTATTTATGTTCTTTTGAAGTCACTTTTCGCTCTCATTTTGCACTGATCACACTTTGGAAGGCTGTTGCACTTTATTCAATTTTATGACGTTATTACCGAATAAAAAGTTTTACAAACAATGAACAGAAGAAAATGTTCTCACTTTTAAATAATTATTACTGTGTTGGCTAGAAATTCCTTGTTTTTGCATTTATAAATAAACTTTTGTACGCAGTCGATGTGTACATGGCTAGCAGCGCCATCTGCCTACCCTGGAGTACAAATGCTCGTGTTCATCACACAAACATCTGCCTCCACCGGCATTCGAACCCGTCGAACAAACCACTCGGCCACGGAGGTCGTCAGAATGCACCTATTGAATGCATTTGAGTTTAGAAGCAGAAATGTTTGGTGAGACAATCGAGTCATAAGCCGTGGCTACAATTCCAACGCGTACAAAAAAATTTGGTGACTCATTTCTTTGTCGTACTATCCGTAAATGGAATGTTCTGCCCGCTCACGTGTTCCCTCCCTCTTACAACCTGGGATCCTTTAAAAGAGGCGTGAAGAAGCAACATGCAGGCCGGCAGGGTGAGGATGGCTGGTGTGGCAGGTAGAACTGCTGTTTCAGCTATCTTTGCGTCTGGACTTCACCATCACTTAACATCAGGTGGGGTGGAGTCATTTGTCGGACCTATCTATAAAAAAAATGAATGGACTTTGATTGCTTTATGTTAAGCTGCATTTTTATCCGGAAAAAGCCGGACATAGTTAGGGTATTTGTTTTTAAAGATAGACAGATAGGTCCGACAAATGACTCCACCCCACCTAATGTTAAGTGATCACAGAATTGTGGCCACAGTTAGACGGTGACAACGTAGGCCAACGCGCGTGGTCCGCTGAAGGAAAGGGGAAGGTGGAATAATATGGATGGAATAGGGAGATTGGGCCATGACCTACAACGCGGGCCCAGTGCGGATTGGTGGGTGCAAACGACTACAGATGCAGCCTGGACCAACGGCTTAACGTGCCTTCCGAAGCACGAAGGGACTCGAGATAAAAATTTTTTGGTCACCCATCCAATGACCGACCACTGCGAAAGTTGCTTAACTTCAACGATCGTAGCCGAACGCGCTAACCACTTGGGCCATCGAGCTCCTCGCCCTTGAATAGATTATCTAAAATTATCTGTACATCTCTTACGTGGGCCTGTTCCTTCCTAACGGTTTCGAGTCATCCCCTGTTCCGCTGGAGAGGGTGAGTTTCATGGTTGCCTCGGAACTATCGCCTTTGTAATCTGCAATCAAGTATAATTTTGTCAATAGATTTAATTGGTGTGGCGTAAATCCGTTGGAACATAAAAAAATAAAAACATGATGATAAAAAATCATAATAAAATAACATGATGAAGATATGCATGATAAAACTAACAAATATAGTAATTGTTACCATGTACCTTGTTTTTATCGAGTTTCTGTTACTCCGTGATCATGGCGCTTGCAACAGTGCCGAAATATCGGAAACTCGCTAAAAACAACGTACATGGCAACAATCCCGTAAATAACTTATATTATTATAATGTTAGTGACCATGAAAGTTTAAAACAATATAAAACTAACAAAAATATATGATGAACATTTTAATTAAATTTTTAATTACCATGTAAACTTCCACCGAAAATTGGTTTGAATAAGATCTAAAATAGTAAGCTCTGCTTACTAAGGCGGCGTAAGGCGTGGGCGACGTGGGCCACCGCCTAGGGCCTCGCGGTACAAGGGGCCTCGCGCCTCAAAAATTTTTATGCATTGCTTAAAAGCGAATTTCTTTTTTTTATTATTTTATAATATCCGTCTTCAGGTCGCCACAGAACAGGGCCTCGCGAAATCTGTCTTGCCCACATCAAATTTAGGTCATGCCCCGCCACTGTAGTGAGTAGTTTTTTTTAATACGTCATAAATCACAGATTAATGGAATAGCGTCACCCCAGGACTAGGTCTGACAAACCAATAAATAAACTAAAATAAAACACTTAACGCATAAATCAGATCACTGGAATTAAGAGAAGAAATAAATATAATAAAAAAAATAAAAAAAATCATAGATTAATAAAAAAAAAATACACTATTATTAAAACATCGAAAGACACAACGAACTACAAGAACTTTTATATTATGTTAGTTGCTTTTACGGAACCCTTCATGGGCGAGTCCGACTCGCACTTGGCTGCTTTTTTATACTCATGACGCGGTTACACTTGTACGTTAGTCCGAATACGAGTGCCAATGGAATTCGGGAAAACGTCTAAGTGTATATGAATGCAGTCGACTACGCCTGTATTCGGGTTTCCCTGACACAGTCTTCCAGCCCGTATTCCAGTTAGTCCAGTCATTATATACATTTTGTGAAAATGAACCGTCTGCACACGCTCTACAAGGTTTATTTCAAACATTTTTCGATATCCTTCACCAGAAAAAAGTAAATAGCGATAAAAAAAATTATTCCCAAATTTTTGATATTTTTGATCGATATCTCGAAAACGACGATCGATACGTGAAAAATGCATGGGGTCTTAATTGTAGATCGCGAGAAGAGCAACAAAAAAGTATTCTATAAAAATTTTCGTATCTCAACGGGGAACCGAGTTATAATGAAAAAACTGAATTTAAGGGTTTTTTCAAGATGGCGGAAATTGCACAAGGTTATTTTGGTCGACAATTTGAACTTAAGCTTTTCTTGCCATCCCCCACGTAATATCCAAAATTTGGCTTTCTCGGTTCATTTTCATTTATTTCCCGATTTTTCCGACGTAATGACTGGACTAAGTGTAAATATTGCTTCGGGTGCCAGAATTCGAGTAACGTCTTTCGTGCACCCAAATTCAGGCTAACGACCAAATAACGGTGTGGCAGGTAGAACTGCTGTATCAGCTATCTTCGCGTCTGGACTTCACCTTCACTTAACATCAGGTGGGGTGGAGTCATTTGTCGAACGCGGACCTATCTATAAAAAAATATATATAATTGCGGCATTACTCACCAGAGTTGTCTTTATAAATTTCGGCTAATTCTTTTTCTATTCTCAACTCCTCTTCATCTTGCGTGGAGTCGTCCCCGATTTTCATGTTATTCTTGTTCATTCTACGTTCAGCGATCTGTAATAGTTATTTATTTATTTATTTAATAGGTGTACTTACAGCTAAATGTTTAAAAATATTATAAAATAAAATGGGTGCGTGTACTTATGTAGGCGCGTGAGAAGTTATCCTTCTTTGGCATCGTTTAAAATTAGTTTTTAATTGCATGCAAATAATTAATTACAATAAATTAATAAAAAGTCTGGAAAAGGACACAGTCAATAAAGTTCAGTTTTAATTTGAAAAAATAAATAAATAATCAAAATATTCAATTAAAATCGCTACTGAATATAATTTATTAGAACATATGTGATTTGCACTTGTATGAAACTCAAACACGTATTCCGAATATACAAACTAGAAACATGTGGATAAATATTATAAACTAGCGGCCCGCCCTCGCTTCGCTTCGGTGTAGAGCTGAAGTGTAGACTACAGTTTTTGTTCTCAGGCTTGTATTATACACAATGACATTCATCTATGATTCTTTTTATACCTACATGCAAAGTCTCAGCCCGATCGGTTTAAAATTGATAAAGTTTCATACAAACTTTCATTCCTTATTTTATCCCCTTGGGATTTTCTTTATATTTTTTTCCGTAAGAACCTTGTACAGAGTATTAGAAAACTACAAAAAAAAAACAGTCAAATCGGTCAAGCCGTTTTCATGTTATGTCGTGACAACGGAAAACGGGTTTCATTTTTATATATATAGATATGAAAACAGTCTCTGTTCTAAATTCAAAACTCGTAACTTTTCCCGATGTTCGTTGTACGTGTTTCCCGCGCTAGGACCGCAAGTGGCCGCGCATGCGTACGGTGCGGCGGGCGACGCGGTAATGGCAGCGCGGCACATGAAGTTGGCCAACTTCATGGTGTTAATTTTTTGTGTTACAGATGCGCGCGCATCTTAAAATTTCACTCTCATAATTTTTTTATAACGCGCCTAAAGAAGTATTAGTTCAATAAAATAATACTGTGGCGGCGACATCTACATGCCCCACATATAAACCAACATAGAGGAATTAATCACTCGCCTCTTCAAGAGATGGCGCTACCGGCACTGCACTCAAATAGTATGGAAGCCTACATCGCACAAGTGAAATTCGGCGGCCAACAGTTCATATATACAATGCCCGACCAACAACAGACCAACAGTCGGGCCGTGGCCCCCGAGCTACCATCACCCAGCTCGGAGGAAGATCTTCCCCCTTCTTTATTCTAAGACATATATGCAAGCCTTTACAAGCACACACAACATTCACTTGAATAGAGTACGATGTAATTGATAATCAATAATAATAAATGCAATTAATAATCAATAAATAGTGCAATAAATAATCAATGTTTAACTTAAATTTAATAATTTTATAATGTAATGTCGAATTGATACAAATAATAAACAAATAAAATATCTTGACTTGGCTCATGAGGTGGTCGCCATGTGGGATGTTGATTTGGCTATCATTGTGCGGATAGTTGTGACAGTCAATGGCCTGATAGCCAAGAGCTTCGACTGTCATCTGCGGGAGGCTCGAGTTGGGTGACTGGGTCAAAGGCCTGATACGGAAGGCAGTACTCCTTGACACGGCTCGCATAGTGAGGAGGTTCCTCTCTCTGGGGCCCTAACCACCGGTAGCTAGGACCCTGTTCCCGATGCCGGTTGGCGTCTATTTTTTATATTTTTAAATGTTTTTATTTTTATATCAACATTTAAAAATGTAATTAATATGGTATACAATAAATAAAGCGAATAATAATGCGGAATTAATGAGAATCGAGCAGCTCAAACAATGTTGATTTAAAGTTTTTCTGCGAAACGTCAAACACATCCAAGTTGGGTGACTTTGTGTTAATAATATTATTATAGGTATTGCAGATTCTGGCCAGAGGGTGAAGAAGACCAAGGTTGCAGGTTTAAGAAGAATCATAGATGAATGTCATTGTATATAATACAAGCTTGAGAACAAAAACTGTAGTCTACACTTCAGCCTTACACCGAAGCGATGTGATGCGAAAGGACATTGTTCTGCGTCCATACATAGTTAGCCTAAAAACCAACAATCTTGAAATATTATTTTCTAGGTTCGAAATCGCAAGTAAATGACTGTAAAAACAAAGATTATTGACGGACACTTCTGAGAACTTAAATTATTAGGAAAACTAAATTTTTTTTGAGGTTATGTTTAATATTCAATGAAACATAGGTCAACCTATGAACTTACCATTACCATTATATTCGGTGCGATTTTAAAGAATAACTATTAGAAAAAACTTGGTTAGGTAAAAATCATGAATAAAATAAAAACAATAGTTTTGCTTCTTATTATTTATTGACTATTATTATTCACATATTTGTATCATATTGTATTTATTTGTTAAAAACATGTATATTGTGTAAATATGCAGCGTGAATGTGTATCAGGTGCTCCTGAATAATTTGGCAGTATGATCCTCTCAGGATGTTGTGGCACAGGTTCACTAGCACTTGGTAATAAGGTCTCTGCTCTTTGGTAACATCGATGGCATATTAGATAGCCGAAATAGTAATAGTTAAATTAAAAGAAAAACAATCGCAAATAAACACACACAACAGGTAATCCGAACGAGAATTTTCCGTATATAAAAAGTACTCTTTGACAAGAATGCACGAATGCCACAAATTACTACGAATGCAAACTGCCTGCACCACAACCACAGAGTATCGAGTTTATGCCGGTCCTTCACTTGACAACAGTTTGTCCTTGTCATGCTTAATAAGGAATGAAAAGGACAGGCTGATGTCATGTTTTTAAATAGCAAATACGAATAGCCAAGTGAAGTGCCGGCATTAGGAAGAAAGTGTTTTTTGTTTGCAGCGCTGTCATAGATTATCATATAAAATGGTATTTATTGTCTCAGATTATTTATTGACTTTTTAATTTAGCTTACTTAACTAGAAGTGTCCGTCACAATCTAAATACTGATAATTATCTCAAAAAATATACTAAGAATTATCATAAATGCCAAATTGGTGTTGGTTCTTAGGCCAATTTTAACATTGTCCTTTCTAATTTGATTTGAACATTAAATATTGAGCCTCGTTTAAATATCCCCGGATTATGAGGATATAATGAAAATTCTTTCAATGTGAAAGTTTGTATGTTTGTCAGTCAATCACGCAAAAACTACTGAACGGTGTTTTTTTTTTTTTGGTCGGTCATTGGATGGGTGAACAAAAATTTACTATCTCGAGCTCCTCCGTGCTTCGGAAGGTACGTTAAGCCGTTGGTCCCGGCAGCATTTGCAGTCGTTAGCACACCCACCAATCCGCACTGGGCCCGCGTAGTGGGTCATGGCCCAATCTCCCTATTCCATCCATAGGGAAGGCCTGTGCCCCAGCAGTGGGGACATTAATAGGCTGATGATGATGATGATGGTGTTTTTTTTTTAATTTGGTACGCATGTGGTTTATGACCTGAATTGAGATAAAGGATATTTTTTAGCCCGAAAAATGTAAGGTTCCCGTAGAATTCTCAAAAAACTAAAGTTTGCTACATAATAATAAAATGAAGTTGAGGAATACACTCACAGCAGTTGTGGTTTTCTTGGCCTCCTTCTTGGTGGCAACCGTTAAAGTGGTGCTGGTCTGAGCCATCTTCTCTTCTTCATCTTCCAGCTCCGCTGAAGGTTCTTCTTCTAAATCAGCTGGTAGTCCTACCAAATTACCAATGTAGTAGTTAACAGAAAATTCTATAATAATCATGACCAAAGACAAGGATGCGCTGTGACCATATCGAAGTTGCTGGCAATACCGTATGAAAACTTTCTAATAATATCCTAAGTTCATGAAAATTTCTACCTCCCTTTTTTATCAGTGTTATAATCATCAATATCATCATCAGCCTATTAATGTCCCCACTGCTGGGGCACAGGCCTTCCCTATGGATGGAATAGGGAGATTGGGCCATGAACCACCACGCGGGCCCAGTGCGTATTGGCGGGTGCTAACGACTGCAGATGCAGCCGGGACCCACGGCTTAACGTGCCTTCCGAAGCACGGCTGATTGCTTCTTCGCACCTCTTTTAAAAGATCCCTGGTTAAAGAAGGATGGGAACATTCCCTTAAAACCTGACCTTACTTATTTTCTCTTCTTTGGTTTTTGGTTCGGGCAGAAACCCTTAACTTGATTCTAAGCTCTCGGTAGTAGTGTTTAGTGCATCTGACATCTGGGACTGAGCGATTTCTAGTAAGCATTTATTTTCGTCACACTAATATTATATAGGCGAAAGTTTGTGAGTGTATGAGTGTGTATGTTTGTTACATCTTCACGTCTAAACGGCTGGAGCGATTTTAATAAAATTTGGTATGGAGTTAGCTGACACCCTGGATTAACTCATAGGCTAAGTTTTACTGTGGGAAAATATTCCTCTAAGAAAATAAGACGACCTCCGTGGCCGAGTGGTTTGTACGCCGGGTTTCATGGTGTCGCCGACTCGAGAGGTCCCGGGTTCGAATCCCGGTGGGGGCAGATGTTTGTGTGATGAATACGAGCATCTGAACTCCAGTCATGGATGTTTAATATCTATTTCTATATAAATATACTTATATATGTACAGTTTATGTATTCTATCCGTTACCCTAGCATCCCATAACACAAGCCTTATAGTGCTTACTTTGGGGCTAGGCTAATTGGTGTGAGTGTTGAAAATATTTATTATTTATTTATTATCCCTAATAAATCGTAGGTAACAACGCCGCGGGGCACAGCTAGTTGTTTGATAAATACCTTTGTCCGGTCCACCGATCTCGATAATTTCTTGCCCCTGAGACTCTGTCAATGATTTCACGTTGTTCTTGGCCAAAACACATTTCGTTATAGTGAAAAACAAAAAGAAGATAACTAAAAACCGCATATTTGCCGGTGTTATTTTTTCAGTTTTATCGACTTGTGAAAATCGTTGTATTTTTCCTGGCCAACTAGATTAATTTTTGAAACAGGCTATCTAGATAGTTGTATGATTGCCACAGTTTCATTCATACTTTCCATGCCATTTCTATATACTCCTTCAGTATCTATATATGACATGACCTTTTGGTGTTGTGTTTCTATCGATGTGTAAGATAACCAAGGCTCCACGACTTAGGAGATTGGGTAGGCAAAGATAAAATAATAATAATAAAAAATAAATAATAAATATTTTCAACACTCACACCAATTAGCCTAGCCCCAAAGTAAGCACTATAAGGCTTGTGTTATGGGATGCTAGGTTAACGGATAGAATACATATACTGTACATATACTGTACATATATAAGTATATTTATATAGAAATACATATTAAACATCCATGACTGGAGTACAAATGCTCGTATTCATCACACAAACATCTGCCCCCACCGGGATTTGAACCCGGAACCTCTCGAGTCGGCGACACCATGAAACCCGGCGTACAAACCACTCGGCCACGGAGGTCGTCCGTGTAATAAAAATACAATTTCATTTTTCTATATAAACTGTTCCATCTATATTCCTGTTAAAAATTTGACGTTCGTCGTTTATCATTTCTTCCAAATTATTGTAAACTAGCAAACCAGTGAACCAAATGTTCACCAAAACTTGATTTAAAAAAAAAATGTATTTAATTAATTGAGAACTTCGGAGATTTTGTGTGGTTTCGTTTGAAATTCGTGATTTCTCGAAAACCGGAAGTGCTACGTTACTCAAATCCGGTTTGTAGTCTTATCAGACTATTCTTAACTTATAACTTAAATATTCTCTTTATCTATCTCTTACGGTTTGGCCGCTGTAACAGCACCACAGACAGACGGACTTGTCTAATAGATAAGAGATAGTACAAAGTACGCTGGGTCAGCTAGTTTGCAATAAAATAATATTGCGACTATCAATTGAGATGTAAGCTATCCTATCTTTCAAGTTGGATCATACTGCACACGGTGTGCAAATTTGATTAAAATCAGTTAAGTAGTTAAGGCGTCCATTCCGGACAAACAACATGACGCGTAATTTATATAGTTTTACATATATTAAATGTATATTTATATATTATTCAAATTTTTCTCATCTTTTAAACCTTCCCTAGACCTCAACGAACATTTCAAGACCAAGATAAGATAAATCCGTTCAGCCGTTCTCGAGTTTTAGCGAGACTAACGAACAGCAATTGATTTTCATATATATAGATTATTAAGAAGATATATAGAGCAATAATTTGAAACATTTTAATTAGTTTATTTTTCCGGCATTGATCTGTTTATGTTTCGTGAAGATTTGAGTACTTTTTTGGCGTTCCAGCAACTCAATTTTTTGAAGATTTATATCTTTCACAACGCTGAGGCTACATTAATTTTGGTGATTTTTAAACAATGGCGCTTACGCCCTTCTATTTGGCGTATGATTTCATATTTACTTGACAAAAAATGTATGGCGGGCCGAGTGATTTTCGCTTAAGCGACTTCTAATACGTAAACTAAAGGCACTATGTAACTTTTGAATAGAAGGATTTTTAGAAAATATTATTTACTAGCTGTGCCCCGCGGTGTTACCCGCGTTTGATTAGGGATGTTTTCCCGCAGTAAAACGTAGCATATGTGTTAATCCAGGGTGTCAGCTAACTTCATACCACATTTTATGAAAATCGCTCCAGTCGTATAGACGTGAAGAAGTAACAAACATACACACTCACAAACTTTCACCTTTATGATGTTAGCGTGATGGATATGTTTTTATAATCTTGGCGCTGCTTCTCATTTACAAAAAAAAAGATGTGTGTGTCAGCTCCGACGCACGACTGGAGTTTACTCGTTAAGTTCGATAGTCTAACCAGACGCAAAAAGAGTTTATTTAACTTAAATAAGATTGATACTGTATGAAAGGGTAAATTAACAAATTAATGAAAATAATATACATATATAAATATATATTTATTCATTTCATATACATTTATTATAACTAATCGACGAAATATTTTACATTAAACTTTTTACAATAGTCAATTTCAGATGTGCATAAATATATCATTAGGAATGTTGATAAATTATGTAATTATTATTATCAGACTATTATCATTTTTGACGTGACAACGTCTTAAATTAGGTTGCGGCTGGGAGTCACTTATGAAAAAGTGTAACGCTCGGTAACGTTACGATGAGTCTCTCGTGTTAAGTTTAAGTTTACATGTACAATGTTTTAGTAAACAAAATATATTTCTATAGTTAAAATTTGTGCAATTCTTATTTTCATTCAATTCCTTGTTCCTATTGTGCAATTTAATTATATTCATATCAATAAATATTCTACCGAGAAAAAGACGTTGTCACGTAAAATCTTCGCCCGTAAAACCGACTTTACAGGCAACCATTTTTTTTTAAATATTAATTAAATCAACATTGTCTGCATTATTAATTACAGTGACAAGTGGTTTATGGTAACTAAAATAAGACACATAGACGTTCGTAGATACGTGGTTCACGAATCTTGAAAATACCGCATCAATGGTTGTACCATACCTCGCTGTCCCCATTGCTCTATCAGAAACAATATCTAAATTCAGTTCAGATTTTAAAAATTTTATTAATGTCAATCCGTCATCTTTGTTTGTCAAAGTTGCGCGACATAGGATGCGCACCAAAAACGTAACGAGGTCATTCATCGATAGATTTTACTCCTCACATTTTTCTCATACCGGGCCCCTTATATATGCAAATCGATTCTTAAGGAGTAAACTCCAAAAATAATATATGTTCTGTTAAAATGAAAATTTGTTATTTTAAGTTATTGTACATCTTAGTGTTTTTATTTGTTTTGTTACCTTAAGTCATGGTGGGCGATAACAGAGTCATGTTGTTAAGTTAAATATTTGTAAGGACAAATCTCAGTTTGTCCTTGGTGGGCGATTATGTATACGCCATCTGTGCATTTAAAATTTTAGTTTGAATATGTATCAAAATAGATGGCGCTGTAGTTCGTTGCATCACGCTTGTAAATATGGTTGGAGCTACATATAGGCAAAACGTCACCTAACTTATAAAGAAATCTATGGTCTAACAAAATACACTGTACTTTCAATTTAATTCTTTTGCACCTAAGCTCACGGATTTAAGAGTTATTTTGGCTCGAACAGGATGCGCACCAAAAACGTAACGAGGTCATTTATCGATAGATTTTACTCCTCACATTTTTCTCATTCCGGGTCCCTTATACAGGGCGTCCCACGGCTACCTCACACGGAGGGAAAGTATATTAAATATTGAAGATAGGATATTTTACCGCAAGAAGACATCATTTTATTTTTAATCATAACTAGAACTGCATTCACAGATTTTTTTAAAATCGCCTGCTAAAACGGGGAATCAAACTCGTGAAACTTTTAGCTTTATGATAACCATCGAAAGAGTTAATCATAAAAATCATATATCATAATTAAGTAATTTTTTTTCTAGTTATATTTTCTTTAGATTTAAACATCAAGCAGTTACATGCTTTAAAATACACACATCAAAAGTGTCTAGGGATCAAGCATTTTTATGCGGATTTCTTGAGATTGAGATGTGGCTTTGTAATAAATTTATGATTTTATAAATTTATATGGATCCTTTTTGGTGCATTTCATAATTTGAATCAGGAACTGTGAATCAAATTCGAGTAAAAGATGAAAATCAGCTGTCAATATTTTCCCTATAAAAACATACAACGCATTGAAGACATTATTAGTGCTACTGTTTCCCTACTACTGATTAAAACCAACGTTATTATGGAGCGGCGACGTCATTTAAGCAGGGAAGAAATGCTCAGAGCCGTGGGAATGATAGAAGCTGGTTCCCGGCAACGTACTGTGGCTTTAGCTCTGAATACAAGTCAGAGTGTTATCAGTCGACTTTGGACACGATACCGAAGCACTGGTACCGTGGCTGAGCGCCATGGAGGACGGTATCGCTGCACCACACGGAGACAAGACCGATACATTCAAATCTTAACTCGAAGAGCTCCAACAATAAATGCCATGATGTTAGCCGTGAGGCTTCATCACTCTTCAGGGAACTTAATTAGCGACCAAACAGTCAGAAACCGCTTGCATGAAGTGAACCTTCATTCCCGAAGACCGCTACGGGTACCACCTATAGCAATGCACAATCGTAGGATTCGATATCAATGGGCTCTTGAACACAGAAATTGGGCAGAAGAACAATGGCGTTTCGTGTGCTTTTCTGATGAGTCTCGTTTTGGTATGAGACCGGATACAAGACGTATACGACACTGGAGAACCCCTGGACGCCAACAGCGATTAAAATCCTGCCAGGAAGTCCATCCTTATAGTGGTGGAACCATCATGGTATGGGCGGGTATTTGGATCGGCGGAAGAACTGAGTTGATTTGGATCAGAGGCAACCTCAACGCTCAAATTTATGCTGAGACGATTGTATCAGACGTCATCGTTCCTCTACAAGTGCAAATCGGTCCCTTATTTCAGTTAATGCATGATAATGCACGACCGCACACCGCAAAAGTTGTAAGACAGACTCTCGCCGCAGCTAACATCAATGTCCTGCCCTGGCCTGCTCAGTCGCCAGACTTGAACCCGATTGAGCATGCATGGGATATGCTACAGAGAAGAGCTCTGCCGAATATGGAGGGTATCCAGTCGCAAGAAGACCTTTTTTTGTTGTTGCAACGAACATGGGCGGCCATTCCACAGCGTGATTTGGATGAACTCATTTTGAGTATGCCAAACCGATGTTCTTGTGTTGTTAGTGTTCGCGGTAGAAATACGGATTATTAATTGTTTAAGTTACCCAATAAAATTTTAGAGAAAACTGTTATTTCAGTCTTTTTTTCGAACTTTTGTGTTAGTGGTTCAAATGTCAAAAATCCCTGTATTAGGAAAATGGCAAATTTCTTTATTAATGCAAAGGTGACTTGGTTTATCGTTACTGTGACAAACGAAAACACTT